GTGCCCGGTGCTGCGAGATGGAAAGGAGGTAGGGGACACAGCACATCTGCATGTGACTGGCAGATGACACGATGCCCTGTTGCTGTATCTGTTCATCCTACTTAAGAACAGTATCGGAGTGTGCATGCTTAGCTAGTTAGTATCAGTGCGTACAACTGTACGTTGTATATGTAGCAGTACAGTATTACTCTGGGGTCTTAGTTGCACCTGTTTGTCAAAAGTTACTATTGTATAGTCTCATTACCGTGGCATGTAGAACCGATTGCCGCATACTCACTGCCTGGCTCCTGCATTCCAGGCAGCAGCAATTCTACACTCCCCCGGAAAACTCTACCGGGGACTAATTGAACGCCGGTGTGGCACCCGAGTCACACATACACTGTACATGCCATGTTCAGTATTCACTGTAAGTATTCGCTGTAAGTATTCTTTGTTGTTTTTGGCTAGGTTGATGTTCTTGATGACTTTGAGGAAGAGAGTGCACGGAATCCGTACCGAATCCGGGCTCCAAAGGACTTGCGCAGTCAATTCCTTGAGATGATGGAGAAACGTGAAGAAGACGCAAAAGAAGCTGAGTTGGAAAAGATCCGACAAGAAGAGGAAGCTCGCCAGGCTGTAAGTCCATCCAGCTATGGCAGCATTGTAAAGTGAGAAGCTTTTGCTTGAGATTCAATTTCGCTTTTTTTTTTCTTTTTCGCAATCATCACACATTCCCACATTCACAACTTTAAATGCCCGCTACTGTTTTTGCATTGATTGCGGACAATGCATGATCCAGCTGAAGAGGGTCCAATCGCAAAACTTTCTCGTCATGAATAAGTGCAGTTATGGAAAACGCAGATGTTCACGCAGCTAAAGTTTCTCACTTTTCAGCATGTCACGGTTGTGGGGTGACATGATTCCGATGACATCACAGTAAGGGTTTTACTTGTTTTCAGTCTGCATACTAAACCTAATACTAAGAGTAGATAAACAAGAGTGTGCAACTCCGGATCTCTCCTGCACAATCTCCAGATACCCCCCGGCGGAATTTTTTGTTGACGTCACCTTTTTTTCAGAAAAACGCGCTTCTTGCCGCAGAGCAGTGTGAGAGCACGTGCTGGGCACCGACCTTGTAATTAAAGCCCGGCCAAGTACACGAGGCAAAACTTTCCAAAAGACTAGCAGCGCGTGGGCCGTCGAAAAGATTACGTCAACAAAAAATTCCGCCGTGGGCCAACCCATCCGCGTGGATCCGGGAGTTGCACACTCTTGTTTATCTACTCTTGCTAATACTAAACACCGAATGGGCATCAATAGTAAGTGTAGCCATGTCTCCAACATCTCACCATGTGCCCTTTTTTTCAACAGGAGGCCAACAAAGAGAAGCCCGATCCTTACCATGGCCTGCGTGTCCACGCCTGGGTATTGGTTTTGCACGGCAAGCGCGAAGTGGCTAGCAGCTTCTACCTCGAACCGAGTACGGGCGAGCGGGTTGACCTCAAGACGGACAAGTACCTGGGAATCGAGGCCATCTTCAACCACGGCAACTACTGGATCAACATGCAGGACTGCGGCTCTGGGGTTGAGGTAGGCACCAGTAGCCTGCATGCTCTGTTAACCCACGCTCTGCTTCACTATGACATCTAGTTGAGCTGTGACCACAGAATTGTGATGGTTTTAAATTTAGTAACTTAAGTAGTCATCATATTTTAGTTACCACATGTAGCTGTTAGTGAGCCGCGGTTCAATCATGAAGGTAAACCTATGTCCTGGGAAGGCTAAATCCGTAAAATCACCTACCATACTGCCTGCTTCAATGAAAATCCCATGCTGGTAACTCAGTGAAGCAAGCGGGAGGGGGGGGGGGGGGGCACTCATCTGCTTCATCATGGCTGGAAGATTCTGTCTGTGTGTCTCTGGTGTGGTGCTGTGTTCAGGAGATGGTGTTTGACTTGAAGGACATCACCCTGTGGGAGACCATGTTCAGTTTAGACTCGGATGCGGGAATGTCAGTGAAGATGCCGGCAGCAGGCGAGAATGCAGACCTGGAGCAAGAGGTATGGTTCCGCTGTTCACATGTACTAGTAGAGGCATGAAACTTACGGGAAATATGGATGGCAAGCTCAATCATTGAAGGTGATGGGAATCTGCAAGGAAGGGGAATCAGCAATGACTGAAGCTGTTTGCTCTACTTGTAAGTTGTTTGACTGTTCCCGGCCTGCGTGTATGCAACAGGATGATGAGGATCAGGAGGAGAAGGAAGATGCTCGGTTGGCAGGTTTGATAGAGGTTCCCCATTCCTGGACTGAACCGATCAAGATCAACTCTCTTGGTAAGCATCAAGAGTACATAACCAGGGTTATGTACTCTTAGTAAGCATGCAAGTACCGCAGTAGGGTTTTAGGGAAACAACCGCACGGCAGAACATGGTTCTTTCGGTAACGGATTATACGCCCAGCAAAACCAGGTCAGGCTGAAGTACCGATATCGTGGCAGACAAGGTGTCTCTGCTGCCACTCCCAGTCAGTGTGACCAGTGTGTTGTAACACATATACATTGTAATACCGGCATAGTCGTGCCTGCCGCCATGGCTTAGGGGTTAAAGCGCCTGTCTAGTAAACAGGAGATCCCCGGTTCGAATCCGGGTGGTGGCTTTTTTTGTCAACCTTTCCTTTTGTCAAGTACATGTACTTGATACCGGCATAAAAAAACATAAAGTACCGCTGGCCAGTGCCCTCCCCATTTCCGTCCACCTGTAGATTTTCCACCAGTGAAGCGACTTCAGTGTACGCGTGAAAATACTAGAGTAGTACGGTGCTGAGCGTATGCACACACTGCTGTTCATAATACCTACCAGTGCGACTATGCCTGTGGATGAAACTGTGCACAAACCGGCACTACAAGTCTGACCTTTTGCACTGTTGCATACTGCACTTGCCAGCCTAGATCTTATCCCGGCCCCTTGCAAAAAAAACAGCTGGGAAACGACACAGCGTGATTAAGTGTATCAGCGGTATTTGATGGTACTGTGGTAGCACACTGAACTTCTTTGAAACCCGTTGATCTATTTTCATTAAACTCGGATAGACACATTTTGGCTCACCATCATCCTGCTTATAATCGTTAGTGTTGGACAAAACGGATAACTTGTAAACTTATGGTCCTCTCTTTTTAATCTATTTTTTATCTCCAGATTTTGACTCGCGATGTCCAAGAGGTCACAAGACCACGTTGTACAAGCAGGCAAAGCTGGAGAAGCATGGGCAATATGTGAACAAGCAAGGCCTCATGACACGCCTCATCAAGTATGAGGACACATTGTGTGAGTACCATCGTCTAAATGCAATGCAGTGAATTGTGTAGAGATCATGCGCGAGATATGGTTGTTCTGTGATACTTGTGTACTAACCTCTATCAATTCAAGTTACAGGCAGGCATTGCTGCTGGTTCACATTATTGCAGAGTTGAACCAAAAGCATGAGCTTTGATTCAGTGTGCACTCCCCCCTCCTCCTCCTCCTCCTCCTCCCCTCTCTCTCTCTCTCTCTCTCTCTCTCTCTCTCTCTCTCTCTCTCTCTCTCTTCTCTCTCTTATACTTCTTAACTAATATAGGGAAGAATGAAAGTGAGGTGCATGAATGGTACCGCCATCGCTCGGACTTCCTGAAGGAGCGCACCGTCGACAAAGCCACCAAGGAGATCCATGATGTATTCAATCGGGGACACAGCAGATCCCTCAAAGGTACGACAAGAAGTGTTATGAGCGTGTGATCATGTCTGGCGCGGTGGCCTGGTGTACTGCTCAACATGCATCCAACTTGCGTCAGCATTTTGAAGAAGAGTTTTCAGGCAGTGTGGATTCACAGGAGGCTTCGAAGTCTGAAGAAAATGTTGAATGGTCACTGCTGGGACGGCGACTACTTGAAGTACGCTGTAGTAGTAGTAAATCACCGCTGGCCGCATGTGTGCATGTGTGCATGCTTGAGTGTTAGTGTGTGGCCCAATATATCTAGCACAGTACCAGTTCGTTCTCATCCCCAGCTTAGCACGATATGTTTGCGTGTGTGCCACTGTAAACACTGTAGATCACTTTCACAGGGTGGGAGCGGTTGGACCAGAGGCCACAAGAATTATGACCTACTTTCTATCGTAAGTCTGGAATGAAAATGTAATGCTACGACTGCCATGCTGGCGGTACTAGTTACTGCCAGCCATCCCGAAAACGTCCGTAATCATGGCATTGGAGAATATCTTTTGGTTGAATAAGGGAGGATTGGCATCTTTCCTGGGGAAAACTGAACATCACCGTCATAGATGAGTACGTCTTCATTGATACGTGAACTTCTCCAATTCCTATAACCCGTGCAGGGGAAGGAAGGATGACCTGGCTAAACGAGAGCAGACGCCGACCATGATGGTGGAGCACTTCGAGGGACGCGACGACTTCCTGTACAGACGCGAGGTGGACTTTGGTGTCCGTCAGAAGAAGTTTGGCCCGGCCTCGGAGGGCAAGTACAGGCCTATCTTGGTGAGCAACCTGCTGAATATATGGTGACGTGATCTCTCTCTCTCTCTCTCTCTCTCTCTCTCTCTCTCTCTCTCTCTCTCCCCCCCCCCCCTTCTCTCTCTCTCTCTCTCCCCCTTCTCTCTCTCTCTCTCTCCCCCCCTTCTCTCTCTCTCTCTCTCCCCCTTCTCTCTCTCTCTCTCTCTCTCTCTCTCTCTCTCTCTCTCTCTCTCTCTCTCTCTCTCTCTCTCTCTCTCTCTCTCTCTCTCTCTCTCTCTCCCTCCCTCCCTCCCCACAAACACACATACACCACCACCACCTCCACTCGACATACACACTACACGTCTGCACGCGTACAGATCCTTTCAGCACATTTTGAAAGTTTTTCTTCAAAATAACGTCCACTCTCAGGGGTCCCGGGACCATACGAGATTGGGTACCTGACTTCAGTCGGGGGGGGGGGGGGAGGGGGGAGATAAGCAGGGGAGGGCCAGGGGAGTTACTCGTGACAAAAAAAATGTTGATATCATGGTCTGTGTGTGTGTGATCTACATGTACACTTGTAGAGGATTGAAGAGTTTTTCAACCGCGACACCAGCAAGCCGGCTGACTTGGACGTTGAGCGACGCAGATTCTACATGACAAGCGGACGCATTCTGCTGAAGTTCCATCGAAAAGGCAATGACATCACCAGGAATGAGTTGTCATTCAGCAAGCCAAAGAACGACCTGTCCACGTTTGCCTTGACCATGGATATGGTGGAAATGTACACGGTGAGTTACCATGGTAACCTGGCTGGCGATGTCTTATGCATTGTGCTGGCCGTTGTGGTGTTCAGTGCATTGTGGGAACTGAGGTATGATCTTGCGGTGATCGATCTCCGCCAGGATGGTGCAGCGACACAATGGGCAATGTAGTGAACATGGGTCTGCTCTTATATGAGGTCGGACTTTACTTCCCAGCACTGTACTTACATGACTGTATTTGTACGTGCGTGCGTGAGCGGGAGGGCTTCCAATTTTCAATGCAACACTATTTGCTGACTGCTCACGAGACCTCCAATACTGAGCGGCTGGTGACAATTGAACTGCAAACATTTTTGACGAAAAAGAAAGAAAGAAATGGCGTAGATCACTCTATTCCGATACTTAATCCGAAGTAGCAACCTACAATTTACATGTTGATCACTGACACGTTCTGCTGCAGCAGTTCACTCATGACATGTTTGCTCAGAGGTTCACTCAACGACATGGCCATGGTAAGCACCGGTGGTGCTCACTCACATGATCGTCTAGCTCCGGTTGTGAAGTTCCACGTTCGGCCAGTGACCAGTGCATTGTCCACAACGGCATCCACTCGCCAATAGTATGCTGTGAACGGCTGCAGGTGAAACTTACCGATAGCCGCGACATTGTCATTGCCACTCAGTTCAGCAACTTTCTCTAGATCTGTGGCTGACTTGCCGAAGTACACACTGTGCTCATTGGAGTTCAGAGCGCCAAGAAAGATGAGATCTGTGTCGAGTTTAGCTACCATTGTGCCATGCTGTGGTATTGGCATGGATGCTTGCCACAACTGCCTGCCCGGTATCCAGTAATGATTTCCCACGTCGACATCGTACGCTCCCGCGCCGTGCTTTGCAATGACGGAGTTGGAGCATGGCCGGAAGTCGAGGTTCCACGCGTCCCTCAGGTCCAGTGCAGCGTCAAATCCGCCGATCACGTTGTCCTCGGCCAGGCTGTCTTCTTGAAGAAACGAGTCGGCCGCGTTCTTTCTCCAGAGTGTGGTGGCCGATTCCCCCGCTGTTTTGTTCAGGAAGACTAGAAGAGGCTTGGCCCATGGCCAGTGTGGGTTCAACTTGTCGCCAGGTTCTTGGTACATGTAGGACACTGTTGGATCATTAGAATCGACGTACGTGCCATCAACTACCGTATTATACTCAATGATGTGCCCGTTGCTGCCCACACGTATGCCCGAGGTGTTGATGGCGACGTTGTGCGAAATCAGACCCCCATCACCGACTTTGGCCGACGCGTTGCTTGGACTGTCGAAGCGATAGCCCAGCTTGCCGGTATCGCGACTCCAGTTGTTGGCGATGTGACCTTTGTTCGATGGGTCGCTGTTGAATTCAATGTGGGTTCCGTCTGTCTGAATCTCAGCCTGCCCATAGAAGTCATTCAGGTACGATGTACTGAACGGTCCAGAGCACAGCCCTGCGGAGTTCCCGTTCCATGCAAACGTGTTCCTTGTGATGGTGTTGTTCTTTCCCGATATAGTCAGCGTGCACATGTGACCATCACGCCCCGGAGTGTTAGGAGAAGCGCCCACGCCGGACCAATCCGTGTAGGAGAATAAGCTCTGTGTGATGGTGACATGGCTGCCATAGATCAGAATGGAGGGACCGTCAGAACCCATGAACGTGCAGTTGAACAGAATAATGTTTCGGTTCTCCATCGCGCTGGGTGGCGCATACACGGTGACAGTGTCGGGAGGGACGGTCTCGCCTAGCATGCGACGAGACGCAGCAGGGAAATCAAACCGCAGACTCTCCAGTCGAATATCTGAAATAAGGCTGTAGTGTTTGGACCACGGGTAAGGCTTGGGCTCTTGCGGTGGATGAACAACAAGGCCACCATCAGCTGCCAGAAGCGCTGTAGCAAAAAAGGAAATATTCGCTACAGTGATGTGTGACGAGTCAGTGATGTTTATCGCCCAGGTGGAATCCTTTGCGTATAGGTGTAGTGAATGAATATCTTTGCCTTCTTCCGGAATGACGTACAGCGTTGCAGTCGTCCGGTCGTAATACCACTCTGTTGGCGATGAGAGAAACTCTCTCTTGCCAACCAAGTAATAGCGGCCATGAGTTCTCTCCTTGTCGCAGTGGGGGTAGTGGGTGGCTTTGTAGAAGATAGTGGTATCACCCGGGCTGTGAGTGGTCACGAACTGAGCACCTGAATCGCAGGACCATTCGTTCAGAACTACTATGCTTCCGGATGCGTTCACGCGACTGCTACCCAGATCGACCATGCGATCACAGTGCACTTTCTGATCTGTTGGTTTCGGTGGCTCGGGACAGTGTCCACCGTCGATGATGTAGCCAAGGCCCGAGGTTAGATTGTGCATGCTGCTGTTGAACTGTCCCCAGTGTTCCGGGCCCTGGAACATGGTCTTGTCGTGCCAGAAAGCATCTGGCCAGCGTGCTGGCACGTACATAGTCTCACCATCAAACAACTGGGTCATACCATCCCCGCCGTGCACTGCCGTGGCCACCTTAGCCGACCAAATTTCAGTTCCGACGTCCTTCGACCAGGGCGACGCAAACTTGAGCTCAGTCGCTCCGCGAAACACAACGCTTTCACCGGGTCTGGCTGCAAGGATGATATGGTTGTCAGCACTGCCATTCTTGCCAGCAATGAGTAGCGGAGGCTGTCCACCAAGATCATACACTCCACCAGGTAATCTGCACTGGTCACCGGGCTTGCTGAGTTTATCCAGACATTGCTGAATGTCTGCAGCTGCCTGCCCATACACACCATCATGGTCTGCATTGCTGGGCAGGACTTCATACACGTGTCCTGCAGCACAGTGTCTGGAGCATAGTAAAATAGTGGCAATTGCACCAAGGTAGATGGAAAAATACATGCTTCCACTATCAGCCATTCTTTCTAGGTTCATTGATTCGCTAGTGTGTCATGCGTCTGTGGAGCGTAGTGTCAATTGGAATCGCTTCTGAAAAGTTTTTTTTGGATGAGTGGCGGATCACATCATGACTATGTCTGTGTGTGGCCAGTACGTAGTGTCGTAGGGTGACAGTCACGTGTATGCATCAGTTGACAGCAACCTGTCAGTTGCTAGTGATGTGCCAAGTGCGCCAAGGACACAGGTGCATGCTCTGAGCAAGTAAGTTAAACGGTGATGGAAAGAGTGCAAGTTAATTAAATGTTGATGGGGAAGAGTGCAAGCAAAAGCCAAATGTTGATGGGAAGCGTGCAAGTAGGATGTTGATGGGAAGAGTACAACGTGTTTTAGATACGAGCCATGCAGAAAAATGTGTACTCGTGAGCTTCCATGGCCTATGTAGCAGCTTCAGACTATACCAGACCCCCAAGTGGATAGCACCCGGTGAAGCTACTTGTCCAAGCACACGTGTACAATGTTACAGTGGAAGCCAACTTGAGACAAAAGGGCTTCTTGCCGCCATTCTGGCCAAGTTCTCACTTGCGTTCAGTTGGTTGCAACTTCCTTGCTTTCCATGGTACACCTGGTCACAGCAAGACAAGAGCATGGCTGTGCAGTGCGTACAATTGAGCTGCTGTTGTGAAACAGGAGACCTGCTGGAATCCAGCTCGTGCAGTGTACATACTGCATCACTATAGTGTTGAAGTCCAGGAGTTTCGCTGCGGCAGCAATCCGGTCGAGCTGAGTACTCAGATGTCATGTAGTCTGGGCTAAAATACGATCCTAAGTGAATTCAATCTACCCAAGTCCGCGCAGGTACTGAAAAAAGCGACCCAAAGGTACCGGGAATGTCAAACCATCGAAAAAAATAAATGCGATCACGATATGTAGGGCTATTGAATATCCTATGCAACATGAACTGACACACACACACACACACACACACACACACACACACACACACACACACACACACACACACACACACACACACACACACACACTGTATGTGTTTATTCGTTATAGGTTGACTCAAACGATGAATCCAACTTCAGCCGATTGGACTTGCACAGGCTGTACACGAGTATGGTGGAAACCAGAGACAAGCTGCTCAAGGTGGTGCGCGAGACCGAAGATGAGGTGAGCTGAGAAGTACTTCTCAATAGGGTCATTTGTATTTTGAGCATCACTGCACGACGCCAACACCCAACATTCTGCTGACTATGTACAGTGTGCTTTCTTCAATAAGAGGCTGCTGATGGCTAACACCAGTAATACTTCTGTTTCAGGTTGCTGCCACGCTCAAAGAACGAGAAGAGGAAGAGCGTAAGCTTGAGCTCAACATCTCGATGTACGACTCATCTCGGAACCACGACGCCAAGAAGAAGCGTGAAGAGTTGGTGAGTGGTGATTAGTCATCCAGTGTCGTAACATACGCATATGAAGGGGTTTAAAAGTCAAGCTGCATCTGCACATGAATGCACCGCATACCATATTTTCCGGAGTATAAGCCGCCCTCTGAACACTCTTGATTCACACACAAAAAAAAGTCGGTGCGGCTTATAGTACGATGGTCAAATGAACCGTGCCATACAGGGTAGATGTATGCATGAACCGGGACATACAGGGTAGATGTATGCATTATATGGCACAACATCTGGGTGGTGCTTTATACACACTGAACAATATGGTCAGTACGGTGCAGTGCACAAGCAAGACAGGTGTGAAACACAAATGAAGGTACACCGAGTACATGTGTCCTTTTCTGGACTTTGCTGGTGATTGCTGTACACTGCGTGCTGTTGCCGTGTTCGTCATGCAGGAGAAACAACACCTGGAAGCCATCCGCATTCGCAAGGAGAAGGAGAAGGACTACCTGTCACCTTTCCTGGTGCGCCTAGGTGATCCAGCTCACTTGACTAGTGAGCAAGCGGCTGAAGTGCGCCAGGGGTGCTTGGACTCACTGCAGAAGCGCATGCAGCACCAGGCCACGCTGATGCATGCTAAGTTCAAAGCGGTAAGATCCCCCCCCCCCTCCTTTCTCTCTCTCTCTCTCTCTCTCTCTCTCTCTCTCTCTCTCTCTCTCTCTCTCTCTCTCTCTCTCTCTCTGTCTCTCTGTCTCGGTGTCTGTGTCTGTCTCTCTCGGTATGCGCTCTGGTGTGGAAGCCCACCAAAAAGACATAGTATCAGTTTGGAAAGCTTGCATACAGACTCCCACGTATTATAGCGCACAGCTTGTCAGCAAAGTTACTAGCCTTGCCTTTTCGTTTGTCTTTGTTTCTACATGTATATCTGGGCATGATCATAATCTACAGGATACAAAGGAGTTGATGAGGGTGCAGAGGGCATTCCAGGCGGAGGAACGGGCTGGCTTCCGTTCGTCAGAGGCTGACCAGGCCTACAAGGAGCAGTGCGATGCACTCAACTACCGCATCAACCTTACACAGCGACGCATAGCTCGGTACGTACGTGAGAGAATCTCCTAGGATATATACAGTGCAGCACACTTTGGATACACGGTCTCAGGGTTAAAAGCTACAGGCATGCCCGGACTATCAACGGTCTAATTTTATTGTGTATCGTGTCATGTGTGTGCTCTAGCTGTTCGATTGGTTGTGATCGAGTCTTGTGTTTGTCAGTGACGGCCAAGCTAACTGTGGTGTGTGCTTCCTGTGTGGCTGGATGTCTCCCTCACTTGCTTGCAGGCACAAGGAAGAGTCTGTGAAGCGTTTCATGAAGCTGGAGGCTCGACTTCACAAGGATCCAAGACTGGCGGCCTACCGAGGACCCGCCACCAGCCATCATGACGTATTCTAAATAGAAGCCATTCTAGAAGGAAGAGGAAGCCAGACTCGCAGGTCTCGTTCAACCTGGACTTGAGATGAGATGTTGTAGGACAGTCGAACAAATTCTTTCCTTGCAATTGCATTTAGGTTTCGGTGGCCGCGCGGAATGTCTGGATGTTCTGAACCGAGTACTACTGCCGAGAGGAAGGCCGGGCTCCAATGAATAGTGTCGTGTTCTGCAAACAAATACGGTACGTCAAGAGCAGCTCGCCGATGCTTGCCGCTCAGGGACGCACCATTCCGATCACACGTTTGCTGATGCTCACCAACCAATACAGCCCCACTCACCAATACGGCCCGGGCATGCGTCAATGTGCAAAGCTGAATGTAGCAGTAGTCAGTAGATTCGACAGCGGTTGATGTCTAAATACATGTACACGTATTTCTCCTTCACCCCGTGGCTCAGGACATGTTGACAGGTGGTACTTCTCACTTCAACTTTACAATAAGAAAGGCTATCAAATCATTCCTAATAAAGGTATTCAATCTGGATTCTAGATCATCCCAGCCCATACTGCCGGTGGTCAAACGGATATACGGCCGTCCTGCTGGAACTAGTAAAGTCCATTTCCCTTCTTTGCACGTTTTAGCGGTGGCTTTTTGCTGGTGACCACTACGCTCACCCGCAGCGAGTTTGGCATGGCCCGGTATTGTTGCACACTTGCAACGTCTTCGCCTCAGATCCTAGTACGCAGTGAAGTCTAAGCAAACTGCTAAATGGCTCCCGACCTTCCTTGACCAGCATATATGGCAAATAATTCGACACATGTAGTGAGCAAACCTTACGAAGTTAGCAGCCATGATTGGGGCTTTGTACCCTGGCTGAAAAGCCTGCCCCACTCTGTTGTTCGTTGTCTACCCACAATAACTACGAGTGTGTATCTGCATGTACCCTTGACTTCAAAGGAACACGCATGTGCACCCCTAGCCTAGGCCCTGTGTGTGTGTGCTGGTATACAATGTAATACGTATGTCTCTGTCAAATTTCAACAGTATAATTTTTACTTGAAGTAATTTTTTCTACAAAAGTGGTTTATTTCGCGTTGAAGAAAATAAAACTTTTGCAATGTCAGTCAATTTACGTTCAATCAAGAGTCCATAACCATGGACTCCTGGTTCAATGAATATTAGTGTGGCTTGACGCTATTGGACAGTACGTGCAGTGCATGTGACACACACTCACCTAGCCCTTGATTAACTCTTGCCATTCAAGTAAAAAGGGACAGTACAATCATGTACTCAGAACATCCTTATTTTCAGATTGATTTTAGTTACAGAAGCTGTGGAGTAGACTTGCCTATACCACGGATAATATCGAACGATGGGGTGGGCCTCTTCTTCGATCCTAACTTACCCCCCCCCCCCCCCCCTAAGTAATCAGTTACTTTGACTTTGCAATACTTCAGTTCAAGTCAAAAATATACAGCAAGGATCACAAAAGTCGCTTCATATCATGTCGACAGAGACAGTCATCATAATGCCATCAAGAGTGCATGGACTCTTGATGCCATGCACATGCATGGTCACCTGGATCCATGGTCCATGGAGTGGATCGGAGGCTGGTGACCTGGTGACGTGAACGCGTTTGTTTTGTGTTGCTAAGCGATGATGTAATGGCGGTATTTCACCGTACAGTTCAAAAAATCTTGGCTAAAGCTTGTTTGCATTTTTTAGAAGCTAAAGTAAAGAGAAAGCCAGATCATGATATCAGAAGACGGTGAAGAAAAACAAAGTAGTAGAGTTCGGCTTTTCGGCTTGTACTTGTGGATTATGTTATCAGCTGAACATATTTTAATTAGTCTTTAGGGCCCGACGTCTCGTTTCGTCGCAGTTGGATCGGAATTGAGCAGTATGAGTCGTGAAAGACGTACGAGGTCGTCAGCTTCGGGGATGGGTGCAGCCACCGCTGCGAAATGCGAACCTTTGCCACCAAGTCCAATGAAATCAGTAGAACGTTCGGATTCATCAACTCTCGGTGCAGCTGATTTACCAACCAGTCCTTCGAGGCCACTGCGTGTCGGCCCATCTGAGCGTGGTCTGAAAAGAAAACCTGCGAGTGTTACTGAAGGAGATGACCAAGGTGGAGATATTCAAACTGGATTTAAAAAGAAATTAGATAGAGGAAGATCAGAAAATCGTTCACCCAGCAGCGTATCCTCTCCTCGCAAATCGCCGCGAAAGCTGGGAGGTGCGTGTGGGAGCGTATCCCGCTCTCCGTCGAAGACGAGTCCTGTGCCAGCCATCAATACCACGCTTACCTTGGCAGCAGTAGATTTAGATGTAGGTGAAGCCAATGCGAGCAGTGTGGAGTCCCTGCCTTCTCCACCTAGTCCAGCTTCTCAACTTAACATGTTTCACTCGGAATGTTCATCGCCCGAGGCCGTGCCTGACCTGCCACCGCTCACACCTCCCAAGCCTGCATCTGGAATCTCCCCAGTGAAGGAGACTTCGCCAATGAAGTCAGATTCATGCTTAGTTGGTGATGTTGTTTGGGCGCGTGTGCCAACCTATCCATGGTGGCCAGCCATGCTCAGCTACGACCCCAATCTTGGACAATACCGTGATACCAAAAACCGCCTGCACGTGCAGTTCTTTGGAGAACGGGTAGAGCGTGCGTGGATTGCGTCCACGTCTACACAACCATTTCATGCCCATGAGCAGCTAATGACATTCAAAGATGCCTGCCCAGTGAAGAGGAGACGCTCCGTTGGTATTCAGCGTTCGTGGAGTCTGGCTCTGCGCCAAGCCACTGAGGCGGTGCAAATGGACAGGTTTGCACGGCGAGATAAGTTCACTGTGAACTACGATGCCACACGGCAACGTACCAAACCATCTTCCTCTCTTGCATCTCCATTGGTTTCTCAGACACCGTGTGAGGTCACCCCTGATGGCTCCGTCCAAGACCCGCATGCTAAGAAACGCACTCACAACACTCCATCACCAAAGAAGTCCCAGAATCCTGCGAGCGCTAATGGTTTTCGTACGGGTGTGTGTTCCGCGAAAAAGCCACGTAGCCGTTCGAGCAGCGCTGTGCTTTCTGCCCTGTCGCACGGCCGCAATGGATCATCTGGACCTGATGGAACACCGGTGAAGAGGTCTCGGAAATCCACTGCCAGTGATGTGCAAGAGCGTACTCCCAGGCGGCGTCCTCAGTCGCACTCCTCCAGTAGCAAAGCCGACCTGCCTGCCTCACCATCCTCGGTATCTGACGTAGCAGCGGACTACTCCGCCGACCCGAGCCTCTCAGCTGGCGGTGGTGGCAAAGACGGCAAAAAAGCGCGCCGTTCGGTCGGCAAGTATTGGCTGCACGAGCTGCGTGTATGTCCGGTGTGTGAGCGCGACACGGTCGGGTCGGACGATGTCGTCGCCTGCACCGGCGCTGGTTGCGGCAGTAAGTTTCACTTGGCGTGTCTCGGCATGTGCACGTTGCCGGCGGATTTCAATTGCGACGAATGCACACTGGGCGTGATGTCCTGCGGTGTGTGTCGCACCAACACTGGAGAGTTGAAGACGTGTGCATCAGCCGGCTGCTTGAAGAAGTACCATGCAGATTGCCTGCGCGGCTTCCCCGCTGTCAAGTGGCCGAGCAAGAACCGGTTTATTTGCCCGCTTCATACATGCGGCACGTGCAACGGAAACACCGGCCGCATGGACAGGTGTGCGCGCTGCCCGGCCGTGTTCCACTCCACCCAGGAGTGCCTGCAGGCCGGCTATCGGCGCCTGAACGAGACCAGCATCATCTGCTTGCGACACCAGGCCGTGCTGCCGCCCGTGCACCTTCAGTACTGCTACGAGTGCGGCCACACGGGCACTGAGCGTCTCAACTGTGCTTACTGCCCGCAGTCCATCGAGCCAGGCTGTCTCAGCCCGGCGGCCAGTGCTGCCGTCGCCGCTGCCAGCAGAGCGTCTTCTACTGACTGTGCTGCCACTACTGGAGCTGCTAGTGGCGCTGCTACGGCACCTGCGCCACTTCTCAACTCTAGTGCCGAGGAAGAGGAAGACAACACACCGCCTCCGGAACCAGACCAAGTGCTGCAACAGCAAACCACTCCTAAGAAGTCGGCGACAAAGCAGATGGGTCCGACATGGGTATGTTCAGATTGTAAATCGGGCAGCAGTCTGCACTTCAACGACATTGTGCATTGCAAGATCGGAAAGTATAGGTAAGTGGCGATCTGGTGCCGAGAGTGGCGTGTGTGTGGGGGGGGGGGGGGAAGTGCAGTGTGAGTCTGTGTTACCATCGCATACTCACGTACCTTGGTCTTGATCTCTCTCTCTCTCTCTCTCTCTCTCTCTCTCTCAGGCTCTCTCTCTCTCTCTCTCTCTCTCTCTCTCAGGCTCTCTCTCTCTCTCAGGCTCTCTCTCTCTCTCTCTCTCTCTCTCTCTCTCTCTCTCTCTCTCTCTCTCGTTCCTTTTACATGGTTGTCTCCTATTGTTGTCTACTTCCTCACATTGAAGTGCATCAGCAGGATGCCTTGTCTACAGCTTCCACATATGGTGAATGGCTCGTATGAGAGGAGAGATAGCAACGGGGTATCCAAAATATAGTATGCTGAATGGCTCGTATGAGAGGAGAGATAGCAGCGGGGTATCCCAAATATAGTATGATACACAATGACACTAAGAGAAACAGCCGACATGTGCATAACTGTATTGCAGTGAGGAAGACGAGCGGCGAGAACCACTGTGCATATTTTGCAAAACGGCTACGCAGCAGAGTCAAGGAAACACGAAATACATGTACTCAGTTACTGGTTCTTGTAAAATGGAAATGAAGAGGACTAAACCAATGCCACAAGACTGCTATCACTAGTAAGATTCACTGCTTGCCGGTAGGTATACACAGACAGAAGAACGAGCAGTTGTTTTCTTCGTAACTCTGAGTTTCACGAACTGAACCAATCATCAGACGAAAAATAGATATTATTTAAACAGTTATGACTTTTCCCGTTTGTGTCATCTTTCCCTCAAACTAGTCAAGAAGTTATGACAGTATATGAATTGTTCAGTGCACGGATCCAATATCATCAAGATGACCATGAAAGCTGTCAACCATTGGCGTACATTTTGGGAGTGAAGGAGGCTCCAGGCCGGTCTCCCTGTTTATTTTATCCCTTCCAGAACTTACGCTACTCGTTCTTCTCGCTCTGCTTTACAGATGGTGGCCTGCGAAGATTGTGGACGAAGAAGAAATCCCAGAGAACTTGCAGCATAAACAGCCGGGCGTTGGCCATTTCCTCGTATACTTCTATGGCAGCGCTGACTACTCTTGGACACACAAGGGACGTACAATTCCGTTCAATGGCAAACACGACATGCCGCGAAAAGGAGGTGTCAAGAGCGATGCCTATGCAGAAGGTCTGTTTTGCGTAATCCCACGGTCTTCTATTGTTGTTGTATGCTGTATTGTTTATTTACGGATTCTCCAGAGGTAAATGGATACCTATCATGTGAGTCTCTCCAAACCAATGGAATAATGAAAATAGTTTCTATGTTTTTTGTCTCTCAGCATGAAATGCCATATGTACATTATACGTACACAAGGGCTGTTTGAAATCATTTATAGTCGTAAATCTCATTATGTCCTATGACCAATAAGAGACTGTGGGTGTTATTGGTGGTGGTTTAGCTGCTGCTGCTGTTGCTGCTACTACTGCCACAGCTGCTGCTACCACTGTTGCTGCTGCTGCTGCTGCTGCTGTTGTTGTTGTTGTTGTTGTTGTGCTCTAACTTATCACCAAGGACAGTACTCGAGCCTTTGCAGGCAGAGTGTCTGTTGTGCATAATACATGTATTTGTAAAAGGAAACCTTGAAAGGTGGTTTCTTTCACACGTTCACACACTACAAAATATAGTTACTGTAAGTGTTGTGCTCTGATGGCTGTTTTTCATGTACTGTTTGTTAGGGGCTGGCTAGCATAACGTGTGAACATGGAAGAGTGAACATGGCTTTAGGAGGAAGTTTAGGTGGATTAAGTTTGTTATTGTTCCTCTGGTCACAGGATTTGCCATGGCAAGGGAGGAATGGGCGAACCGTGAGAAGAAGATGAAGCCCTACGAGCATATCAAGGTACTGACTTTTCAATGATATCACCTGTGTACAACATAGAGACTGTATGCTAATACAGGTGAAATCCTGATAATTCGAACCTCGAAATGCCAGGAAAAAACTTCTAGTTATCCAAACATGAACCCACAACACAATATGTATGTCAAAATGCTCTCATGGTCACGCAGAGTTGCGCTATGGACCTTAGACACAGATTTCACGGATACTGAACTGACCGGCACAGCCTGCTCATGCAAACTGAACTGACCAGTACAGTACAGTGAACTTCGAATTACACTTTGCTACCTTCGAATTATCAGCACAAATCCCACACCTTTTCTATGTAAGTGGAATCCGTGGAACTTCGAATTAACCTGACATGTCTGGTTCGGGGTTCGAATTATCAGAAACATTTATGTGGGAATCGTATTGACAGAAATTGGTCCTGGAAAAACTTCTAATTAAGCAGTATGTTCGAATTAAGCCATATTCGAATTATCAGGATTCCACCTGTACCGTTAAGTACCGTTGATCCGCCCCCTCTCTAATTCCCGCCCCTTGTCGATTTTCTCCTTGTGAAGCGACTTCGGCGTTTACAACGAAATACGATGTTGAACCGACGCATGCACTGCTGTACACAATACTTGCCAATCCAGGATCAAATGTGCACAATCCAGCACATTGAGTCTGATCCTCTCCGTTGTTGTACATCGTACTGCACTTGACAGCCTTGATCTAATTCCCGCCCCCTGCCGAAAACCCAGCTGGGAAGCGACATGGCGTGGGGGCGGATCAACGGTACTTTACGGTACTAGTATTGTTCCGATGGCTCGTCGCTCATTAGTAGCATACCTCATATGTTGCTCTCCTATGACATGCATTATGCTGGCATCGTGTCGGCAATCCCTAGTGTCCGCATAGAGTGGTGCACAGCTCCGGGGCACTGTCCCTGTGAAAGTCAGAAAAGTGTGCGTGCCGGATATGCGTGATTTTGTATACGTGTATTATGATGCCTTGCAAGCTGTTGAATGGTGTTATCCCAGCACAAGTTGCTATGTCTAACATTGCGTGTTCGCTATCATCGCTTCGGCAATGGGCATGTGGAAGGGGAAGTGGACGTACTATGATGTGTTTCTGAATTCCCTTGTCCAGACCAACGTTGCCAGCACAGCGGTGATGGACGCCGGTTTGTATCGCAAGCAGAAAGTTCCCGCCTGCATGTGCACCGCCGAGAACCCGTGCAGCGAGAGTTCGGGTTGCCTCAACTACGTGGCTCACTACGAGTGCGATCGTTCCACTTGCCCGGTCGGCGATGCCTGCAAAAACCGCCGCCTGCAGCAGCGCAAGGGCAGGCGAATGAAGATCATCTCTGAAGGCGAGAAGGGCTATGGTGTGCGTTGCGAGGAGGAAATCAAGGCCGGCGAGTTTGTGATTGAGTACACTGGTGAAGTGATGCTGGAAGAAGAGTTCCGTAAACGTCTGTCGGCATTCCTCGATGAAGGAGAGGATGCATGCTTCTACTTCATGAGACTCGGCAGTGGTCTGTTCCTGGATGCAGGTCTGAAGGGTAACAATGCACGCTTCATCAACCACAGGTAAATAATAACTAAAATATTATCAGAGAGCTTTGGGGGCGGGTGAGGCTTGTTATAATACTTCGCTGTGTTGGGGGAGGAATTGTATCTGGCTGGTGGTGGTGGTGGTGGTACCTGCTTGCTCAGTGTGGGGAGTCTGGGGACAATGGAAGCGCTCTGTCTTCGTTTCAGTGTGCACTGTCTTGTGTCACTAGTTGTGCTTCAGCTCTGACACACACACATGTTTGTCAGTGGCCCTTGTTTTCGGAAATTCTATTTTGCTTTGCAGTTGAGAAAGTTGTGTAGTGTGATACAACTTTCTTGACTACAGCATTATCGTGTACGGATTTGAGGAGTAATAGTACGAAGGGTCTCGGCCATTAAACTCGTCATCGGCTGTTGGGGTCATTCTTTTCATTGCAGTTATACTCCCTGGCCGGATCAGCAATTGTCAGACAGCCCCGTAGCAGGAATCTGCATGTTTGTCCATTGTCCAATGACTATGTGTGCCATGGGCAGCTGGGCACTCTGTGTGTGTGTGTGTGTGCATGTGTGTGTGTGTGTGTGTGTGTGTGTGTGTGTGTGTGTGTGTGTGTGTGTGTGTGTGTGTGTGTGTGTGTGTGTGTGTGTGTGAATGCGTGCGAGTATGTGGGTGCGTGCAGGGAGGGTGCGCATATCGAGCTCTTAGTCTATCACAGCAACTCATTTTGTGTGTGTGTGTGTGTGTGTGTGTGTGTTTGTTTGAGTTGAAACTAATTATATATGTGTTAATAGAGAGGTTCCGCATAACGTAATTACGTTAGTAAAAAACGTAGTCGATCTACGGAAAGTCTTACGTAAACTGCATGCGCATCTGTGTTCCGCCATACGGAGTTTTCAAATCACGTAGCTGCCCTTGGCAACTCCGAACGCGGCAGTGTACGACCAGATCGACCTGGGGAGAGAGTCATAAATTTGTACCCCAATCCACTTACGGACCAGCTACGTTATCAGAGCCCTATCTACGTACTCTACGTAGACAACTTTCCGTAAGTGGAGTGCAAACTCGCGAATTCACGGGTTTTCCCCGCCCACTAACGTAAAGTTGCTCAACTTTACGTAGTGCGGAACCTCTCTAATATGTATGTATTACTGCAGCTGCTCACCCAATCTCTATACAGAGCAATGGGTTGTTCAAGGCCGCTCACGCATTGGCTTGTTTGCTCTGAAGGACATCCACAAAGGTGATGAGTTATCGTTCGACTATCAGTTGGACTGCTGTGGTGTTGATCGCTTCACGGTACGTACCATGCTTGTGATACTACTAAACTGTTGCTGGATGCTGCTCAGCTGTTGAGTTGGGGGAAGGGTTAGGGAACCTGTCTGTGAGCTGGGGCCAACTGCCAAGAACCAATCCATCTTTTTAGCCCCGTATTGTCCGTACATACATGTACATTACAAGCATCGCCTCATTGGGATCGACGGAGTGAGTACTATTTTTAGAAATTGGGATTCGAATTGTAAGGATTCTACCTGTAGTAATGGAATGGATGCTTTGTAGTGTTTCTCCGCCTCCGAATCTCTATTGGTTAGCTTGATCAATTCGTGTTCTCTTGCAAAGGCGAGATCTGTGATGTTGTGCATGCATGCGTGTGTTTGTGACTGTTCAGAAATGCCTGTGTGGGGCGCCAAACTGCAGTGGCTACCTCGGCATTCGGCCCAAGAACAGCAAGCCTGACAAGCCGCTGGAAAAGAAGAAGAAGAAACCCAAGAAAGCGAGAAAGCCGAGGAAACGCTCTGCCAGCGAATGGGAAGACGAATGCTTTGAGTGCTCTGAGGAGACTGGGGATTTGGTGATGTGTGACTACCCGAAATGCCCTAAGGTTTACCACTTGAAATGCCTCCATGTGGACAAAGTGCCCAACGGAGCATGGTGGTGTCCGTACCACGTGTGCGACATCTGCGCAACGAAAGCCGTCGAGTTCTGCAGCTTCTGCTCCTCGTCCTGCTGTGTCAAACATCCAGAGGTGCTGCGCGTCTGTGACACAGACATGGTTTGCAGTCGACACGATGAGTTTCAGCTGTTGAAGGCTCGTGAACGCAAGCCTTAGTAGATCGCGTGAAGCCACGTGGCGGCAAGTCGTAATGGTAATTGCGTATTCACGAATGTCCTGGGCTGGTGCTTGGGATTGCTACCACTAGTCCGGCGTTTCCCTGCTGCACATACATGTCCGCTGGCTGCAGCCACCTACAAATGTAATGCTCTCTTTCCTGCCTCTTGACGACGGAAGCGCTATTGCTCACCTGGCGTTACCCTGCAGGAATACCTATGCAGTGAACTAGATATGACACAATGAATCAAGTCCCTTCCTCAGCCAGCTTTCCATTCTGGTTTCCAATGTTTTGTCCCCATTTTTGATTGTTTTTTTGCCTTTTTGTACATTCCTTCCGCATTTTTTCTACTCGGCTTCATTACTGATGATGGTATTCAGCAGGTCCCCCGTATACATTGATAACTGGCTCAGGTTCCTTTCTCCGATTGAGTTCACATCTTTCTTGTGTCGCACATTTAGTTTAATATGGCTGCAGCAGCGCAGTTTGGTACGAGAACCCCCTGTTCTTTGCACCTGCCATATCTAATCCTAGTGCACGGCGCACCGGAGCCTGTAGCGGGATACCCGTACGTAACTCATTGTCTTTACTCGCTCCCTTGCATCTCCCGCTCCCTCTCATAACATTCTAGCATATGTAGTCCGCCTAGTCAGTATCTTTTTTTTTCTTCCTTCGTTGTAGCTTATGCTGTTGTAGAGATTCTGTTGGCACCTTTTCGCGCAGGGTCATGTTCACTTTTTATGTTGCCGTAGAAAACGCATGGTAGACTAGCTGTATACCTGCCTCACAGATCCTTGGAGATATTTGCAGGTTTGGCTTTTTTTGCAGCCATGCAGCTCTTCTGCTGCAGCTAGCTGGGTCCTCTTGTCTCCCACTGGTACAAATTATCTTGAGGAGCCTCCAGAATTCTTCTGATACAGTGTTTTAGAAGTTTTTTTACGCCCACTCCGAACTGGACATATTGCATATCTGTGTGTTCGTGTATGTTTTTCAGTGGTGTTCAAGCGGGCCATAGGCCGCAGGTACTAGGTGGGGATCAGGGAGCTGTAGTGATAGCTAGCTAGCTATAGCATAGGTATTCACCAGGGAGTAGTAAAATACAGTGTATTTTACTACTCCCTGGTATTCACCTCCCTCTGGTGGGGATCGATGAGGCTGGAAGCTCCGCTAGGCCATAGGTGCTGTGCTGCATGCATTGAACGTGCCGAGAAGCCTCTCGCAACCTGCCTTGGCATGCATCTTGTGTTTGCAAGCATGCCGCAAGTGCAGTCAGCCATGCGATGTGACATGATTTGAGTCAGTGTATCCATCAAGTATCAATCTCAAGCCACAAGTTCATAATGACATTATGAGCTAGTGGTTCACACAAAACAGCTCTAACTGTTCAAGAAAATAGCTAGTACTGAGATCATTGCGGCTTGTTGACAAGCTGCAATAACTTGCCAATAACTGATAGTTGTTTCCAGTTGCACTTGCAACCTCTCATTATTGAAGTAAAAATAATAGAAAAAAATGCTCAGTCAGAGTTCTGATGTTGTCGCTCAATTCATGCCAAGCATGTGCTCCAATCTCTGTCGTGCCACTCCTACAGCACTTAGCTTTTACATGAGAAGACACTCAGATCAAGGTGTACAGAATTCATCATCAGCTGCATCCATTGGACCAGAATACAAACTGGCACTAGTGTTACCCATGGTTACCCATGGAAGTTACTTTCAAGTGAGTCTGGGTACAAGTCACACAGCATCCCCTACTAGCTAGTGTTGCCCTTAGAGGCGATTTGATTTCTTCTTGCTGCTTCCCACTGCCAGCCGCTCAGCATCCAGCTTGCCCTTCTCCTCTTGGTTCTGTGAAAGAAGCCGCACAAACAACCCAGTCATACAGATGTTTATATGCTAATGATAGCCTGCATAGACCCTGGTCCTACTGGTAGAAGTTATAATGACGAGTGAGCAGAAAATCCGGAACCGCTTATGGGCGCTACATACACAGCATAACGGCTTATAGGCGCTATGTTCATGTATACATCATGAGTCGCTAGTTTGTTTGTTTGTTTGTTTGTATACTTTATTTGAATTCGCTAATCCAAACGAGCACAAATGCTCAATGACAAAGCAGCGAATATGTTATTATGGGCTAGTGCGTGCTGTGCCGCGACGTTGCCAGAGCATTGCAACTGATGATGTAAATTGCATGTTGAGGTTTATGCGGTCACGTCATCAGTTGAGATGCTTCGGCAACGTTGCGGCATCGTGGTGCACTAGCGACTTATGATGTACACATAGCGCCCATAAGCGGTTCTGCTGACTGACCACCATGACATCATTCGCATAACCTCTATACCCAGCTGGCCAACGAGTCAGCAACACACCAAGTACATGTACATGTACATGTACAATGACATGTACATATACCGGTACAAGCACATAGTTGCAGGTAGTATTTAAGCCTGACTCGCGGTATGGGGACGTGCACGCATTGCATCACATCTCATGCCGAAACAATGCCTAGACTAGATGTGCAGGACAAGCAGGATCTTGCAATGAAGTCAGGATAGTCGCTTGCCACTCGAGTTACATGCCGAGCAATCACTCGGCAACACATCACATCCAGCACACACAGACAAGGTGTCATTTACTGTGTAGGCAGTATCTTGTGGATATAATTACATGTACGAGTGCCTCCGCATGCGAAGTTGCGAACGGTGCTTCTAAAACCGTGTAACGCATGACGTCATCACTTATTGAAAGGCTGTGTTTGGTGGTCATTTCCCTGTCAACCAGCGGCCACAGGCTGTACACACCGCAGACATGCTCTTCGCTAGCATTCCACACTCCAATCAGAGCGGCCACTGACCTGCTTTCGAAGTTTCTTCAGCAGCGCGTCGTCTCCACCGAGCCAGTTGTCCAGAGAGGCATGCATTTTCTCTGCCATCTCCTTCCTCAGTCTCTCTGTCGACAAGGACAAGGAAAGGACATGTAAGAAACAGCTGTTCGGAGCTAGGTCTTTTAGCCTGATTCAGACTTCATTTCACGTAAGGGAAATGCTCCACAATGCGTGCGACGACGGTTGAATCACACATACCAGAGGTCAGCTTGCGGACAAAAAACCCTCGATTGGGGCAATGTTCAGACCTTTCCAGGAGTTTTGAAGGGGTCAATGTGTGATCTAGCAGCACTTACCTATTTCCGCCTGGTAGTGCATCCTTAGCTCTGCCATTTCGCTCTCCAATTGCTCGATCTGTACACATTCAGTCAGCATCACCAACACCGGCAAACCATTGAAATGGCACATGTTTCTGTATCACACTGGAACCGTAACTCTGATTGGCATGTGAGCGCTGACTTAAACGTGACAGCAAGCTACTGCCACTGTCTCCCATTTTGTTAATCATTGCTCCCTTCAGTAGCTTAGCCTATCCAACATTGTGGTACGTGTACACACGTACGTATGATGTTCAGCTGAGTCTTGTTATATCATCCGTATCATGCCTGTCATGATTGTCTGAAGCTATTGTCTGTGTTGTGGTTGACTTCACTCTTTAGTACTATTGACTGGCCTTTCGTACAATACCTATTGATGTCTAGAGACATACTGTCTAGCCTTCCCCTCGTGCGCTTATTGATACACTATCCAGCTGTCCAGTGGCTCTCCTTCTACCGCTCTCTATCTCGCTATACTCTTCTTCACACTCTATAAGTTCGTGTCTTCTTTACAATAAAATCAGTTCAGTGACTGACGAGTTCGAGATCACAACATGGTGTCAGAAGCGGCTTGATTACGAATCTAGCCGAGTTGCTTGCAATGTAGTCCTCAAACTGTACTCCTCTTTACCCGTTTTAGCCCTCTTACTCAGGCTCTCTCTAGCAATTCTGCCTAATTGCAGAAACCGTCCTTCTGCCTCATTGCAGAAACCGTTCGTCTGCCTCACTGCAGATACCGTCCGTCTGTCTCTAAGCAGAAACCGTCCGTCTGCCTCTATGCAGAATCCGTCCGTCTGCCTCTAATAAGCAGAATCCGTCCGTCTACCTCTAACTCTAAGCAGAATCCGTCCGTCTGCCTCTAAGCAGCCTCCCTGCCTCCGCGTTCCTACCGGTCGCAGCTCCTCGTGTAAGTCTCATTGCAGCTCCTGCATAGTCCTCGGACAACGTCAATAACCTCCTCGTTCGAGAACAACTGATCGTGGCCCTCCCGGCCGATGCCCAAGTCTTCCTCCTCCGCCGTCAAGCGCCTCAGACCGCTACCACAACTGTCGAGCAGGCCGAAACTTACCTGCGAACGGAGAGGACAGAGATGGCGCTCCGCAAGTCTCTCCCAGGTTCACCGCCCCTCGCAAACGCGGCGGAAACCTCAGACAACTCGTTGTACTGTTCGACCTCCGACACCGTTGCCTCAGTGTAGTAACGATCCATCGAGTCTGTGGTGGTGCAGCTCACACTCGGCGTGATTGCCCAGCTACAGCCAAAGACTCGCAAGAAACGAACCGTTTGTTACTTGGTCACTTCCGCGTGTGTCAACAGCGCCAACGTGACACTAGTCAGAAATCCGTGGGTGGTGTTACTGTAAGTACCACCACAGCACCAAACAGTCATGCTGTTCATGAGTGCGATGCTGACATGGACTCTCCATTCTTAGGGTAACTCCACGTACTTTCTACTCGTATTCTGTACTCGTAGAGTCGCACTCTGATCTCTGCGTCTTGCTCTTTGTGCTCACACTCCTTCCACATAACGCATGGTTGCGCTCTTTCTCTGCTGGCTCTAGTATCAAATGCTCCAGTTCTATTTGGCCTCTTTGCCCTCTGTTTTCACTCTTTGCTTGAAAGGGGAGATGTTATATCATCCGTATCATGCCTGTCATGATTGTCTGAAGCTATTGTCTGTGTTGTGGTTGACTTCACTCTTTAGTACTATTGACTGGCCTTTCGTACAATACCTATTGATGTCTAGAGACATACTGTCTAGCCTTCCCCTCGTGCGCTTATTGATACACTATCCAGCTGTCCAGTGGCTCTCCTTCTACCGCTCTCTATCTCGCTATACTCTTCTTCACACTCTATAAGTTCGTGTCTTCTTTACAATAAAATCAGTTCAGTGACTGACGAGTTCGAGATCACAACAAGTCTCAGTGCCATTCTTTGCAGGTTGCCAAGTAGAAAAACACACACACACGCACGCACACACACCTTTTACCTTTTGACCTTTTGACGCCCATCGCCAGAGGCGATGCTAGCAATGCTACGACAGAAGCCATAGCAACTTGTGCTGGGATTGCACCATTCAACAGCGTGCAAGGCTGAAGAATTGACCGTCACTATTCAGCCTGGTCTACCCCATACAGCTATTTGAAGTGACTTTTTCTGGCCAGTGAATCCCTATTTTTGGCCTTTTCATTTTTTTCCCGCACACACACACACATCACACCACATACTCCGGCATGCACTGGCTGTTGGTAACCACCCAGGAGAATGATAGAAAAGTCAGGAAGAGTCTGAGAAAGAGAAGAAAGACGTGTGTGACCATAATCGTCGGGAATCGAACCCGCAACCTATCGATTGGAAATCGCTGCACATACCACTGCACCATATGGGACACCCACACACACACACACACACACACACACACACACACACACACCTTTGACCTTTGACGCCCATCGCCGGAGGCGATGATAGCAATGCTACGGCAGAAGCCATAGCAACTTGTGCTGGGATTACACCATTCAACAGCTTGCAAGGCTGAAGAATTGACCGTCACTATTCAGCCTGGTCTACACCATACAGCTATTTGGAGTGACATTTTCTGGCCAGTGAATCCCTTTTTTGGTCTTTTTCTTTTTTTTCTTTTTTTTCTTTTTTTTTCTTTTTTTTTTCTTTTTCACACACACACACACACACACACACACACACACACACACACATGTACACACATACACAAACGCATGTACACACATACAAACACGCATGCACGCGCACCCCCCTCCCCCCCCCCCCCCCCCACACACACACAAGCAATCCTGGTTTCTCTATTCCGTTTCACGAATACACCGAGTCACGTCAAGCGACGCGAGCTAACCTTCTCGTTGAGACCCGTCACCACCGATGCGTGATGACTTTTGCTCTTCTTCATGGCATCACTGTGCTCATTCTGCTGTCGTGTCAACTGCTTCTCATACTGTTCAGCTGCTCGATTAGCCTTGGCAAGGTCCTGTTGGCACTGGGAGAGTTGACTCTAGGACGGCAGAGAGCAAAACGTACGGAACTGTGAAGGAAGGATCTGCATAGTCCCCCCCCCCCCCCCACTCCGCTACCTGCACTTCAAGGTGCACAACGTTATGCTCATCAGCTTCTACACAGTGCTAATAGGTACTGAGTGTTAGGGAACCGAACTTGCAGACACTGATACATGTACTGCATGGTATACGTCAGGGCCGGAGGCAGCTTCCGCGGAGCGGTGCGGCCGAAGGGCCATGTTTAAGGGGGTCTGGGGGTCGTCCCCCAGAATTTGTTTGGAATTTAGGCGGCAAATCCTGCACTCTGGGCGACTCCCTGTACAAAATCATACATCGAAACTTTTTCTCCCCGGTTTTGGACGTTCCACGCCCACTTTTTGTTTTTGTTTTTTTTTGTTTTGGTACGGCCATGGCCGTACCGGCCGTACCAGTGGCGCCGGCCCTGTACGTATACACAGTTCTAGACTTAACCGTGTATAGCACACAGTCATTGCGAACATGCGGTTGCTTCATATCAAGATACACGTATGTTACATCCTCGTCTGAAGTGACGCTTTGCATTCGTGCACGGCAATGCAGCTTACTTTCAATGTCGACAGCTCCAAAGTCAGCTTTTTGCTCGTGGATGTGCTGGCTGTGTGGTCATCTTTCCGCTGTTTCTCCAGCTTTTGACGGAGTGCCTCTTCCTCGCTCAGCTTGCTGGTCAGTTTGTTGTTGGCATCACGCAGTTGCTTGATCTTTTGTGTTACACATAGAACAGTTGCAAAGTAAGTTATAGCACTGAGGTAATCTCGATGCATTGCAGTACAATGCTCCTCGTTATTTCACTGCTGCTGCTGCTGCTGCGACTACCTTCACTCTCTTTCTCCCTCACAGGCCGTTAGTTAGTGTAGACTCTACTCATATGATTTTCCAGACACAGAGTATCAAAGTGAGTGGAATCATTACATTATGAGGTATTAGGAGGTACTGTATTAGCGGCCATGTTGTAGCATTACCTGGGTGTTGAGCTGCTGGTTTCTCTTCTTGCTCTCCTCGCCAGACTTGTCTATTTCGCTCAGCTGGCTGCCGTACTTGTCCATGACGCTCTGCAGCTCCTTCTGATGCTCAAGTCGCTGCACATTCAGCGCATCGTCAGCGTCTTGGTGGGCTTTCTGGGCGCTGCACAGTGATGCACTGAGCCTTTCGGTGTCCTTGACAAGTGTTTCCTCGCGCTTCTTGAGAGTGCAGATTGTACTCTGGCTCTCCTGGATGATAACAACACATCATGTACAAACACAGGCATCGTATGACATCAGAAAAATACCTGAGATGTACGACTTCTAACTACAGTAAAACCTGGTTTAAGCGACCACCCCACGGTGCAAGGAAAAGCGGTCGTTAAAGCCGGGTGGTCTTCAGAACCAGGTCCCACAGAGTCTGTGTAGAACTGTCCGTGCGTGGAAAAACGGTCGTGAAGAGCAGGTGGTCGCTAAAACGGGAGGTCTCTTACGCCAGGTCTTACTGTATCACTATTGTGCTTCATTTTGAACGAGATCATAGGTGATAGTTACAGTTGGGACAGTGGAGTAAAAGTCTGTAAAACAGAAATTGCCATTGATCACTGCCACTGAGAGTATTAGGCTGGACGAGTTGCATGTGCTTGTGTGTAATTGTCACTTCATCAAATGATCAGTGTTGAGCCACACTTTGCATACATGTAGGGTGTGCCTGCATCAGAGAAAATCATCGTCGACTAAACTAACAATACATGACATTGGCCCCGTACAAGACGGTCACATTTCACATTGAACACCACACCACAAGACGTCCACCCAGCGTACTCTACCTGGTCTTTGCGCTCCCACTCGGCACAGTCCAGAGCGAGCTTCTTGACCTGTGCCGACAACTCCGCCTTCTCCGTCTCAAATCTGGTCTGAGCTGCAGCAAGCTCTTGTGCAAGGAAAGTTGTAGCTGCAGGACATGCCCATTGTGTACATAAGAACAGCTGGCCATTAGTACTTGTATCATTAGCCTCTGCTAGTAGAAAGGCTGGCTCTGGGTATAAGTTATGCAACAGCGTACTGCAAATATGCACGGTGACAAAAGTGGCCATACAGAAGGGAAGCGACTGGACAAAGGGTGCTGGCATAGACCGTAACGTTACGTACCTTCCCTTATCGCTTCTCTCAGCCGTGTCTCAACGTCACGTTCCACCTGCTCCGCCTATTGAGAGCACGGACACACAGTAACAGCAACAATCACATACACACACACACACACACACACACACACACACACACACACACACACACACACACACACACACACACACACACACACACACACACACACACACACACACACACACACACACACACACACACACACACACACACATGCATACATGCTGATATGGGGGACACAGGACACTTGGTGAACTGTAGCATAAAGTGATTCTTGAATAGTGAATAGTGAATAGTGGGGCATGCCGCAAGAGATGTTGGCGATGCAACTACAGTTTGCCTAGCAATCACAACTACAGTCAATTTTGCGAATAACGACATTCGGCGGGGCATCAGAAAAGTGTCGTTATTCGCGAAGTGTCCTTATAACCGAAGTCCCATTTGAATGTATGTGAATCCATATTTTGTATAGTGTGACATGCATATCAAAATGAAGCTCTTTTCTTGCTCTATGTCAAGGTGTACTTTATTTCCATATTGCAGTTGAATGGAACTATAAAGTCAATACGCAAGGGAAATAAATTGAAAATTATGCCTTTTTGAGCCATCTACAGGGCCAGGGACATGTACATGTATGATGATTACTGTACAATCATGTACAACTATATGTATATGTACAGGTGTGCTGGTAAATCCAACAATTTTGAAGCAAAAAAAAAGAGGAAGAACCCCCCCCCCCCCCCCCCACTTGGCTGCATTTTCTTGCATGTGTGCCTTTATCCATCACCTGATCACCATGGCCGGGTTCTGGTACTTCTGCATGACATGTACATGTACATGTACTTGACTGACAGGTACTTGAAATAGCTGGCAAAATCCCGGAAAGTCGTTATTCAAGCAGTGAATATGACCTCGGGGTACTGAAAGCATGTCGCTATTCGCGAATTGTCGTTATTCAGATAGTCGTTATATCCGAAGTTAAATGTATACAGTCAGATGGGGCTTTGCTCTGGGCATGGAAATTCGGTCGTTATTCGCGGATTGTCGTTATATCCGCAGTCGTTATTAGCGAAGTTGACTGTACTACAATGTATACTATAGATGTAGTTGCTAAGTGGAGCATTGCACAATGCACCTGACGCTGCAATTCAGCTTGCACTTCATTCCAGCACCATCTTGGGCTGCTGCCATCCATGCATCATTTCGGTTCACTCCGGCAGGGTTCCTGGGAGTCGTGAATCTCAACACTACACCCTGATCCACTCTAGCAGTCACAGAATCGCCACTATGCTCGTGGTATACAAATCATGATAATGATATTAAATGAGCATTGTCACGCCTTGTGTCTCACATATAGTCTAGGGTGTAGATCTACAGTAGGTCTACGTAGCTAATGTTACTTGAGAGGTTCCACAGGGCATCTGCATGGATGTGTGAACCGCTGAAGTGGGTGGGTTTCTCACCTGCTGCACCAGTTGCCTCAATAGTGTGTTACAATCGCCCGCAGCATTGTTTAGCACCGCACCGACATGCTCGTGACAAGATCCCCTGCCCGCTGCAGAGACAAGTGTCTGTGACGCTGACCCAGTCACTCCGCCATTGGCACCTTGTCCCTCTCCGAGCAAAGACGTGGATGAGACCTGCTTCGGCGCGCTACCAGCTGCAGCGACGGCTGCTGATGCCGATGCTGCTGCGGTGGCTGGTATCGGAGGGATTGGCGGAAGTTTCGCCTTCCCGCTTCCGCAGCGAATAGCAGCCATTACTAGTTATGACAACAGAACCAGTATGAGATTGGAAACTTCTTCTTGGAATATTTGCTATTATATCTACTGGCCGCACCGTTAGATTCTTCTCCGATGAATGAGACAAGTAATTAGTTAGTTGCGAAGTGAATCATCGACTGCGGTGGTGTTGTTTGTTTGTGACATTTCGGAATGGTCCTCTCCGCTACTGCGCCAGTGTCGGCTAGGTTGTTTGAACTGCTCTCTGGGCCCATCGGTCACCTGGCAACGGAACTTACTTTGATCCGTCTCGTGAACCAATCCATAATTATGGACATGCATGCTTGGTGCTCTGATCTGAGTGAGTTTGTAGCCTCTAGTCTAGCCTAGGCTCTACTGGCTATGATCTAGTACACGGTTCGTTGCTAGGGGAGGGCTACTTTCTCCCCAACTCCGGCAAGACTGAACTCTGAAGTCGTGGCCATACCTTGTCTTTGACTTTTCAGAAACCTACCTGCTTGCAGGAGTCGAGAGATAGTGCACGGTTGTTTGTTGGCTGTCGCTACCGAACACTTGTGTCTTCAGCGTTAGATTTCACTGAGACTGCGGTCGTAAATCATAAGTGGCCGGAACGGAACAGGACTCCGACTGATCGCTAGCGCTGCAGCTGCTAGACTAATTCGCTATCAATTATTATCATGTCCAGTAGTAGTCGACAGAAGTCACTCTTCGGAGCACCAGATGCGTTTGCCACGGAGATGAGCAAGCTGGTCAACAGCTCCGAACTAAGGTATGCGTTGTAGCCACGAAACGTAATACTAGTGCGCAGCCGAATCCTTGGCGTCCACTACATGCTAGCCTAGAAGGGTAAGGGGAAGATGTCGGAACAAGATGAATGGGATAGCATAGTGTGGATGTGATTGCAATTGAATAGGATCGGTTATTGGAGGACATGTGCATGTTCGTTGGTGCTCCTTCAATTCATTGGGCCGTGACTATCACATCATTCAATGGGTCGCCATGTGTAGTACAGTCGTCCCTCTCTAATCCAGCACTTTATAATCCAGCACCCTCGATAAACCAGCACGATTTTCAGTAGCCAAAATGTCCTCTTCATGCACATTGCAGCAGTCAATCAGATTTGTTAATCCAGCACCCTCCCTAATCCAGCAGATTTCCCTTGTTACAAATGGTGCCGGATTATAGAGGGACCACTGTATACACTGCATCTAGCATGGCGCTGAGGTGTGGAATGCAAACTGTCGGCATCACAACCCGCACCAGCTGCATCATGACCTAGATCCTGACATCTGCACTCACGATCACGTGTCTAGTCGGTGTGCATGCTCCGGTGAGAACTACATGAATCTTTCTGTTTCATCCCGTGCAGTGATTTACAGTTCGTCCTTGGCGAGGATCGACACCTTATCTATGCCCATCGCTGCATACTGGCCGCAAGGTTAGCGTACATGCACGCATACCCAGCTCCTTAAACATTACCACCGATCTGAACACTGTGTGAAGAAGCCTGTCTACCCCAACCCGGCAATACGTTTGAGTTGGATCACCATCAGTTGATCTTTAACCCCCGAGTTAATTTGCTTATCAAGATTGTGCCAACAAATGACTACCAAGTTTGAAGTCGGTGTACTGCCCGAAGCCAGCAGCATGAAGGCAATAACCCACTCTGGAAAACAGGCCACAGTGGACGCTGTAGTTTTACACCATGAAGGCCCAACACATGTACTATACTACACATGTACTATACTACACATGTACTATACTACACATGTACTATACTACACATGTACTATACTACACATGTACTATACTATACATGTACTATACTATACATGTACTATACTATACATGTACTATACTACACATGTACTATACTACACATGTACTATACTACACATGTACTATACTATACATGTACTATACTATACATGTACTATACTATACATGTACTATACTACACATGTACTATACTACACATGTACTATACTACACATGTACTATACTACACATGTACTTGTAGTACTATACTATACTATACAATGTCATGTACTACTTTGAAGTAGTACAGTACAGTATATTATACTGTACTGTACTACTTCAAAGTATACTATACATGTACTATACTATACATGTAGTACTGTACTCTTGTTTCTCCATGCACACTTGGCAGATGTGAGGTGTTTCGGGCCATGTTTGCGGAGAGGAGTGCATCAGACGACATGCCCTTTGTGCTATCAGATGTTCAGCCGATCACGTTCATTATGATGCTGGAGTTCATCTACACAAACAGATGTTTACCGACATTGGAACAGGTACGTATCCAGTTGGACGGGGAGAATCATTTGTGAGCAGGTGAAATAGTGATTGTTCCGAGGCTACGTGCTGTGTGGAGTGGGATCTATGCACGAGAATTCCAGTCCGGACTTCCAGTAGGGTGTACAAACAAAGTCCAAGCTCTTGCTTCCATCCATGCGTACCGGCTGGAATGGTTCTGTGGTGATGTTCCGACCTCGGCGCCTCATATAACTCCCACGTCCCATTGTAACGTACCATTACTGAATTGCTGGTAAAACGAGCAACCTGAGCAACGGTTATGCGCATGTAAACCATAACAATTATGCGTGCGTGTGTGTGTTCCCGTGTGTGTGTGTGTGTGTGTGTGTGTGTGTGTGTGTGTGTGTGTGTGTGCATGCGTGTGTGTATGTGTGTGTGTGTGTGTGTGTGTGTGTGTGCATGCGTGTGTGTGGTGTGTGTTCCCGTCTGCTACAGGCAGTGGACCTGTTGAGCACTGCGGTTGAGTACGGTCTACCAGAGCTTGTCAAGGTAAACAATGCTGTAGGGGTGTCCAGCAGGGAGTCGGGCTATCGAGGGAGAAAACACGGGCTGTAGGTGGTAATGTGGATTTCACTTCCAGAGTTCTCGTCAGAATCGTCCTTCAGGCAGGGTCGGTTTATGCACCCTCACGGCATTCCATCGCTGGGCCGGGCTGCCTAAAATGGGGTGATCAGTTACGGCTTCGGTCACAATTGCATATTGCATACTGACAACACAGATAACGTAGAACTTAGTTACGAATCCCGGCCCAAAACGAACCCTGTTCTGGTACTGTGGTCTCATGTCGCTGTAAATGCTTTTACTACATGTACATTGTAGCTGATAGTAGACTGATACCCACTGACAGCCACGATGAGATGTGTGAGCTATAACAATAATAATAATAATTATTATTATAACGGCTACCACGGCACACATATGCATGAACATGTGCCGTGTACTTTACTGTGTATGCACATTGGCTGCACTCTTTCACACGTTTGGTACTGCTGGTTACATGATTGTGTAGCTTTGGGGGGGGGGGGGGGGGGGGCGTGTCATACCTCTCCACCTGCTTGGATCCATGTCCCATAGCTGTGCTCAAGTCCAGTGTTTTTCTGCGCTCCGTTTCAGGTGTGCATCCGATTCATGACAGACCGGCTAACCGTGGAGAATGCTTGCGAATATGTACAGGTAATACTGCAATGACTGTAGGTGCGTGCACGGCACAGTTCTACTGCAGCCCTGCATACACTGTGAGCCGGTTGTGCGATGATGAGTGCAAAATGAAAACTCTAAACTTCCATGGTCATCACTTGCTACAACTTACCAATCAGGCTGGGGTTATAACCTCAATCGTGCATCTGTGTGTGTGTGTGTGTGTGTGTGTGTGTGTGTGTGTGTGTGTGTGTGTGTGTGTGTGTGTGTGTGTGTGTGTGTGTGTGTGTGTGTGTGTGTGTGTGTGTGTGTGTGTGTGTGTGTGTGTGTGTGTGTGTGTGTGTGTGTGTGTGTGTGTGTGTGTGTGTGTGTGTGTGTGTGTGTGTGTGTGTGTGTGTGTGTGTGTGTGTGTGTGTGTGTGTGTGTGTGTGTGTGTGTGTGTGTGTGTGTGTGTGTGTGTGTGTGTGTGTGTGTGTGTGTGTGTGTGTGTGTGTGTGTGTGTGTGTGTGTGTGTGTGTGTGTGTGTGTGTGTGTGTGTGTGTGTGTGTGTGTGTGTGTGTGTGTGTGTGTGTGTGTGTGTGTGTGTGTGTGTGTGTGTGTGTGTGTGTGTGTGTGTGTGTGTGTGTGTGTGTGTGTGTGTGTGTGTGTGTGTGTGTGTGTGTGTGTGTGTGTGTGTGTGTGTGTGTGTGTGTGTGTGTGTGTGTGTGTGTGTGTGTGTGTGTGTGTGTGTGTGTGTGTGTGTGTGTGTGTGTGTGTGTGTGTGTGTGTGTGTGTGTGTGTGTGTGTGTGTGTGTGTGTGTGTGTGTGTGTGTGCAGGCAGCACTTGTGTATGAGCTCACAGACCTCCAGTCAACGTGCAAGCAATTCATTGAGAGTCACACTGCAGTAAGTCTAATAGACTATTATGGAATGACATTCTGTGCACCACTACGTGCGTCACATCATCTAGGGAGATTGCACTTGTTGATATTTCATTGCTAGTGTAACCCATATTTGGGTCAGTTGGTCACAGCCTCGATCGAAAAACACATGTTCTGTATGTAATGGATCCTGTACAACGTCCTAGTCCGGGTTCAGACACACACCGTTTCAGGTCAGGTTTCAGTTACCATGGTAACTATGGCCTCTTGTCTCATGTGTATGCTAACTCACTGATGTGCGACTTATCTGCCAGAAATTGTTGACACCTCTTTCTCCTTCTCCTGATCCTCTTTCTCTTCTTCTTCTTCTTCCTCCTCCTCCCTCTTTCCCTTCTCCTCCTCCCCCTCCCTCCGTCTTCTCCTCCTCCTCTTTCTCATGTGTTTCATTTTCAAACGCTGACAGAAAGCCGGTGTCACCTTCTCACCCCATTTTCAGTAAAGTATTGATTGCCTGCCATCACGGATACATGGACCAGCTAGTATTGCAGTGGCACGGATGTGATGGCATAATCCCATCAGTGGTGTTGTATGGTGTCGGGTCCCCTGTATGTGCAGGTTGTGTTCCAGTCAAGGGGATTTCACGAGCTGTCCGAGGAGACCATGATATTCGTTCTGAAATGCAACGGACTACAGCTGGATGAAGGAGAAGTACTCAAGCACGTGAAGGAATGGGCGAGCGTTAACTCCGTAAGATTCACCGGCTGTTCCGCGATGTCCTTCGGGGGAATGGTGGCTGCTTGTCACAATGTGAATGTATGCATGCTAGGGCTAATAGAATATGGCGGATTGCTTCTGTCGTATGACTGATGTGGCACTCGATGTGGTGGTCAATTATTCAGCCTTGCAAGCTGTTGAATGGTGCAATCCCAGCACAAGTTGCTATGGCTTCTGCTGTAGCATCGCTATCATCGCCTCCGGCGATGGGCGTCACATGGTGTGCACGTGTGTGTGCGTGTGTGTGTGTGTGTGTGTGTGTGTGTGTGCATATGTGTGTATGTGTATACATGTGTATGTATGTGCATGGTGTGTGTGTGTGTGTACGTGTGCAAACACGTTTCATGTAAAATCCACTGTCTTCGGTGTGTGTATTCACCTTCAGGTTGTTACAGGAGAGTCGCTTGGGGAGACGTGTCGCAATGTCATAGAGCATGTGCGCTTTCCACTGCTGGACCCAGATGAGCTCAAGGTCATAGAAAAGGAGAATGAAAAGAAAAAATACATTCCGGTGAGTACGGGTCTCTTTTAAAGATGAAGGATGCCCCATCTCATTTGCAAAGGAATTGCTCTTCAGTCTATATACATATACAGGATTGTGACATACAGTGCTGGGAACTGAAATCCGACCCCATTGCCGGCGCGCCGCCAAGGGGGTCGGATTTCAGTTGCCAGCACTGTAGCAGGGTGATGTGCCCAAATACTCCATGGAATGTAACATTTTGTTTCCGGGGCGAGTGTGCCGGTTTAGACCTCAGAAAATACGGTAGTGAGCATTTGGATCCTCTTGGCTGATTGTGTGTTGGAAGGGGGGCTTGTTTTACGATCAGGTGCACTGTATAGCTATGTCAGGTGTACTGCATACCTATGTCAGGTGCACTGTATAGCTATGTCAGGTGTACTGTATGCCTATGTCAGGTGTACTGTATGCCTACGTCCTATGCAGATTTATCCAGGACTGTGTTGTCATGCTACGTACTCTCAGTGGCGTTACAACATTGATATGACATTGGCTGTTCGTTATTGTTGGCACTGCAGGTACGTCTGATATCAGCGGCATGGAGGTTCCATGCTACAAAGCACGCCGTGCCAGGTGACCCACAGGTGACGGTACGCAGCGGCACCCTGCGTCGGCCATCCTTGCAGCCACTCGGCCATGGCTTGTAATGTCTGCTATGAGCTAAGCTATCAGCCTTCCACACTGGCAAGACAGAAGCAGAATAGAGTGTATGGACGTGTGGTTGGCTGCTAACATACACAGGTCAGGCATGCACACCCAACAGCGTACATTGCTGCTGGATGAAGCTGTTGGCAGGTTCACAGCTCCGGCATTGCAGTGCTGTCCATGTGCAAATCTGAGCTGCTGACATTGTGTTCGCATTCTACGGCCGACCTCGTTCTCACGTATCCGTGCAGAGTAGCGCGGGCTGGGGAGCGGGCAGTGAAGGACAACTGGCTTAAAATCAATCCGTGGGCCAGTGGGGCCACAGATAGGTGCAATTAATTCGCAAGATGCATACAGTCGAAAGCAGAAACTGGGCACACCTGCAATGCACATGCATGTTCGTGTTCACATTTACACAGCTCTTTGCATCACCAGTCCGACAATAATCACACTTGAAGTAGCTCACTTCTGAGCATTGTGTTGTAAATAATCAACTCGATTATTCCTGTAGTTATGGTAGCTGCTGGTAGTGCTTTTTTATTTCATTTATTTACATTTCGTCCCTCTCTTGAGTCCGGCTTAGCAAGAGGCTTGATAACATTGGTTACTCTGTTGATCTGCAATAGTGCAGCACTGTTCAATGCGATTGCTTCAAGTTTCACCCCGCTGAAGTTATGTTCTCCTGGCAGGAAATTCTCAGAACTCCGACAGTGTCAATTATTCATTAGAGAGAGAGAGAGAGAGAGAGAGAGAGAGAGAGAGAGAGAGAGAGAGAGAGAGAGAGAGAGAGAGAGAGAGAGAGAGAGAGAGAGAGAGAGAGAGAGAGAGAGAGAGAGAGAGAGAGAGAGAGAGAGAGAGAGAGAGAGAGAGAGAGAGAGAGAGAGAGAGAGAGAGAGAGAGAGAGAGAGAGAGAGAGAGAGAGAGAGAGAGAGAGAGAGAGAGAGAGAGAGAGAGAGGTGAACTTCTTTTAGAACTTCTCAGGCTTGATTCTTTTCTCGGCTCAGTCTGCGAATGATCCAGGCTGTAGTGTCACATCTGAATGTACTGTCACCATGTGTGTGTGACGTCGCCTAGGACTCAAGTTGCATATACATGTAATGGCAAAGCCGGCAATAACTGCATGTAGCTACTTGACACAGAGTCATCTTTTTCAGCCGGCAATACTAGTATACATATTTGCTTTTATATAGTCCAAATTTGCTTCGTTTTCTTCAAGAGTCTTTTCCTTTTCTTTTCGACTTCTTACTCTTTTCCTTGCTAGCCGTGGTTGGCTATAACTTGAAAACTCTGCCATCACCACCGGCGCAAAGTGGTCATTGGCTACCCCAGCCACGTATTGCTTGGAATAAAACCAAAACTAAAACATGTAAGTTACTGCCTGTACTGTTACTGTTACTGCATGTAAGTTACTGCCCACCTCAGCCACAGGCAATGCATGGAAGTACCTGCCCGCTCGCGGATGAAGCTGATTGGCTGTAGAACAGACAACCCTCACGTGACATGCTTTTTAATCAACAAAATAAAGACGACCAAACATAATAATCATCTACTACCGGGTACATGGTGATTGGTGACAGGGCCCTGGGTCTGGGAGTTGTCAAATGAAGAGTGCATTATAGGCGATTCACACGGCAGGCAAATCCACGTTTGTCAGGTGCCCGCAGGAAGTGAAACACGAGGCTGCAGTTCACACGGCCGCGGGTGGCGGCCAGAGCTCCCGCGAGTATTCGGTGAGTATACGGCGTTACTGTGGTGATTTGGAATGAGTACCCAAAGGCAAAGGCCAAACACTGAACCAGGGTTCAAGACTACCGTACGATTGTACGACCTCACAGCCTCATATTGTCATAACTGTAAACGTGCCCGCAGATGAGGGCATCCGCGGGCAAAAAAACCCATGGACACTTTTGATTCCCGTGGACAAATTTTGGTCACCCGCAGGAATATCTCCATGGTGATTTTCCTGTAAACGTGGATTTGCCTGTCGTGTGAATCGCCCCCTGGCCTGGTTATGTGCTCTACAAAAAATAAAATTAATGTATTACTACAACTAACTAGTAGTAGTGACTAGTGTAGTCTTGGTCGAATGCAGGTGCATGTATTTCGACGCCGGACTCACGTTCTACATGCATGCTGATTGCTGAGCTCGGCCGGCTCAACAGTCAACACGTACATGACCATGCATGATGACAGCCACCGACCGATCCATACACTTATTTTTTGTCTTTGAAGCAGGGAGTAGGACAATAACGGTATTGTACCGGTATTGTACTACTCCCTATGGCCTAGGCCCTGCATGCCAGGGAGTATTTTACGACTCCCTCGCGGCCCGGCGCCCTGCTCCCTGCTTTGAAAATAATTGAAGAGTACATTTTTGAACTGTCGCATGCCAGGCCTGCACCAAGACTATTAGTATTATAATTACTATTACAGGTAGACTCCCTCTAATTCGAATACGGTATAATTCGAACATTCCGTGTAATTCGAACTTTTTCGTCGTACCGATCTTCTGCAAGTCACTTCAAGTCAAAATCGAATGCATAATTCGAAGTACGAAAAGTGCGCCGGTTGGATAATTCGAACCCAGTCTTCGTACAGAAGAGCTGTTTACAGTACATTGGCTATGTCCTTTGAACGCTTATTTCGAAGTGAGATTGAGTTGCAATCCTTGTAATTCGAAGTTCATTCTTTTCTCCTTCTCTAGCCAAGAGTAGCTCAAAAATCGATCGATGGTCCGCTGCAGGATCGACTATAGCGTTCAAGAAACCCACCTTCTCTCGAAATTTGATTCAAGCCCGTGCGAGGCAAATTGCAAAGGTTTGATTGAAGACGACTTCTTCCTGGTGGCTGACTCTCTTCGCGGATCTCGATGGCCTTTCTTACCGCGCCAGCTCGTGCGCGGAGATGTTGGCGCACAACAACACTATTATCGTAAATATTGTCTATGCCTTTGCTCCACTTCCGTTCTTCAGAACGACGTGCTGCTGTCCAACGGCCTTTCGTGACGCCGATTAGGCAGCGCAGTTCTTTTCCGTTGAAATAATTGTTTCAGGAAAGCTGCAGTGACTGACAACTTCTTCACTAGATGTCAAAAATTAATGGTTTTGTGTCTATCCAGTGTTTTGATGATCCGTTGTACATGACCCGTACCTATGTTTCGTTGATGCAAATAAAAATGTGCCAAAAATATTCAGCAAGCGATTTCAAGCATTTTGACATACATATCAGTGCATGGGACTGCATTTGGATAATTAGAAGTTCTGGATAATTCGAAGTCAGGGCCTGGCAATTTGAGGTTCGAATTAAAGGGAGTCTACCTGTAGTATTAGTAGGGGTCCCATACGATACTGTAGATCTACGAGTCGCAGAAGTGACCGGTCATGAGTCTCATGAGTCATGACCCTCGATCGAACGTGATTCTGGATATGACACCCTCTACTCTGATCTGGCGCATGGCGCGCGCGTAGAATGTGAACGCGATGTGTGTCGTGCCATGTGTAGATTCTACGCCCAGCATGTGGTGCATTGTTCAACGGCAAAGTCAAAGTTCGTTCAGTACAGTCAGTAGTCCTTGTGTCGACTCATAGTCATAGAGACTCATCATACTCACCACACAGTGTGCATCCCATTGGGGGGAAGGTGGACTGCTATCTATTCGATCGTCTGACAACGACGTCTTCGGCAAGGGTCGGGCGACTCAGGTATTTCTAGTGTTTGGCCGACAAGGATATTCGACGGCAACCAACCGGTGAGAGAATAGCTTTTTGTATTGTGGACGTTCAATTTGTTGAGAGCCTACTGCCGTATTTGCGTACCTTGAGAACCCTGAAAACCTATTGAGTGTCTTTGAGTTTGAAGTCTCGCCGAGCAATTATTTCCAGAACGAAATGTGGAATGCGTTTGTGTGAATGTCCATGCCTAGCCTCTATCCAGATATGTATTAGCTCTCATCTGCCATCCACTGTTTCGTCTATTTGTCCAGTGGAAATTGTGATTTTGCCCTTTGGCTTTGGTTCAATGAAATTGAGTTTTACTCAACACAACGAATGTGGGCTCGGTCCTCCTCCTCATCATAATCATGTCCGTTGATTGTTTCTTGCGTGGTCAAAAAAATGCTGATAGAATAGGTGAGAAGTACAGCTTACCCTGTTAGCTTGTGTGTCATTCGAAGTGGACTATGCACAGTGAAATAATTAATTATCGTATCAGTTGCAATGTTATGTTTTTGTCTGATATGTTTACGTTGAATCCTGCAAGCTCGTGTGATAAGATACATGTGTCCGAAGACAAGTATTACCGTTGCGTTATGTCTTTAGTTTAGGTTTGCTCAGGCTGTGGTGATGGCTCAAGCGCTCCATTGACCAGATTGTGTCATGTATTTGAACTGATTTATGACAATTGAAGTAGATGCTTTTTGGGAGTCAAATCACGTGTCGGTGAATCCATTCTGCTGTCTGGTGTGGCATGCAGACTGATCATGTATACTAGTACTAGTAGTGTCCGTGTTGGGTGACAGTGTGTGGTGGTCGTCCAGATTGGAAAATTTAAATCCACTTCAACAGTAGAATCTACTAGTACTAGTAGTCTGCACTGCATTGCTATCAGCTCTCTAAATGCAATACTAAGTCTATCGATCGTGTCTCCGACTAGTATCGTATTTGGTTGGCACGGCATCGGTCAGAAACACTGACCTCCACAGTGTCCGCTCCACCTTGCCACCTGATTTTGATGTATCCTATGTGACATCTATCTAACTGGCGGCACGCTTTATGTCTAGTAATGTAGGGCATGCTTTGCTCCCTGGTGGTGTTTTGTTTTTGCTTATAGCTGGCCAAGCATGGAGCATGCACAGACCCACAATGATGAGACGCACGCTCCCAGGAGGGATGGAAACGGACACACACCGGCTGGTGGAAAGGTGCGCATTGAAGCATGCCCTGCGGGCGGCGCAACGTACGTGGTGCTGGACAACGGGGACTTCTGCAAGCTGCCTGACAAGGAGGCACGAGAGCGGGTTCTCAATGAGTATTTCGACGAGGCGTTCTCCACCGATGCCAAGACTGGCCAGCCACGTCATGTGATGGCTATTGTGCGCGGCGCTGCCGAGTGTCTTCCTGATCCGTTCCTCCACTTGGCAAAGGACCATCCGCAGGTTGTCGGTCAGGTTCGCAAGCTGTTATCCAAGTCCACATCTACAACAACACTAGAGGAGTACTATGAAAGTGTGCAGAAGTCGCTCTGTGGCAATTGCTCAGGAGCTGGTCCGCTGAATCACATTAGTCTTGTAGGTACTGTCAGTGAAGAGGTAGGTGGCTACTTCCCTGAGATGCTGGAGCGTCTGGAGGAGAGTCCCTTTCTCCAAGCAACCATGCCTTGGGGCCGCCTGTCCAAATTAAAACTGGGGTCACAGCGTGACAGTAACGATGGCCCCATCTTGTGGGTTCGACCTGGTGAGCAAATGATCTCTAGTGACCATCCGACGGATCAGCCTGCTGCGAAGCGGATAAGGTTAGAGTTCGTTGCCACCATCGAATCCCACATCTAGTGCTCTCTCTCTCTCTCTCTCTCTCTCTCTCTCTCTCTCTCTCTCTCTCTCTCTCTCTCTCTCTCTCTCTCTCTCTCTCTCTCTCTCTCTCTCTCTCTCTCTTGCTCTCTCTCCTCTGCCTGGATGTGGATATATGTGGTGTGTACCTGTGTATGAGGTAATTCAACAGCAATACACATTTGAAGAAATCCAGGTCACAGCTGCAGACGTAGTGCTGAACCTCGGGGATGCAGCTATGACGCAACAGTGTGTGCAATGTGTATTGTGCATGGTGTCTATGCTGTGCGCCGTGTTCACATGCCGGTATGCCTTTGACCTGTGCAGGAAATCCACTGGGGCATTGGCAGACCTGTACAGTCAGAAGCAGAGGGGCACCCGAGAGACACTGTTTGAAGATCGTACTTACTGCCATGCTGATCAGGTGGCTGAGGACGGGGGTGATGGTGGCATCGGGCGACACACCACCTGTGCTGTTGGCGTCTTGAAAGCAGTAACCCGACGTGGGAAGTAAGTGTGTTGTCCATGTACTTATCGTGCATATACGCACGCACACACCCACCCACACACAATACAGCGGCGGCGGCAGAGGAAATAGTTATTGAAAAGTCTATCTGTTCACTTTGGTTAGGGGATGGTTTCCTCGTTCATCGCGTGTGGTGGTGGTGGGGGTCTGTACTTGGGCAGTAGTTCTGTGGAGATGTACTGCTGCCCAAGTGGTGTGATCAACAAGGCACGGAAATGCACCATCAAATGGCAGGTTCCGCTATATTTACAGCAAAGTCCCTAAGATTTTTGCTCTCAGGCTGATGTTGGCTATCGCTCGGCCTCTGAATGTTTGATATGCTTTTGAGGACTTGCTCATGGTTATATTTTTTGCACTGTGTATGTCATATCCTCTGCTGATGCTTGCAATGTAGACCAGCTCCAGAGAAACTGGTGGTCAAGGACGTGATAGCATTCTCGGCCTCGTCATTTACCAGCGTGGCAAAAGAGTTATCGATCGATGTGTTTGAGCCACCAGCTTCACAGGTGAGTTCACCTTGGGTGAGCGTGTGCATGGTGTCATGGGTGTCTTTCCCAAGTTCCTGATGATTCTCCTTTCCCCTCTCCCGGGTTACAGTCCATTCATAGAAAGATGGGCCCTGGCTCTGGCGAGCTCCCGTATTTGGCGATTTTCCGTGATTTCGTCATACACAGACTGTGCAGTGCTGCGAAATTTGAAATTTGAAAAAGGATCCAAGAAGGGTACCTGGACTGGGGTTCGAACCGCACAATGCACTGTTGCAGGCGAGGTCAAATGGCCTGGATTTTGAGGGTTTTCCCAATTCAGTCCTTTTGGGGCAAAACCTGGCATCCGATATATATTCTTGTTAGGACTTGCTTTTTGGAGAAGAAGACTTCAGAAACATATTTGGAAGAGGATTCCATCGGGGATTGCAGAAAAAAGGTAGAACTCCACCTTTTTTATGAATGGACTGTAGACCCACGCGACCGATTTCTGGCAATGCGTGAGTTTGTAAAAGTGTAGTTATTCCGAATTTGCACCTGTGCATATTGTGATTCACTGTGTGGTTTCACTCATGGCATAATGACCTGGAGAAGAAGATCCACGAGGTGGCAGTGGAATGGACGGTGTGTGTGTGTGTGTGTGTGTCCCATATGGTGCAGTGGTATGTGCAGTCGATTTCATCGAGAGGTTGCGGGTTCAATTCCCGACGATTATGGTCGCACACATCTTTCTTCTCTTTCTCGGACTCTTCCTGACTTTTCTTTCATTCTCCTGGGTTGTTACCAACAGCCAGTGTATGCCGGAGTATGTGGTGTGGTGTGTGTGTAGAAAAAAATGGAAAAATGAAAAATAGGGATTCACTGGCCAGAAAAAGTCACTTCAAACAGCTGTGTGGTGGATACCAGGCTAAAAATAGTGGCGGTCAATTCATCAGCCTTGCAAGCTGTTGAATGGTGTAATCCCAGCACAAGTTGCTATGTCTAACATAGCTGTTCGCTATCATCGCTTCCGCGATTGGCATGTCTGAGGTGAGGTGTGTGTGTGTGCTTTTGCGTGTGTGTGTGTGTGTGTGTCCAAATGAAAAGACCAAAAAGTAGGGATTCACTGGCCAGAAAAAGCCACTTCATAGCTGTGTGGTGTAGACCAGGCTGAATAGTGGCGGTCAATTCTTCAGCCTTGCAAGCTGTTGGCCATTGGGTGGTTCAATAGCCAATTGAGTCATCTTTCCAAGATTCCTTTTGAATCTCTCTCCCCTCTCCCAGGGAGACCCACGTGACCAGTATTGGTGGTGAGCATTTTTTTTTGGAAAAGTACAAGTGTGTGTGCTTGTGCACTTGTGTATGTATGCGTGGGTATGTGCTTGTGTTTTCGCAGTGTACAATATGGGTGTGCCAGGGCAAACTCAATGCCATGCACCGAGCTCTGGGGCCAAGTCTGCGGTACGCGCGTATCCAGTTGCATGCCAATGACATCTACTTCATACCGCGCAACGTCATCCATCAGTTTCAGACCATGGCGGCGTGTACAAGTATAGCGTGGCATCTGCGTTACTTGGGCTACGCCAACAAGCCGCATTTAGACCTGATCCCCTCTCTGCTGAACGGCTCCACCATGGCTCCTTCCTCACCCGTTCCACCTGCCACCACCTCTGATTCACCAAGCAGTGCTACACAGTCACCTGGTCTTGTCCGGCGGAAACGGAAGCGTAACGCGAACCAAGCAAGGCGCAAAGCATCCCAGCAGGAGGCGTCCGTCGATGATCAAGAAGAATCAGCAGCGGTGACTGCAGTGTCTCCAGCTCCAGCAGCGAATAAAGACGGCCTTGGCAGTGGCAAAGTGCTGGATCCAGAGCGCTCCAGCAATGGTGGCAAGCTGCTGGACCAGAAGCGCTCCAGCAATGGTAATGGCAGTGGTGCGAATGGACAGCATACTGCACCGGCGGCGAGTGAGCTGTTGACATCTGATCATTCGACTTCACCGTGTAGTGATGGAAGTCCACTTGGCAGTCAGTCACCCGGCGATCAACAACAACCTTTGACGGTTGTGGCAGCGGTACCAACCACATCATCATCAGCAGCAGCAGCAGCAGCAGCAGCAAGACAATGCAGCAAGGTGAGTCATGGTATGGAGTGTTTTGAAGATGTCGCTTCTCCTCAATCCACTTCGGAATCCGATTCCCCGGCCGCTAATGAGACCCCAGACGTATTCACAACTACCAGCGTGAAACGGGAGACAGAGGACAACACAACAGTCACTACCAGTCACTCATTCTATGCCGCAGCTGCGGTTTCCGCCGAGCAGCTTGTTGAGGATTGCAAACCGTTATTCGTGCATCCGGCTTACACTGCCATGCGAGCTGCTGCACCACACTCTTGACCATTGCCCATATTGATGAGAGTGCCGCCAGTCCAGTGGTCAGCCATCTACCTTATCGCAGTTGCGGCAGCCTGACCTGGCGTAAGTAACCAGTGATAGTGCATGTGACTGCCACTCACTGCCATAACGCTATGCGCCATTACACTGTGCGTCCTGCATGCATCCACGTAACTATGTAGCCACTGCACTTGAGACCCATCCAGAGTCGAGCAAGAGAACAACGAGAGATGGCAAAGTATGCTTGCTAGCAGCTCACATAGATTATAAAAAAGTATTCACTACCAAGCTGGCCTCCTAGCACACTTATTATATCCACGATATCACACATCTCATGTTACCGAGAATTCCCAAAGGCACACGTATTCAAGAGCACAGCACTTGCTCCCGTCTTCTACATGTAGTTCTTTTGCATGTTCAAAGAGTACGAGTACTGGAAAAGCGCTTTCTGCCAAACATAGCCGGTTAGCAATATGCCGACATACCAGAGAGCAGCATCATATGATTATGAAAGAATGACCTCGCGTCTAGCGGCCACAATATATAATCAAGATTTCAGCAGCAGCAGCATCATGATCATCATCAAATACACACTCCCCACACTCAGGCCAATTCTATTGTCTACAGAAAGCTTAGTCTTTTGCTCTAGAATTTTGTCCAATAGTACTCGTTGTACACAATTAGCAGTAGGTTGCCATGCGAGCAGCAGCGTACACAGATATTAGCAGTAGGTTGTCACGCGAGCAGCAGCTTGCGTCTGGTTTTTCCTGTAATGAGTCATGTCTGTGCACTCTCGATTGCTTAGTTTCTCCTGCCTTTACAATTCTTTGAATCACGCCTCTCTGAGCGTACTCAAAGTGAAGTCTTATTATTCTGCCACTTCGCTGGTTCCCATTCTAGTTTGCCTCTTGTAAAAATCATTCCCTGAAACACCGTACCAGACGTGTCAGTGACTGTGCGTGTTGCATGGGAAGACTGTGGCCGGCTGCATGATGCCGTGGAGGCTAGAAGGGAACTTGCACTTGTATCTGCTGGTATGCTAGCCACGTGTTGCCGACTATCAGTATCGGTGGAGCTGAGCTGGTCGGCATGGCGACGGTGTGGCACTGATCTCGAGGCGACGGCGCACTTGTACTTGGAAGGGACATTTGTTCACCATCTGCTGTACAATTACTGCAGAGGCAACGCTGTTCATGGCGCCTTGATGCAAGATTGCTAGTCGCTATGCATCTGTTGCTACGTTGGATGTGGCACTGCCTTGTCCAAACTGCAGCTCACCAAGTCCCTGTACCAACAGACAGGCAACACATTCAGACATGCATAGGTAGTCAGACACTAAGAAACAACAGCACTCATTATCCAAGTCTCTCTCGCGCACCAGAGCACAGCGTTTATGATCCTGGGACGGTTGGCATCACTGACGGCACTGTAGACTGATTTGAAGCACCAGCACAGAAAACCTACTTTTCGACTCTCATAGCAGCAACACTTCAGGTGAAAAAGCCAACACAATAATTATTACCGTAAAGTACCGCCAGAGCGCCCCGTCTCGCGAGAGCGCCCCACCTTGAATTTACAGCCAGAGAAAGGAAAATCGTATGGCAGAGTGCAACGAAGTTTGTACGATGTAAGAAGCTTAGTGTACTAAGGTCACACTTGGCAGGTTTTTGTGTGGAGCTTGTGTCCGCTCGAAGGTACGGATTGACTGCAAAACGTGCTATATGTGTACAAGGTTCATGTCGTATGACCTACAGACAGCAGACCACCTCCACAATACGACCCCGAAAGGATGAGATGGTGGGGCGCTCTGGCGGTACTTTACGGTATTAGTCATACACGTTTTCTGAACGAAGTGGGTTCTCCGCTGATTGTAGCACCCATTTCGTCCTACAGGTTCATACACACTTCATCACTGTGCATCCAGGGTAAACGAGAGAGCTTGGAAGCTCAGGGCCCTACGCTATGCTTTTATGCTTTTTTGCCTAGCTCATCGTACATGTTATAAGAACTGATGGAATTGTCTTTTTCCGTTCATTGGCCACATCACTGTATTGCAAAAACGTTTCAATCGGTTTGAATATTATGAGTTAGGCAAAAGTATTTGCAGAATTTATTGCGGATTGTTGTTTCTCTAATAATCATCTACTTTTCTTTTGCTCCTTCTTTTATTTTTATCTCCTTATATTGTAAATCAACAAATTTTGGCCGATGAGAAATAGAAACCTCTCGATTAGAGAGGTTAAGATGCACGTTATTTCCGACGTGACGCGCAGTTTCACGTCAAATTTGAAATCGATCGGTATTTTTGCTCTCACATGCATCCATTGCTCAATCATGCATCATTTGCCTATATGACAAACGTTGGCCTGCGATTTACTTTGTACGGTTGGTACCAAGCGGCGAAATCAGCGAAATTAAATCGCCAGCGAACATTAGTTGATTTTAATACAGGAATCGGATTTTCTGGCCTTTTTGTAGTAATACATCTACATTGACCTGTTGAGCCAATGACGACGCCGAATGCATGGTTGCCTGAGGAGCACATTACATAACTTTACAGTCTCCTAAAATACGTATCCTGTCCGACGGCAAAAGAGGCTGCAGATTTAGTTTTTCTGCGCGTCGACGGGATGTCTGCGACGCGAAAGTTCAGCTCGCGTTATTTGGCTCGCACGTCGAAAAAATCAACGCGAGTGACCTGCTGCTCACGTCGAAATTTGGACATTACATAACTTTACAGTCTCCTATATAAATACGTATCCTGTTCGACGGCAAAAGAGGCTGCAGATTTTGTTTTTCTGCGCGTCGACGGGATGTCTGTCCTGACGTTTACTGGGACCGGCTTAGACTCTGCCGATCACGGCGTTCTGGACTCGACGGGATGTCTATCCTGACGTTTCCTGGGACCGGCTTAGACTCTGCCGATCACGGGCGTTCTGGACTCAACGGGATGTCTGTCCTGACGTTGCCTGGTACCGCCGGACTCTACCGACCACGGGCGTTCTGGAGTCGACGGGATCTCTCTTCCGACGTTTCCTGTGACCGGCACTGAATCGCTCGTTCACGCTTATTTTGGAGACGACGGGATCTCTCTTCCAAAGTATGTTTATGCTGACGCATCCTATCACCTTATCGGCGTCTATTCTAATTTAATTTCCTCCTCGTCTCCCTATTTCTTTCCAAATCCCACTCTACATCAGGGAGTCGTATGCATAATACGACGAATATTGGTACGGTACGGGACAGATACAGGAGCCCGCAAATATTGTGGACAGCTGTTATGTACAATCCTGTAGAGCCTTTGTAGTCACAGATACGGGACAGATACGGGATAGCGCCAGGCGTGACACAAACAAACAAACAAACAAACACACAAACAAACAAATACCAAATTAAAGCTGTGTGGACCCTGGCTAGCGCCAGACGTTACTGAAGTAACGTCTTCTGCATAGCTACGGGAATTAAAGCTGTGTGGACCCTGGCTAGCGCCAGACGTTACTGAAGTAACGTCTTCTGCATAGCTACGGGAATAATACTAAATATCAGATCCAGTGCCACAGAGGGTGAGATAGTAGGGAGGTTTAGCCCCACGTAATCCGTGGGTACTTTACGTGTGTGTACCACGTGATACTCAGTGACCCACGTACAGACGTTTTCAGGTTCACGACATACCGTGTATGGAGGCTCACCCACGTTCCGCCAGAACGTGGGTGAAAATCAGAATGGAGCGCATTGTGCGAGCTGTGAGGGTGCTCAGCTGAAGAAGTTTCCGAAGCACGAAATCAAAATATTGGAGGAGCTTCTTAGGCCCGGGTAGCTTCGTCTTTGACCAGGTTTGGGGCTTTCGGTTCATGCTTTTGTTTGTTCCGTGTGACTAAACACAACATTGCAACGTGGGTGTCCTTCATCAACTTTACGTGGATCACCCACGTACGCGTTTCCGTTACGTGGGAACTAAACCTCACTACTGGAGTACTGTAGTAACCCGAATCCTTACCTCTAGAACAACACGAATATTCGCCTTGATCTTTGACGAATCCTCGGTCAACTGTTCACTTTTCCTGCACACGATAAAAAGTTCGAGAGCACAGTGAGTTACATTGCAACGACCTAGTTATAGTAGTAATGCCAATGCGGCTGCCTATACTCCTAGTATAATTTAATGAAAGAACACATCCTCAATCACATCACATCGCTCTGTCTGTCTGTCTGTCTCTCTCTCTCTCTCTCACACACACACACACACACACACACGCACACCCACACACATGCGCACACCATGTACACGCATCACAAGAGAAACACGCAAATCTGTAGGAGCACTGGATGCACACCCACCGAAAAGCGAAAGCACACATACACGAGACCACCAGAAAAAGATCGGATGACAAGCAGAGCAATCATGGCCACACCAGTCTGCACTTCACAGTGGAGTTGATACCAAGCACATACTTGTTAAGCAGCGCTACTCGCTTCTCGATGATGCCAAGGGCTTCATCTAGACTGCATTCCACGAAGAAGCCAAAGCCCACTGCGACGCATACCTTCTTCGGATCTGGCCTGCAGCAGAAGGAAAGATGAAGCAGTTTTCGTGTGGAAACCAGCACACATGCTACGTCGTATGTGCAGTACAAGTGCAGCCACTCACTCAAGTCTTACACTTTTGCTTGCACGTAGAAGTTACATCCCAGATCGACCTTCGTACGTAGCTCTCCTTTGGGCAGCTCTGCGACCTGTACAGCATGTGCACATCAGGAAGAAAAAGACGTTCATAAGAAATGGACGGTTTTGAAGTGAAGTGACATCATTACACTGCAAGTAAGACACCTGTAACTGCAATTAGCAAGATTGAGACCAATAGATTTAACACTCCGACAATAGAAGTTGGAACATTCACACATGAAAACACGCACGCACACACACACACACACACACACACGCGCGCGTGAACACACACAACACACACTCTCTCTCTCACACACACACACAACACACACTAGTTAAAAACCAAACTAAACACGCACCTTCAGTTGTTCAATCGTTGATTTGAGCAGCAGGTAGTCGGCTATGTCTGCATACACGGCTTCACGGGCAGCCAATACTTTCCTGATGAAAAATAAGTACAACATAGCCTAGCTTTGTGATCACAGAACAAGCGGCAAGCAACAAATAGTGCTGCAGAAAGAACTGAAATTGAAGAGCACTTTTGACGGAGATATTAGGAAACAGTCTGTCAATAGAGATAATTTACTTCAGTACACAACATTGAATTGCTGCTTGCGCTGTGTACTGCACAACTGCATTACAATAGGAGTGTTACTCATAACTGATAACCAGGAAGTCATATCTAGGGACGGCATAGGGTGAGTGGAACGTGAAATGGCGAGGGTTCGCTACCAGGCCGGCCGTTCCAGTCACTCCTGGGGTGAGCAGGCCACGGCCTCAAACGAGCTTGCTCACTGCATAGACCACTATTCACGTAGAACCTCCACATGTGGGGAGACGCGAGCATCGTTTCAGGTGCTATGGTCTCATGATGTCTCCCTAGATGCTAAAACTCCATGCAGCTGATAGTGCATGACTATGCATAGGACTTGGGAACAGTACTGGACTGTCATGGCCAAACACGAAGATCAGAAAGTTTTGTAAAATAGTTGAAGAAAATGAGAGTGCCACACTTGGGAACAGTACAGGACTGTCATGGCCAAACACGAAGATCAGAAAGTTTTGTAAAATAGTTGAAGAAAATGAGAGTGCCACTATCAGCACTAGTAAGCAAAGAACGTTCCATCTCTTCACCCGACCATCCTCTATCAACAAAGGGCATCTGGGAATCTCCACTGCATGATCAGTGAAACTCTCAGCCTAGAATATTGTTACCGATATACTCACTGAAGGTCTCGTTTCAGACGTTCGTTCAAAAATTCTTCGTATTTTCGAACTTTCTCTTGCACATCGTCTCCCATGGCTTCCGATTATTAGTAAGCAGCAATTATATCAATTATCAGTGACAGAAGCGACCAAAACATGGGCTGCAAGCAAGAAAACTGCTAGCTACCACGATACAATGGTAGCAAGATCAAGAGCACAATATTTCACTTCTCATTTAGATTATTCACTTGATCTGGCCAATCAAACTTTTCTTCAAATCAGGGAAATCATATCCGATCCGATCCGAGCTACATCTTCAGAAATTTTTGAATATTTTTTAAAATAATAATGTTCACGTGTAAGTGGGGTAAACTCCGCGGGAGTCCCGATTTATTCAAGTGTCGAGAAGATCTAAGAGAAACAAAAACATGACTTTCGAAGAGGACAGAAAACACAGCAGCAGAGTGGGTTGATTGAAGCCCAAGGAACTTCAGTTAGTTGCTAAGACGAAATAAAGCCAAGGAATAGTACTCAGAACTGGCAGTGTGCTTGTTGTGGAGTGTTTGTAAAGAACCCGCGCGAGCATTGTAGCACCGCTGACGAAATATTGACACAGTTTGCAATGTGGTTTCTCAACCAAGAACTGGGTAAGCATATTCCTGATAACAGAATTAGCTCCTTGCCGTGACACTCACAGTGTGAGATAGACATTTCTTCATGCTTGACCCGTGCGCCCGCTGTGCCTTGAATACTGGCAGTTATGATACAATTCAATCATTGTAAATGATGGCACAGGATCATTATTTTTTTAGATTGCCTGATACTGTTCCAGTAAAAATACAAGATTGTAGACCATAAACGAGTTATTCAAATTTTGCATACTGTCATTATATCAGAGGTAGGGTGTGTGAACAATGTGTACATGTTAAAAGCACGCTCACACGTAGTGCACTAGTAACATGTCCGGTATAAGTACAGCGTCCTTTACATAATTTTATGGCCTCCATCCGCATACATGTACGCACCCACTGACTTTGAAAGCAGTGCATGTGACCAACAAGCAGGAATGGCTACAGGGAAAAGAAGACCTTCGAGGTGGAAAAATCTTACCGTCTCACTCTGACCGCTATAAGCAGTTGGTTCCATGAACGCGCTGGCAATTTCGGAAATGCAGCACGAGCTATTGTTTCACACAGTGCTTTGCCATCGATATTTCCTTCTTGGCTCCCAAGACAAGTTGCCAGGAAACATTCACTGGGTTAGCTCTTCTCATTCTCCGCCATGGCCCCTTCCAGCATGGTGACTTTGCTTGCTAACACAGCCTAGGGCGGGAGCACTAGCCGCGACGAATGGGAGAGAAATGAACAGTCATGCAAGAACAGACAAATGAACTTCACTCCACTTCACAGTATTCCACAACACTACTACAAAGCAGATTTCCACACCCCTGCCATAAACATTGTGTTCTGGTCAATATGGTCTGCCGTTACCCTGCTTAGATACTGTTGATGAAGCAGCTGCCGAGTCTGTGCCTAGCAGAGTACCGTTACTGGTTGGCAAGCAGTACACCATTGGACGACGAGGTATGTACGCTGTCCAGTGATCTATGTCATGACCTGCTGTATGTTGCTAGTGTGGTGGTAGCAGTAAGCGATCCTTTTGGCCAGCCTAGCTGGTCTATCTTCTGCAACATACATGTGCTATTTCATCAGTCCATGCCTTCGAAGTTCATACTTGTGTATGTGTGTTGGTCTGTTTGAGTGTTGTCGTATTGATCATGTCTGCTCGGCTCTACTTGTTGCTACAAGGTTTTTGTGTGTGTGTGTGTATGTGTGTGCAAAGCATGAATTTGTGCATGAGACTATGAGTGAACATGTACAGTTGGGCTCTGTATACTCCGACCCAAAGTGTATATTTGACGCCCTCAACTAATACTTGCACGGCTCTTGACACCCTGGAAGCGGTACGAATACAGCTGGACATACACATGTGCAAAACTGCAAATACAGTGATATAACGTTAGTGGAACTGGTCCAGGGTGACAGTTTTGCATTTTGGGTGGGATTTCACGGAGCGCAGCTGTACATGGACTGATGATGCCAGTAACCTACACAGGCCCGTAGCAGCCCCATTTAGGTTGGTCCGGCAAGATCCGACTTTGATGCTCCCCTCCCCCCCCCCCCCCCCCCCCCATACTCATACATATGCCGGTACATGTACAATTGTACATGACTTTATCTTGCCCGTAAAAGAGGCCGTTACCCCGCCAAAAACAAACAAACAAACATGTACATACATTGTACAATGGACAGGTACATGCATGTAATCGTGACCATGCAGAGTGACAAAGGGCGAGAAAAGGAAGAAGGACGTTCTGCATGAGTCAGGAAAAGGGCATCAGCATGTTGTGTCCGTCCAAACAGAACTTGTTGAAGCCTGGAAGTGTGAAGGCATAGCAACAGTATCTAAATGCATGTGATAAATGAACCAAAATGCACCTTTGGAGGAGGAGAAAGGGTATTGCAATGGACTATCTTTGGTACAAACCCTATCTAGAAAGAATTGGAGGAAGAAAAGAATCCGAACACGTTTCAGGAAGTACAGAGTGGGAACATTCACGGGCAAGACTGTCCTCATGACCTTCAACAGGGTCATCATGATTCCTGATGACATGTGTAGCGTGTGAACCTGGTGTGCTTCTACTTTATGATTTGTTTATCAGTCATTCTTCTGTCTATTCCAAACGTTATCATTTCCGATATTATCTGCCATACTCCGGTTGACGCTCTCCCAGCAATTCGCGATCTACTATATTGTTCACGACTCCATACCTGTATTATATTATGCAAGTCATCCATTCTGCCTATCTCTTATCGTCGAGTTTATTGCGACGCGACCATGCATGCCGCCAGTTTTTTTCTAAATAGCAGCCAGTTGTTGATGTCCAGCTATCACCTACATGTAGTATTCGAATCACGAGGACGTGATTGTATTTGAGAGGGGAGGTGTAGCGTTGGCACGCTGGTGACTTCAAAGCGTATAGCGTTTAGTGTTTAGAGTATAGCATATCCTCGTACTGTATCCCCATACGTTAGCGTATCCCCGTACATTAGCGTACGGAGTCTACCTTTGTATCAAAGCTGCTGCTCACGATTCTTTTATAGCCAGTTAGTTAATTTAGTTGCCAATCAGTTAATTTCGTTTCCAGTACATTTCAATTGCCAGTTACAGTGTGTTCACTGAGACCCTTGTATTTTTGCCTCCGAGAGACTGCGGCCCGCTACACATGTACAATGTAGGTCTACTACCGGCACCAAGAGTCCATAACTCTTGCTGGCACTACTATGTAATACCTCTATACTACTTATTGCACACATCATCATCATCATGGGTGGACATCCTGAGCTGCTCACATGGGTGAGCTCCCCCCCCTTTTTTTTTTTTTTTTTTTTTTTTTTTTTTGGCCGAATATTGGTCCGGCAGTTGCCGGACCTTCCGGACCGCCTGCTACGGCCCTGCTACAGTAATGATGTGTACATGTACTGTCTGGTATGTGTGTGTTGTCAATGCAGATGCCAGCATTCTGCTGCAGGGTGATCAGAGTATCAGCAGACTGCATGCCACCGTCAATGTAGTCGCTCAGGTCGGCGATAAGGTGAGGCTTGAACCTCCTCCTTCTCACACGCGCACACACACACACACACACACACAATCTCTCTCACAAGCACATGCATGTTCAGTTTAATTTCTCCTATTGCACCATTCCTGTCCCGTGTTGTCCAGAAAGTATGTACAGATGACATAACAATGACATTGTGTTCGTGGTCTTTAGGCTGACCGGCCTTTTAAAAGTTAGTTACCAACGTCAGGACATGCCATTGTCTTCTCTGTTTCTTGATGCCCGTGTGTTGTCTGTTGTCGCAGCCTGCCCATATTTTACTTGTGGATCACTCTAAGTTCGGCACGTTTGTGGATGATGTGCGTATACCACGCAAGACACCCACCCATGTTGCTGATGGGTCACTCATCAAGTTTGGCATGGTCAAGAACCTTTTCAGGTCTGTTCCGGTGCCTGGTGTCTCTTTGTACCCTATTGGATTAATTAATTGATTAGTTCCATCTCCACTACATGCGCTCTCTGGCCGACCTCATTCATCTCCTTTTATCAAGTACTGGATTAATTCTAAAAGGATTGATTGCTTGTTACTGCTGGATGTGAATAGCTCAATTTACTTCCCCTATTTATTGCTTCCGTGCCTTTCTGTTTCTAAACATATTGCCTTGTCCCGTCTTGCTGTCGTTTAGAGTACAACAGTCTATGATCGTGACAACATCCAACATGACTGGGGAGGCAAAGGCGGCAGTGACAAAGGCAGTTGCTGGCTTAGGTATGTGTTCATGTTGAACTTGATGCACTGTGCACATCAGGCGCGTGCGCCCGTGCCCTTCAAGGGGGGGGGGGGGGAGGTTCCGGGGGCCTCCCCGGGAAAATTTTCAAAAAATGAAGCAAAATCCTGCATTTTTAGCGAAAAAAGGGGGTTCCAGGCACCCAGGAACCCATACGGGGCACGCGCCTGCACATGTGACTGCTCGCAGCAGTGGTGTTAGGTGCGCCCGTGCTCTACACCACGTGACTGCGAGGGTTCTGCTTGTCTGTCTGATTTACTATCGCTTCTGTTGGTTACTTTGCGCTGACTTACAGCACTACATGTAGCACGCATTGTGCCAAAGGTTCATCTGTGCTTGAAAGTTCTCACCTTTCAGGCTTTCACTTATTGTGTGCTTGACAGCTGTAAGCTGTCACTAACATGTGCGACTGCAACACTGCTGATGCTCAATACATGTAGCAGTACTGCCCCGTGCCGTAGTGCGACTGGTGACATGTTAACTCTTGGCACTGGTGCTCGCACCCTCTGTGTACATGTATGTGTGTACTGTATATGCTCGAGTATTCGCCTTCCTCTCTCAGTGTCCTCATTACTTTGCTGCGGTCACAACCGCATGTAGTACTGCTGTTTGGACAGATTCAAGGCCTGCAAGGCATCTTCTCCTTAGACGCTTACACTGCTTATCTGTGATGTTGTTTGAGATTTTGATGCTTTTTAGTTACTTTAGTTCAATGCCATACATAGGGCGTTGAGTCTTCAGTACAGTTCCTTTGACTCTATCAGACATATACCCTATTGGGTTGGGAAATATAATAATGCTTTAATAGCTTCCTTTTTCCTTCTTAGGGGTGGTTTGCCTCGCCAGCCCTTTCCAGAGGTGGTTTAAATTCTCAAAAACGTTGCTGTGTACGCTGGGGCCATACCAACCTTAAACTGGTGGTAGACCCGAAGGCTATCATTTGACCTGCTTCCCTCCCCGCTTTATGAGCTGTCGTGCCTTGTGTTGTAGAGTATATTTTAGTTGGTAGACATTTGCTTTGTATTGTATATAACTACTTCAAAGTAATGATTTGTATCACCAGCGCTGAATCCATGCTGTACTTGTGTGTGGGTGTGTGGATGTGTATTGTACAGTGTGCTGTTTTATCATGTACTCTGTATACTCTCGTTGCAGGTGGACGTAGTGTACCGCGCTGGTCACCAATGTGCGACTTTCTCATTATGAGCGGGGTGACGGTCACCATCAAGGTAGATGATCTCTCTCTCTCTTTCTCTCTCTCTCTCTCTCTCTCTCTCCCTCTCTGTCTGTCTCTCTCTCTCTCTCTCTCTCTCTCTCTCTCTCTCTCTCTCTCTCTCTCTCTCTCTCTCTCTCTCTCTCTCTCTCTCTTCTCTCTCTCTCCCATCACCTATCTCCCTTGTCTCCCCTCCATTTGTTTCTTTTAGTAACTCTCCGTACATTATAGCAGGCTGCAGTGCGAATGTACTCCTGCCGAAGTGGATACTAGTAGTGTAGTACTGATGCCAGTGACGACCCCGGTCCCACGTAAGCAAAGGTGTTTGATTCCTAGATTGTGCTTGTATCTTGATTGTGCCTGTAGTGCTTTGCCAGTGCTCTGCACAGCATTGATTGTTCGCGTACTCTCTGCTGCTCTTGCTAACATGCTTCGTTGTGTGCAGGTGGTGGAGGCACTGGCTGCCTGCAAGCCCATTGTAGTACCGGAGTATTTCCAGACGTTCGATAGCTGTGCTGAGAATTGCCAGCGCTGCCCTAACCCGACTGATTACCTTCCCAGTGTGTCGGATGAGAGCTTGAAAGATCTAGACAAGGTAGCGTTTGCCGTCAAGTACTCCCGCCGAACGCTGTTCAAGGACAAAACGTTCTTCTTTCTGACCGAGCGCCAGTACGCTGAGCTGAAACAGGTGAGCCTGATATTTGCACTTGTTGTACTTGTAAGTGTGGGTGTGGTGTGGTGTGCATGTAGGTATGTGTGCGTGTGTGTGTGGGTGTGTATGTGTATGCATGTGTGGGTGTGGGTGTGTATGCGTGTGGGTGTGGGTGGGTGTAATTGGTCATGGGAAGTGTACAGCAGCACTCAATTTGTTACGACGTGTTTTGGCTGCTGGCTTTGAAACGGAGAGCTTGTTAGTTGACCAGGTTTATTCAGCCGATTATTGGCTTGTATTGGTCTCTTTCCGCTCTGTCATGCAGGCAGTTCATTTGGCTGGTGGTAAGGCCATTCTCATGAAGTCAAAACCAGCAGATGGAAACCTGAGCGTGCTGGTTGCGGATAATGCCTGTGTGTTGCTGCCTCGCACTAAGGAAGCATGGGGACTTGAAGTTAGCAACTTTCTTGAGCAGTAAGTCTTTCCCACGTGCATTCACTTGAAAGTAGCGCAGTTGTGTATGGAAAGGAAATCCACGCTGGCTTCCCTAGGGTCAACTATTGGGCGTATATAGTATACCGTAATTCCGCGCATATAAGCCCACGGGCCTATATCCAGATATAAGCCCACCTCCGTTTATAAGCCCATGGGCTAATAAACAGACACAAATGCAACTCTCGCGTCAAGTAGAATTTTTTCACAATACTGACTCTTCCTACCATGGTACAGCAGGTCAGTGCAGTTTACCAGTAGAGTATGGTAGACCCACTATGAGCACGGACTTGTACTTTTTCGTGAACCTTCAAAATTCGAATATTGGCCCATGGGCTAAAATACGAACATGTTTTACTGGATATTTTATCCCCAAACTGCATTGTTTCACATATAAGCCCATGGGCTTATATGCGCGGAATTACGGTATACATGTGTCAGGTGGGTCGGTTCGTAATGTCCGCCATTAGAGATGATCTATATGTCCTGTAATTGGCCGCTAATGCTTACATCGTGGGTGGCCGTATGACACATACGACTGTACTGAAGCTAACTGCTTGGCTGTCTGTTGTTTTTCTGCTACGTGGTCTGTTTGTCTTGTTGACAGGCATGGCCTGCGTGGTGTAGAGAGCTCCGAGCTGGGCTTTGCTCTGGTTTACAACAAAGTGCAGTCGTACGCCAACCCCAAGGCACCTCCGACCGGTATGCCGTTATCTATGTGTATGACGTTATCTATGTGTGCCGGTGCTTTGCATGTGCTGTTCTAAGCTGCTCCTGTAATGCTATGTTCCACTGCCGAGCCATGCACATGTAGGATGGTTGGTATTGGTGACTCTCATTGTTGATATGTGCCGTTGAGCGGTTCTGATTCTCACATGAAAGGTTGGTCATTGTACAGTCAGACCTCACTTATCCGGATCCCTCGCCATCCGGAAGAAAATCATTGGTTACCGATTTACAGCATATGTCATGCATACATACGGTATGTGCGTTCGATTATCCGGTTCCCTCGTCTATCCGAATATATTTTTTGTGGAAAACGGACGTGTGCGGTTATGCGAGGTCTGACTGTACATTGTAATGGTTGTCGCTCATAACCTTCAGTAGTGGCGCTTCGGCTTTGTGCTCTGGGACAGGGTAGGTAGTGTGGCTTCCAGTGCTCCTGTGTTGTGGCATTGTCTGAACCTTGACACTATCCAAGCATGAGTTAGGATCTCCCTGTTATTTTCCCTTGTTGTCTGTGCTGATTTGTGGTGGATTGTTTCAAGTCACTAAAGCACTTGTGTTGTCTAGGTCCTTTTGTAGCTGAGTGTCTAGAGTTATCTTGTTGGTGCTGTGCAAGTAGATGTTGATGTAAGCGTTGTTGTTGGCGGTGGCGATGGTGGTGATGTGTGTGTGGGTGTTGTTCCTGTTACAGTGAACTCTCAGTATTCTCAATCGCACCGCGGCAATAGCCAGGCAGTGCGGCAGACAAGCAGGGTCTCTGCTTCGCAGTCGTTAGCAACCACAGCAGCCATGGGAACAACAGCCTTGCCACCGCCATCCCAATCACTGGCCATGCCGCGGCCCGTAGTTGCCGACCAACAGCCAAGCCTGTCGCAGGATAGAATCACGTCGCAGGTTCCCACGACGGTTGCAACGGACACTGCAGCTGGCGGCAGACTCAAAACTAAAGCAGTTGAAAGCAAGGCGAATGTGTCTGCGACATCAGCTACCATGTCGAAACCTGCAGCACAGCCACGGATAGACACGGTTGCAACCCACAATGTGCAGCAGCGCTCGCCAAGGAAACAAGAGGATGTCGCAAAAACTTCCCCCGTCCCATCGCCAGTGTCATCACCATGCAAAGTAGCAACACCAGTAAAGCCAGGCACAAGTCGGCATGACAACGTGGCTGTAAAACCCGAGCCAGCAACCCCGACGCCGTTTCAACATGGGAAACGGTAAGTGTACAACAGTTGCCAGGGTTTTGAGTTAGGGCGAGGCTGGTTTTGCAAAGCTAGTAACCCTGGCGCAATTTCAACATGGGGACCGGTATGGTTAGACCAATTGCAAGGGTTTTGAGGAAGGGCAAGGCTGGACCATTGGTTTTGCAACCATACTGTCATAGCGCTTCCTGGTTTACACATATTTATAGTTTTTTGTTGTTGTTGGTTACTCATATGTCATGTGCATGTGATGTAGCTGCAAGACTTTATTTGTAAAATAGGCCTGTGATTGCTACCTTTGGCAATTGCGTTCATGTACTTGTGTGTGTTCATGTGTGGACTTGTGTGTGTACATGCATGTGTGTGTATTTGTGTACTTTTTCCACGTATGTTCCTCTGTGTATATTTGACTGATGTGTGGACTCCTGCTTATAATATTATGCTGCTCTACTTCCATAAACGGTTTGCTTGTGTCAGTCACTATCGGGCATATTCAGACCATGTGGTGCTGGTGTCCGATCATACTTCCAGTGTCACCATGGTCACAGGTGTGTTCATTTTCGTCTTGTCTGCCCTACTGTTGCTACTGTGTTATTATGCAGCTCACATCGCTCAACAGTCCAAGACAGCCCGGACAACGAGCCGAAGAGCAAGCGAGCCCGACCGTCCTCGCCCGTACGTGCAGTGCGTTCTCGGCGAACACGTGACGTCAGTCCCGAATCGTTGTCGTCCTCACCTCCACCTGCTCAGCCCAGTGCCGGAGACACGAAGCCGAAGGTCGAGGGTAGTGCAAGCACAGCCGCCGCTCAGCCTGGCTATGGCCTTTCCCAGTCGCAGGCATCGTATGTGGGCGGTGGGGATCGCACTTCCAAGGTGAGCATCATTATTCTGTAGTATTGTGGCTGTAGTCCACTTGCACATCTCACACTCTTGTATTGTGATGTGTGTTACTGTTAGAGGTGCACAGGGGTGTCGGAAGGTGTATTTTATTGATTTACAGGGTACCTGGGGCAAACAGTGGTACGGTCAATACCGTAGTGCCCGTACCGTGTCCAACGCCCCTGGGTGCATGACACACTTTGCAAGTGGAATGAAATCTGACTCCGACGCTGGGCAGTGAACACTGGACTGAGTAGTGAACACTGGACTGAGTAGTGAACACTGGACTGGGTAGTGAACATTGGACTGAGTAGTGAACATTGGACTGGGTAGTGAACATTGGACTGTACAGTGAACAATGGACTGGGTAGTAAACATTGGACTGGGTAGTGAACACTGGACTGGGTAGTGAACATTGGACTGGGTGGTGAACATTGGACTGTACAGTGAACAATGGACTGGGTAGTAAACATTGGACTGGGTAGTGAACACTGGACTGGGCAGTAAACACTGGGGGGTGCGAGCTCCAATGTTGGGAGCAACCAACACTTCAGTTGTTATTTTTTCAGCACCGTGACGTTCTGCTCCCTGGTGCAGCATTGCATTGACTTATGTCGTCAGCGCATCGCTTTGCCCCAGTTGCCAGCTCTATGCCCAGGTTGAGAACTGCATGGCCCATTTACGTCATTAACTTGTTTTGTGGCCTCTGCAGCAGATCGTGTTCTCCGCCTTGTCCCGTGATGCACAAGTTACTGGCACTCAGTATGAGTGTTGTTATGTAGCCACCTATATTGTCTCAACGTCTTTTACGGTGATGCAGCGAAGCTTAGCATACCTCCATAGTCATGCAATCCGTACTTCAGAGCCTGTGTGCTTTGTATCCTCGACCAAATGACTGCAGTCCTTAGCGAAGTACCCCCCCCCCCCCCCCCCCCCCCGGAATGCACCAGGAAAAGTATGTCTTGTCCTGAATGCTGACAGTTAAGTGAGGTTTCCTTGTACACTTACACTTTGGTTATCCGGACACCGAAGTTACGGGCACTTTGGTTTACCGGGCACCATTTGGGCGAGTTTCAGGGGAATGTTACTACTCTTCTGTAACCTTTATGTGGAAATAGTGACGTCACGTGCCGTATCTATGGCCTTTCCCCATCAAAATGCATGTGATTCGGAGTTGCGGGCATTTCAAAGTTACGGGCAGTGCCCGGTCCCGGACCGCCCGGATAAACAAGGTTTGAGTGTTTGCGGATTTGCTTCTTTCTTGTGTTGTGGCCGTGTTTTGCCCGTCAGTTCACAGCACAGATCGAAGTCCACGATGACCTGCCGAAGAACCTCATGCTGACGCACACGGCATCTCTGGTGAGCCGCAAGACTACAGTCCGTAGCAATGAACACAACGACTCCACAGCTGCTGCCGCTGCTGGTCGTGCTATCAACTTCAAGAAATTCAGAAAGGTATGAAGAGTGTTAAATTTACCTGTGCATGGTGTACCTGTTTCTCTCTCTGTTTGATTGGGGCTTCTGTAGGTGTCCAGAGAGATGGAGACTCTTCCCACTGGAATTCATGCCTAGGACATTCATACTTGTACTTTGCCAGAAAGACGTTCACCTCTCTTCGATGTTGATGTACTTGTTTTCCCTGGCATATCAACGACTGCAGTGTCTGAAAATTGAGAATAGCTGGTACATGAGTACACTTCTGCAGCTGGCTGTGGAACATGTTGTGAGCAGGCTGCTGCCTCAGCTTGTGTCAAGTGCTTGACTCGATTGAGACACTTTGCTGTGCGTGCGTGTGTGCATGTATGTGTTTGTGTGTGTATGTGTGTGTGCATGTATGTGTTTGTGTGTGTGTGTGTGTGTGTGTGCATGTATGTGTTTGTGTGTGTGTGTGTGTGTGTGTGTGTGTGTGTGCATGTATGCGTTGTGTGTGTGTGTGTGTGTGTGTGTGTGTGTGTGTGTGTGTGTGTGTGTGTGTGTGTGTGTGTGTGTGCATGTATGTGTTTGTGTGTGTGTGTGTGTGCATGTATGTGTTTGTGTGTGTGTGTGTGTGTGTGCATGTATGTGTTTGTGTCTGTTTGTGTGTCTGTTTGTGTGTCTGTACGTGTGTCTGTACGCATATGGTTGTGTATTAGATGTGGCCGCTAACAGGCACTCTGCCGCCGATGCACGCCAGAATGCCCCGCATCATCGGCGGCGAAGAGCTGTTTGTGCACACGAGTGCTTTCCGCGAACTGGACGAGTTTCTCATGCAAGAACAGGAGGTAGGTGTACAGCCCGGAATAGCAGCACTGCACTGCACTGCACTGCACTGCACTGCACTGCAACGTAATGTACTAGGGTGACACTGTGGACGCCTCTGGAAAATATGGTGATAATAACTGCAGCGGACCCAAAAAATACCACTACGGTGAAACCTTGCAAGCACGCATTCATGTTCTATGGAAACATTTCGTCATCTGTTGGAGCCAGGCCAATGGTCAAGTGAGACGGCACCGGTGCCTGTTCATTTTGATGAAGTAAAATCAAAATTGAATTCGAAAATACCCTACCATATCCGGATTGGCAAGGTAGCCTACACGCCATGCCCGGATATGCGAATAATAGCAGAGCATGAAATGGATTTGAGACATCATGGCTTGATTATGCTACAGCTTCAGTGTACCCCGGATCCCGAATATTTACCCTCGGTTGTTGTGTGTGTGATGCATTACAGGCCAATGCTGAGATGCGACGGCAGGATGAATTTGCAGCTGAGCTTTTCCGGTAAGTGGTGTCAGTACAAGTAGGCAGATGAGCAAATCTGACTCGATGGGGCTTAGTGTAAAAGCGTGTGTTTCTTGGGTGTGGTCGTGTGTTTCTTGGGTGTAGTGAAGGGAATGCTCATCATTATAGTTGTTCACCACTGCCCTTAATGCTGCAGCATTGGCTGAGACAGTCAGATGTGTACATTGCATTGTATACTGTTGTACACCTCTAGACATACCCAGGAAAGGCAAACACACACACACACACACACACACACACACACACCAGCACGCGCACATACCTGTCCCCACAGAAATCTGTGATCTCTCGACCTTGACCAAATTCCGCAATTTGACGTTTGCCACGAATTCTGGCATTTTTCGCAAAATCGTTGGAAATTTTGTGGGGAATGTACCTTGCAGAATCAGCGATCGCAAAAGAGGCTAGTGTAGCTGCAAAATTTCGTGACATGGGCCCCTGGATAAACAACTATGTAGGTATGTGTGCACCTACAAAAAAAGTGCATCAGAGTCATCGCATAAGCAGGTCATGAGCTGCTCCTACACACACCGCTCTAGCAGTTTGGAAGCAATGGGCAGCAGGGAGATGGGACGATAATTACCAGGGTCAGACGGATCTCCGCGCTTGAGGATTGGCCGTACCTTAGCAAATAGCAATCTTGTATAAGGAGGGGAACGTGCCAGATGTGAAGGAAAGAGTAAAAAAATGAGCGAGACTAGGAGATAACTGCACTGAGAGGCGTTTGTAGATTGCTGCAGGAATGTTGTCAGGGCCGCAGGCTTTGTGACTACTTAGACGTTTCAGGTGAAGACGTATACTTTCTGCTGGGACAGGCTCAAATGCAACAAGAGATTACTCAGGCATTGGCCCATACGGTAGCTCCATTTCTGAGCGTGTTTGCGCGGAGAAAGGTGGTTCAGACGGCATGGTGCTATTACAACTATCTGCATCACTATCGCTAACCGCAGTCAGACTGGTTCTACGATTGTCACGCACGACAATGCTGGCGAAGGAAGATGTGAGCGATGGGACTGAGTACTGCAGTTCCAGGTAAATGACTGTTCTTCCAAGTAGGGAGTTCATCATAGTCTTCCATTGCTTCCTCGGGTCGCCATGACTTCTTATCAGACATGGCCACCCGTTTTGGGGTTTTCATCGTAGACGTAGACGTACCGTATTTTCCAGAGTACTTCGAAGTGTAAGTCGCACTTTGAACACTCGAAATTCACCACAAAAAAAAGGGGATGCGGCTTATGCTCCTCCGATGATCAAATTAAAGGGGAAGGTAAGCCTAAAATCAATTTTCTCCAGTTGTAGTGTAGGAAGATGTGAGCGATGGGACAGAGGACTGCGGCTCCTGGTAAACGACTGTTCTTCCAAGTAGGGAGCTTTATAATATACTCCGGAAAATACTGGAAACGAGTCAGGGAACGCAGGCCTTAGCGCCTGCAATGGAGCATGTACGTGTGCTGTGTGCTGTGTGCATGAGCCACATTATGTCCTCGCAATGGCTATTTTTCATATTTCCTACTTCTGCTTGCATACCACCACACATGCGCAACAAGTAACAAAATTCCCTCATCAGCAATGTGTGTGTGAAGGGAGCCGGCCCCATTCCTTGCAGCTTATACCAACGAACTCCTATTACACTTAGAATAAATAGATGAGCTTTGCCATGATATAAGTACGGTGAGTAAAAGCATGTTCTACCAGAGTAATCTGTAATACTGAAACGAAAGAAACTGCTATGTTCAAAATAATGACTGCATGTTTGTGCCTATGCAGGAGTGATTCTGTGAAAGGCAAGCAGCAGCAACAGCGGCGTGGGCGCAGATAGAGCATCAGCCATAGAGATAGCAGCAGCATCAGAATGATCACCAGCATCAGCCATGAGAGTTTATATAAATACTTTGGTGTGTTTCTTTTGTTTGGTGAGTTAAAATACTTGAAATACACATTGAAGTATAAAAAGCATACGAAATTTCAAGACAATGAATATTTGGCACAAGGTGTTGTGAATAACGTAAGATCTACCTAGTTTGCTACCACATGAAATCCACATTAGCTGAAGAGCCAGCCATTGTTCCCTACATCATTCTAACAAACTAGCACTGGTGATAGTAATTTCATATTTTTGCTCAAGTCGCTGTGTCTACACTAATTCCATCATTTTTAACCCATTGCCACAACTGAGATTTTTTGGCTGTGGAATCTAAACAAACTTCACTCCTCTGCCTCGGTGTTCTCCTCGTCGTCGCGCTCCTCGACGACGAGGTTGAGTCCCCTTCCCGGGTCCAGCGTGCTGACCAGGGTGTTCTCATCCACAGCTACAAGCTGACGAGGACGCAGCGTGAACACTGAATACCGCGACGGCGGATACCCACAGGACTCGACGAACGCATGCACTTGCTGCGCACATTACAAGAAAACGAAACAGCACAACGGCAAGCAAACTGTGTGAGATGGAATGGATTGAATGGAGGATAGTTGTTGGTCTTTGTAAATACATAACGTACTACAGTTCTGGCAAGTGAAATCCGACACTTGCCATAGGGGACCGCGCCACAAATGGACCCCAATTATGTAATGCACTGCACCTAATTTGTACAATAGAGCCGTACGCATCCCAAACAGATCGGAAGGTCACAGCGTAGATACACACAGTTCACAAACATGGTACACATAAGGAGTATTGGTATCCAATCCTCATTCATTTTTTAATTTTGCCAGCACCTTTTGAGCCTTGACTGTGAAGCTTGACTGTGATGAGTACGAGTTTGTCATCAGACAGATAAAGGTGTATGTAACACATGTAGTACGTATGCAGGGCTGCAGACTGCATAGTGCAGTCCCTTATGCCAAGTGTCGGATTTCACTTGCCACAACTGTAGTACTACATTGTAGTAACTAATTGTGCATTCATGAAATTAAACTAAATGTATACCATACATGGTACACTGTAACTGTGAAGACTATTGTTGGAGAGTTGAGTTGCACAACGCCTTCCGAATATTATACGCTATATACACGATTTGAGGATACAACTCTCCGGAGTTGAAGTTCACGCAGTACAGTAGAGCCGCGCGCTGAAGAACGTGGAGCCCAAGAACGTCCAGCCTGAAATTCTAAGAACGCCACAGCCTAAAGCTAAGAACGGCGGTGTTGGTTTTCTGGCAGCTTGTAGGATACATTACGATCCAGTACGGATTGTTTCTAAGAACGTGCTATAAGAACGCAGCCAGATTGCTGAAAAAATAAGAACATCCCAGGCTAACCCCTTGGAAACAACTTTCTTGGGCGCACGGCTCTACTGTATGTAAAGTCTCGAACACCTATTTGTAACACCCCCCCCCCCCCCCAAATAATTAATAGGGCTTGAAAGTGATGACGTCAAAACGGCCAGGGAGTAGTAAGTTGACATCAGATTTCTATTTTTTAGGGGTGAAACGAGTATCTATTTTGACCAATCGATCACTCGTTCATAATATTCGATCTGAGTATCCGATTATTTCGAGTATTTTATCAAAATTCAAAAGCACTAGATTTCCGAGTTCTCGACCAATTCGGAAGAAATTATCTGTGAACATAGAACAAAATTCGCCAACGTCTTGTACAGAGTGTAAAGTAACGATTTTCATCAGTACTTTCATATCTCAGAACGTTACTTGCCGTGGTGATCGCATCGTCCAAGTCTTAAAATACTGACTTAAAACCATGCATAACGCATGCATACCATGTACCAGTGGACCAGCAGTACAACAAAAGTTTTTGAAAATACAATGCCAATACTAAAAAATAAATAAATAAAATAAAAATAAAACGATCGAGTGCAAAATTTCGAATACTCGCTCGTTTGAAATTTTCGAACGAATACTCGAATGGCAATAAATAAGATAAATTGTGCACTCATAACAACAGCAAAAATGAAGAAAGTCAAGTTCCATAACGTTTTCTTGTGACTGTCATCAGTGGAACGCCGTCACATAAAAATGTAATAACTAAAACACACACTTATATACATGTAGCTAATATGGTTTCAGGTAGAAATACAGCAGCTAACAAGTACAAAAAGCGAAGTTTGCACCTTTGCAATGTGTGAATATAGTGTATGTGAGAAAGGTAGTGGCAGATGAATGTGATACTGTGTGAATGAATGTAATTAGGGATTCCAGTCAAAATTTCAAATTCATAATTCAAGCTAGCTTGTGCTTGGAAAATGTTACCAAGGAAATCAGAAAACCAACGGTACCAATTTTATCAAAATCGGTCCAGGCATTCCAAAGTTATAGCCATTTTTCTACCCAGAAATGGGTGAATTTTTCTCTGGCGATCAAATGGGAAATTGGCCCAAAACATGGTCAAACTACTGCACAGCAACAGCCTAGCAACAGTCAATTTCACCCGAATCAGGTGAAATTTGGAACACAGCCTCTAACCCTGATCTTGATCAAGATTGTGAATTTTTTTTCACCAAAAAACATTAATTGGCAAAAATGGCGCCCCTAGCAACTGCATAGCAACAGTGATGCAGCACATAGCAACAGCATAGTTACAGGCCATATTCTACTTATATTGAACCAGATTATCTTCGGAAACGGTTTGGGAGGCACTGTACACCCTAGACAGATGCCCTGCAGATTTGTTTACTTTTGCGAGAGGAGCTTGATCAGGTTTTCCTTGAGCACAGTTGACGAGAACTTGTTGCCGAGCTGCGAGAAAGCAAACAGCGACGAATCCGCCTCTTGGCTAAGGATCTTCTTTCTGAATTTAATCTGCAGCTTAAGCTTGCTCAGTCGGGCTGACTCAGATGTGCAAGATTCTAACCCTGCTTCAATTTCAGCTGGTGATTGCCAGAAACCATCTCTAGCGATGTCGGCAGAAAGCTGTGCTTTCTTCTCCGCTTCCCTTTGGCGCTTCTCTTGCACGGGCTTCTGCTGGGCAGCTTGTGCTGCAGCTCTGCTTTCCAGCATATGCCGCCGGCGTAGACGAAATGCAGCATACATACTTGGACTCAAATGTCTAGCCTTTTGAAATAGGTCCTCGCGCTCGGCTTCAGTGCGCTCCGCAAGCCAGGCTCCGGTCTTGTTATTGTTGTAGAGAATCATTCCTTCAAGAGCAGCAGTTGACGCATTCGGCTTCTCCCTCATCAGCCGATCGAGCATCGCAAAATCTCTCTCAGACACAGTGTTCGTCTTTGCCATTGTTGCCGTCTGCTCTTTCAGGGTTGCTGACGGGTCGTCCAGTTTCCCACCCGGCAAGTGATCACGGACTAGCCGGTACGTTAGACTGGCGATAGCTGCAAACAAAGACTGCAGGATGAGCTCAGTCTCTCCATCATTAGCACTTGAGGTGACAAGCTCTGCCCATTTCGTATCCTTGTCAATCGGCACACTAGGGAATGGCACAGTCTCGCCAGTTAGGAAACCAGCGGCATTGTCTTGTGACGATAAGAAGCTGTACAGGTGTGCGTACTTGGAATTCATGTCTAGAATTGAGACGCCCTTGTTCTCCAGCAACTTCCACAGAGGAGCGGAGAGGTGCTTGTCAATCAAGCCGAGTGCGCGCACGCCTGCAAGAAACAGAGGCTCCTTCAGGTCAGCGGTCACAGCTTGCAACAGCATATTGGGGCGGTCGAACACCGTCGTCAAAAAGCTCAGGGCGTGATCTCTCACAGAATACAAACCAGCAGCATTGTGAAATAAGATGTTGAATCGATTTCCACGGAAAGTGTCAAGCGGCACTTGAGAAACACCTCGCTGGCGCAGAAATGCAGCAAATTCTTCAGGAAAGCCACTCTGCTCAGAACCATGGCGCTCCAATGCCTTGCAGGCAGTTCTCACAAGACGGACAGCACCAGATTCCGTTGAGTTCCGTGCTGGATTCTGGGCGAGTAGCGTTGCACCTGCCATGGACCCATCCAAATGCAGCTGTTCGTACACTCTCAGCGACTCGGACACAGTTTCAGCCATATTCACGATGAAATGCATCCCACAGAAGAAGTTATGCATATCCAACATAGACCTCTTCTCCTCTTCACCAACATCACACCATCCGCTGACAACGGCAGGCAGCACCTGGCTTCGATACTGCTGAAGTAATTCATTAAAGTTCTTCTGGACAATATGGCGGTCGGACATTGTGTTTTTTATTGCTGCTGTAATCCGCATGGACGCATCCTTCGTTCCCGACACCCGCTGGATGTCATCCACTATCTGCACGTAGGTGTCCAGAGTCATCTGCGCCGTCCCAGACAGAACTTCCCGCATACCCATACTATACTGGTCTCCACCAATACCGACCTAGAACAAATGCAGGAATCACACATAGGAAAAAACGATGAAAGGGCACAAGAAACATGTGCTAGCTGATAAGACATGTTCTCATCACGGTGGACACCAATTACCAGCAGTAGTGCTCCACACGGCTGGCATAGGAAATTCAACACCAGCGTCATAATAATTATTGCTTACTAAACCCTTGCATAGAACGGCAAGACTGATAGCATTCAAATTCTCAGCGCAGTCAAGTGGCTAATGGGCCCAGTATGCCTAATAATCACAACTTACCTGGAAAGACATATACTTCTGACCAAACTTTGTCGTCCCGTCACTGTGCAATGTGACATTATCTGCAGAAACTAGCAGATCACTGAGCTGAACTTGCGATAGGGTGGCAGCTTCGACGTACATCTCAGACAGCTTGGATGGCTGTGGAAGTCGCCCAAGTGTTCTGCCGCAGAGCGAAGCAACTGAGCGCATGATAGGCTCAACGTTGTTGATGCCAACAATGCGCGACAGAAGGTCCATACAACATTTACGCACGGAAGCCGTGAATATTTTTCCCGCAATCATAGTGTCCACTGTTCCGGTGTCCACAGCTTTCATTGCCTGCTTCAGCGCTTCCACTTCTCCTGCCAGTGCAGCATTTGCAACTTTCAAATCCTTTATGTTCGAGTGCAAATGGGAGATTTCTTCTTGCGAATTTAATTCTAGCTCCATTGCACTCTCCTCCATCTCGTCTGCTGCTGAAGTTGATTTATCTTTCCAGTATTGGACTTGCTTTGCCAAACGCTGATCACGCGCCCTGGCTTCAGTTAGATCACACTCCATTGCATGTGCGTCATCCTTTAGATCACTGATTTCTCTCTTCACCCGTTTTAACTCGGCACGCTGTTCGGCTATTACGCTATTTTTCCGCTTTTCCCTCCGGCGAATATTTTGAATTTCGGCAGGTGACATAGCTCTCTCCTGTAGTGTTTCCATTTCCACCTTTAGTTCATGACACTCAGTGCCTAGTTGGTCAGCCACATCCAGGTGCGCATGTGCCATAAAGTAATCGTCAGCACTCGGCTCACCCGCACCCGGTTGATCGTCCACAGCAGCACGGCCTCCACTGGCCACAGCAGTACTCTGTGCACCTCCTTCAGCAGCTGTTTTTGATGATTGAGCCAACTTGGAAGCGGATAGTATTATAGAGTCTTCCTGCTCCCAATTTTCTAGACCCTGGATGGCAGATGCACGCTTCGTTTTGGCCAAATTACTCCTCTTCTTCACGATGGCTTTGGCCCTGGCCCAGAACGTCGACAAGCATGGCAAGTCACCAGCACGTGGGCTCCCAGAGAGTTTGCAAACGAAATCCAGAAGACGTTTTGGATGGGTGCCTGGATCACGCTGATTTGACACATACTGCATCAGTTCCAACACCAAACGGTTCGATACTATCGGTAGTGACGGCAGCTCACTGTTCTCCGCCAGCGCACGAGTTGTAAATCCAAACCTAGAAAATGGATCAGCCGCACATTCTCCTTGTTCCTCGCAAGCAGGAGATAGCACGGCATCGTGTACTACGTCGCGCTCACGAGGAACAGCACAATCCTGGTCTTCGCGCTCCATGATACTCGCGATCAGCTGACTGCGCTGTGACTGACACCTACTGTACTAGCACCCTTCTTCTTCACAACTAAAAAATCGCAGTTTGTCGGAGCCGTCGGAGGTACTTCTGGCACCACCCGGCGCGCTCAAATTTTGTTGCGCTGGTCTCCCTTTCTTCAGAAAAATACCAGCATGGGTGATTCCGAAAGGTTTTTTGGTGCTGAAGCTGAAAATCGATTTAAGAATCCCCTAAAATGCCGTTTTAAACTTGAAAATTGCCTTCAATTTCTTCTTTGACTGATCGCAATGGCCCAATTTCGCCGCGCGGCGACCAAAAACCCCACATTGGACAGCTGAAAACCTCAGGAAGCCACTGGTGACTTCAAAAATCCTCCACAGCTCACGATATCCCAGCGCACTGGCCTAGAATGAGCCGTCATCGCGCGACCAAACTTTTGTGTGTAGCGCGTGGAGAAAGTCCTCGAACCCAGTTGGCCGGATCCTGGAACCCCTAATGTAATGGTGCGTGTGTATTACTTGAAGAGTGTGAGTGATACAACGTTTTCTTTCTGTTTACATAGCACAGGGTCACGAGTACGAATATACACAGCTTCCAACACCTGCAATTGCTTGAAGAAACGTGCGCAACGAATAACACTAAACCAGGAATTCGTTCGTTCACAGTGTTGAAGGACGTCCTGCCAACCCACCATTTGAGCCATCTCATTTATCAATTTGAATGCCGACAATGTGGTAGTCGGTATGTTGGCAGGACGCTTCAACACTTGTCCGAACGCATCAAGCAGCACGTCCCATTATCATTGTTGTCCCAGGCTGCCAGGTTAAGCAGGCCGAAGCGTGGGAGACCACGAAAACATCCGCTGCCTATTTCTACACCTAGCACGGCTCACAATCCGGAAACAGAAACACCGACTACTTCCATTGAGAACGAGCAGACTAATCTGGTTCCCCCCTCGGAAACCGGACCACGGCAAGGGAGGCCGCCGGACGGTCGCTCCTCGACAAACCATGTTGCTGCAACGGTAAGAGCGGAAGGGGAACAACAAACAGAGCAGAACCGAGGAGAAGCAAGAGACTAGCAGAGGCACGACTGAGACAAGTGGAGAACACAAGGCAAGGAGACGCAGGAGGAAGCACAGGCACGGCACAGAACGAATCAAGGAGAGGGAAGCGGTGTCGCGAGGAGATGGAGACTGATGACGACGAATACGAGTGCGATGGGATGGACGGCGGCATTGGAATGGAGGTGGAGGATGAGAGTAGTGATGAGGAGGAGTTTGATGTTGACAAGAGGAAGTCTGCAGTGTACAAGCATTTGGTGTCCAGTCCAGAATGTCGTAAGGTGTTTGACGATTCCTGGTTTAGTGTTATTCATTGCGCACGTTTCTTCAAGCAATTGCAGGTGTTGGAAGCTGTGTATATTCGTACTCGTGACCCTGTGCTATGTAAACAGAAAGAAAACGTTGTATCACTCACACTCTTCAAGTAATACACACGCACCATTACATTCATTCACACAGTATCACATTCATCTGCCACTACCTTTCTCACATACACTATATTCACACATTGCAAAGGTGCAAACTTCGCTTTTTGTACTTGTTAGCTGCTGTATTTCTACCTGAAACCATATTAGCTACATGTATATAAGTGTGTGTTTTAGTTATTACATTTTTATGTGACGGCGTTCCACTGATGACAGTCACAAGAAAACGTTATGGAACTTGACTTTCTTCATTTTTGCTGTTGTTATGAGTGTACAATTTATCTTATTTATTGCCATTTTACGACTATTGTCTCCTCGTCGATTGTTTGAATACTCGAATATTCGAACTAATCGTTTCACCCCTACTATTTTTGGATCCACAAAGGTGTGACTTTGCTATTGCCTAAGTATGTGGGTGCATAGCAACCCACTCATGTCGCATGCAGGTGTGACTTTTATTTCGCCACCAGTTGTAACCCCGCCCCCAGTAGCCAAATCAGTCAGTTTCACTGGCTACATCACCATGCTGTGGGTAAGACCGCTTGAAATGTGCTTGGATCCATACAAAACTGGATTCAAGTGGATCCAGTTTTCGAATTTTTGAAATTGTTGCTATGCTGTGACGTAGCACTTTCAAGCCCTATTGCACCTACAGTACAGCCTAAAGTATGGCGGGTGATGCCGTCGTAACCAAAGGGACCCTAACCAGAATTGACGAGCTGGTACAGAATCTCCGTCGCTGCACATCTCCCTTTGGCATGCGAACTGAGAAGGTAGTGGTGACCTGTGCAGAACAAAATGATTTCCAGCATCGCGTATATGCACACGCACATGCATGCATGCATGCACGCACACTCACACACACACACACACACACACACACACACACACACACACACACACACACACACACACACACACACACACATGCACACGCTCACATGCACACGCTCACATGCTCACACACATGCACACGTACGCACACACACACACAAGTCCAACAGGCATAATGGTGATTACACATACAGTCACCATAGGGTGTTGTCATAACGATGTGGCAAGGCACGGGTTTGGCAACTTTGCGCAATCAATAGACACCCTTAGCAAACAACGGTAGTGCTATTTTTTTTACGGTACTCGTACCTTGATCACCCATATAGCGTTGATTTGAAGCTGCAGTGTAAAAAACGTTATGGGGGCTGATTTATCGTTGTGACGAACGGTACGTTTTTTGGCCAAATATTGCGTTGTGCGTACCCACTTTACTTTGTATCGCGTATACAGCGGCATAAATGGTTGTACAGCACGAAATAGAAGCTATTCTCATGGCAACATGTTAACAGCGTACTAAAAATAGCGTGCATCTTGCTAAAGGTCGAACCCAAATCCTGGTATTTTTCCCCTCACGGTAATACAGTTACAACCAGGGAGTAGTACAATACCATTATACTACTACCTGGTTACAACATAACGTTTTTTTGCTAAGGGTGTCTAATTTCTGCGAATTGCCTCAATCAGCAGCTTGTGAAGAAGCAGCAGAGCATAGGAAAGTGACGTTAATGCATTAATTATCAGACACTGTGCAGAAAGGGAGAGAAGATGTGCTGCTTTTCCGAGTTTAAAGCTTTGGTGATCATCGCGCAACTGCTTGTGTATGTCAGGGAAGAACAGCAAAAGAAGGGTCTGGATGCCACTGCCGTCTGACACACGCTGCTGCCTGGTGCTCCCGAGGTGTTTGTCGCGCTGGAAACGAACGGCGCCACAACCTCCGGCAAGCCCGCCGTCGACGCACTCCCGCCTTTGTGGCTAGGTCTCAGAGACGGGCGGCAGCTCGTCTTCAGCAGCGGGCCCGGGCGGTCCCTCCCCCGCTCACCACGCCTCCACCGCCACCGTTAAACCCGTCGGGCCGGTTTGACCGGTTCAGTCAAGAACCAGAACTGGTCTCAGAGGCCGAATTGTCGGAGTAGAGTAGATATTTTTGTGCTACTGACCAGGGAGTCGTAAAATACCGGGAGGCAACACGAGATGCACAACCGCGTCGGATGATTGACTCAGCTCGGGCACGAGTGCTGAGGGAAAATATAGAATCCCCATGAGGTCAAAGCGGCGCAGGTCATGCACAAAGGACGCGTTCGCTGTTTGGTCCCAAAAATCCAAAAAAATAATCCTGCTCCCAAGGAATCGTCCGAGTGTCAGCAGTTGATTTGGTGATTCTAAGTTTGTGCCTTGACGGGGTAAAGGATGATGGAGCTTGACAGAGATGCCTGCCAAAGTGATGAGTCCACCGTGGAAGATGTAGATGACGCCACGTATCCACTTGGTGACCTGAGTTGTGGAGATGTTCAGCTGTGGACTACTGGTGAGATTCTCTCGCCTGCATTTTTTGGTCTCGTCTTGTCCTTGTGAACACGAATGTATAATCTGTAGCATACTAAGCGCCCCAAACTCACCCGCAAAATGGGAGTCTGCCCACGGTGCATTGTCTGTTCACTATGACATGTGACAGCGTTGAAACTGTGACAGGATATTATTTTATTCATGTCCTGAAAATTACTGCGTGTGTACCTAGTATGTAAATTGTTGACATTATATGTAAACCTCCGCCCTCAACCTTTGCTTTGCCTATGTGCAGATCCATGTAAGAGTGGCAGTGCCACCATGGTGTTTGAGAAGAAAAAGGAGCCATACTCCATCGTGATGGCTCATGTTCGGTCAGTCATTTCCTTCAGCCTGGTGAGGTCTGCTATTGCAAGCCTACGTGGGCATCGCGGCCCCAGCAAGCACTTCTGCGACGCCGGAGTGTCATCAGCCGCATTGGCTGCAGCTGAGTGTCACCTGCCAGTGTAACATTCTCATTCATCATTTCTTGCATGTGTATTTGCGATCAATAGTATTATTTAAGCGCAGTTTAGCGCGTGCCCCTCATTCCCCATTTCCCTTTTTCCTTTATTTTGCTCCCTTTTGGCGCATTAGCGCGTGTCGGGTTTTCCTTTGTTTTTCTTATTTTCGCGCTGCCTTATTATTTCGTGGCTAATCATACAATCCAAAAAAAACCTCGCAATGCATACTTCTACATTCCGTTTACTGTAAAGTGAGAAACTTTCGCTAGAGATTAAATTTCGCTATTTTCGCGACCATCACACATTCGCGAATATAAATCACCGCAAACCTCTCCGTACATTGATTGTAGACAGTACAAGATCCGGCTGAAGAGATACAATTGTAAAAGTTTCTCATTGTGAACCAGCCCAATTTATGAAAACGCTAAATTTGCGCACCGCGAAAGTTTGTCCCTTTACAGTAAGTCAAACCATCCTAAGTCAAATTTCAGACCATGTATCAAAGCAGAATTACTCCGTTACAATCGTACTAGTACTCTGCTCTCTGATATCCTGTCTGTTCGCAAACTCTTTTGGTTCCGCCTTAAGACTCCGCGGCTATCCGCCACACTTCCTAGCTTCTGTTTTCAATACTATCGAAGCTATCGAAGCTTTACCTACCATCCCGAAAGAGAAGTCCTCATCGAAGTCACATGGTAACTCCATTACCTTCACTACTTCATATCATAATTTCTTCATTCATGAGAATATTAGAGGACTCCATAATTCTACTTTTAACATGGATGCATCGGTTTTCTATCGTAAGACCAATTTGCTATAAGGCTTATGCCGGTTAGTACAAGTTGTACAGATCCCGTAGAATCCCGTAGACCCGGTCACAGTGGGTGTTGAATGTGCAGGACCCTATTGTGTTTTCTGCTATTTCCACTAAGAAATGGGCCCTGAAGGAATTTCATACGAAATCCTTTTCTGACAAAAATCTAGCTAGTCATTAGTTCTAACCAAAGTGATTGCCTGATGAGTCCAGCGGGGACGAAACGTACGTCGCAATCGAGCTATGTCCTTGCTGTGTCATCATCTATGTGCCATGCGCTACTTGATGTACCAGCCTGCTATGCCGGATACCGCCAGCCATGCATCGACCAGGCGCCAGGCGCGAACTGATGGTGGTGGTGGTGAGAAGGAGAGCTCTGTGCCAGAACTTTGCAGCCTAGAGAGCGTGTGTGGGCAGGCGTGTGTTTACCGCCATACTGCCAGGTGTGTCTTTACCACCATATTTATCAACCATAAGTACAGCTGCAGTGGTGTCTTCAACTTCATTCTCCAAAGTGAAGAAGCTGGAAAAGTGATTGCTCGCCAATAAATTATGAGGCTAAGAGGTCAAATGCGCATGCATAGTACACGATGAACACCCAACCGGGTCTACGGGATTTCGTGAATCTGTACAACTAGTACTAACCGGCATAAGGTCTATTCTAATGTTTTTTCTTCTGCAGTTCCTTGAACCTGCATTTTGGCAGTGTCAATAACATTGACACTGCCAAAAGCATATTGGTATTTTTCACTGAAACTTCCAGTCTTATCCGTAAATGGAAACCACCAAATATAGATCATTGTATAAAATATTCATACGGACATTTCCAAACACGGATCATAATACATTTGCATGCCACACTCATCTGCACACAATGACACATTTCTAAAACACATTTCAATTACACCCACCCCTCTTTGGGCTCCCAGCGGCTTTAGTGGGCCCACGTGTGTTATAGATACCTTTGGTCAAGTGAGTTGGCCCTGCTGTTTACTGTAGTTTCCTTTACTCATTTCCCTCACTCTGATGATTCTTAAAACAAGATGAAACCGGTCAGTCAATCTATCGAGTAACTGTTGTTTCGGTGTGTAGGGGGTTCTACTTTTCCAACTACCGTCAAGTGTCAGTCGACAGGAAGCGCGAGCTCCAACGTTTGGAGCAGCCACCTTCTTCTACTATGAGCTTCCAGGGCATAACCCCCACCCCTAAAAAAAAAGAGATTCGAACCCACATGTACACATTGCATGTTTACCATAATACCTCATTCTTTGGGGCAGGGCACCCAGGCATAGAACCCGCTTGTTACCTCCTACTGTGGTCAGAGTACAAAAATTAATGATCTTTTCAGAACAGAGCCCAATGTGCTAGGCACATAGCCCTCACATACATGGTAGACAAAAGAAACAAAGTCACCCTATGCACTATGAACAATCAAACTGTCATTGTAACGACCTGTGCCAAGAGAAGCAGAATGGAACAAGAAAATGTCATACCTCTGTAGAGTCCGCTGCTGGTTCAGATTCTAAAACAGCTGAGATCTAACACAAACAAAAAAAGCACACAAATACACACCAGTTAGGCAGTTAGCCGCACACAAACATCGAGTCTTTGACGGTGTACATGTTTTCAGAAAACATACCCACTATCCCAACCACTCTTGAGAAATGGTGTCGCTGTACCAAGCCAGTCACTTTTCGCTCTAACACCCCCCCCCCCCCCTTCCCTTCCCTGGACACACACACACACACACACACACACACACACACACACACACACACACACACACACACACACACACACACACACACACACATCTGCACTCTCCCACACAATATCTAGACAACTACAGATGCGCTCGGCGAAATCCGACCCAAAGTGCAAAACTGGCGCCCTGTACCAGTTTTGATTACACCATTGTATTTCTACATGTCACTGTGCACGTCTAGCCACATTCATGCCACTTCCAGGGCGTCAAGGGCCGTGCTAGCTCAGGGCTCCAGATATGCACTTAGGGTTGGATTTCATCGAGCGCAACTGTACTTCATATTCATCTACACACAATACCACAGCAAACAGCATTGGTTCACTTTTAGAACTTCACCTCAGGCTTGCTTTCGGCATCTGTTGAACGTCCCTTTCGCTTTCGCACAGGTTCCACCTTCCAAAGCAGAAACACACACACACAGATAGGGCAGGGTGAAGTTACACATACTGGGCTGCTCGGAGAATGGGCACGCCAGCACAAACACAGCAGACACCAGTGTGTATAATGTACACCATTCAATGTGGACTATACATATGTATAATGTACACCATTCAGTGTGGACTATACACTTGTATAACGTACACCATTCAATGTGGACTATACATATGTATAATGTACACCATTCAGTGTGGACTATACACTTGTATAACGTACACCATTCAATGTGGACTATACATATGTATAATGTACACCATTCAGTGTGGACTATACACTTGTATAACGTACACCATTCAATGTGGACTATACATATGTATAATGTACACCATTCAGTGTGGACTATACACTTGTATAACGTACACCATTCAATGTGGACTATACATATGTATAATGTACACCATTCAGTGTGGACTATACGCAATGTCTACTGTTCAGTTCTCAGTGCCGAGAACCACTTGTCTTCGGCCAAGAAAAATCGTTTACGGAAGAAGTGCTGTGTTCTCTGTTCTAAGTTGTTCTCTGGCATGGATAGACCCCAGAAAATGATACTCGCATGGGGATACTTATGCCTATTGTTGTAGATGTACTCATGTCTCATGGCCACTTGAAAGTACGAAAAACACAATTTCCCGAACTTCGTCGCCCCAAAAATACAACAAAATGCATAAGTACATCGTTGTGCGTTGTGCTTTGAATGAGGAAACAAAGAATCCGACAGTTTCATTCTCACAACATTTTCGACATCACGGTGCAGTCAAAACTATTGTTACTGGTCTTGTTGATGCTGCGTAACACTGCAATCGCAGATCATACTCCCATGACTCATGAAGATGACGTTAACGAACAACGGCCAGTTTGCGTGTCCCCAACTCGTACACGCAGAGGCACACTCCGGCTTTCATACCCATGATATTAGAGATGGCAATGGTGTCTGTCACATGCGATTATGTCATGTTAGGTGTGATCACATGGATCCTTTCATGAGCGACATGCGAACTGTAACTATTACAAGTATTATTATTTCCCGTTTGTCTCTTTCCCTCAAACTAGTGAAGATTTTATGACTTGGGGCTCCCCGCGTGCTAGAGTGTACATGAAGTGTGTGGGTACAGTGAGGGCTGCGTCCCACCCGCCTGTGTGGATTCACAGGAAGTGTGAGTTACGAAGTCTGAAGAAAACGTTGAACAGTCTCTGCTGGGATGACGACTACACCATAGCTCAGTGGTTAGAGCATCGCTAGCTACAAGCGAGGGTCCCTGGTTCGAGTCCTGGTGGTGACAGTCAATTTTTTCTTCAGACTTTTCCCGTTTGTCTCTTTCCCTCAAACTAGTGAAGATTATTATTATTATTATTATTATTTGGAAAGGATTGGGAGAACTTCAAATTCAAAGTATCAGTCGGGGAAGTGAACTGCCTGAAAAGAGAAAAAAACGCCAGACCCACCAGGACTCGAACCTGGGGTGGTCCCCTGGGGGAGGGAAAAAGACCCAAGTGCCATCAGTATGTGTGGCACGTGTTGTGAGCTGCCTTTCGAGTGAAAAACTTGTCAGCGCCTTCTAGGTTCAGCCTGATCCCATAGCTCAGTGGTTAGAGCATTGCTCATGACAAGCAGGGTCCCAGGTTCGAGTCCTGGTGGGTCTGGCGTTTTTTTCTCTTTTCAGGCAGTTCACTTCCCCGACTGATACTTTGAATTTGAAGTTCTCCCAATCCTTTCCAAATTTAATCACTTTCTTTCACCTCTGGTAGTTTCCAGAAACTGACCGTGGTTGGTCCCCTGGGGGAAGGAAAAAGACCCAAGTGCCATCAGTATGTGTGGCACGTGTTGTGAGCTGCCTTTGGAGTGAAAAACTTGTCAGTGCCTTCTAGGTTCAGCCTGATCCCATAGCTCAGTGGTTAGAGCTTTGCTCATGACAAGCAGGATCCCAGGTTCGAGTCCTGGTGGGTCTGGCGTTTTTTTCTCTTTTCAGGCAGTTCACTTCCCCGACTGATACTTTGAATTATTATTATTATTATTTCAAAATTTTGAAGGACGCTTCACGCAGCTTCATTATACTTGAATTGTTTGCAGGCAACCTGCCTACACTCAAGAGAGCACTGCATTTCACACAAATCCATTGGTATCGTTACAACGTTTCGGTCTTTATGACCATCATCAGGAATGAAGTGGACATGGAAAGAACAGCAGTATAAAAGAAGGAGGCAAGCAAGCAAAGCGCGGTACATAGTGACAGCGCGCGTAGAGAAGTGCAAAGCACGTCATGGCGGGTGTGCATTACTACATATACATGACAACACAAGCACAAACGGCGAGGAAAGTAGATACTGCGTTACAGCAGTGATAACAGCCCAGTTACAGTCTCACACCACCAGTGAGGTGTCTAGAGCCCCGCGCCACTCGCAGTAAGGTGGTGTTATAGCAGATCCCAGCCACTGTTGTTATTAATTTCCGGGGATCGCTCCCTGATATTGATGGCCTCCCGGATCCTCCTCCTGGGGCGGTCACGCTCAGAACCGAGAACCCGGATACCTGAGAAAGCCGTTGCTCCCAATGGCAATGGGTCAGATGCATTATTATTATTATTATTATTAACTGGTTTTGAGGGAAAGAGACAAACGGGAAAAGTCTGAAGAAAAAATTGACTGTCTCCACCAGGACTCGAACCAGGGACCCTCGCTTGTAGCCAGCGATGCTCTAACCACTGAGCTATGGTGTAGTCGTCATCCAAGCAGAGACCGTTCAACGTTTTCTTCAGACTTCGTAACTCACACTTCCTGTGAATCCACACAGGCGGGTGGGACGCAGCCCTCACTGTACCCACACACTTCACGTACAAACTAGCACGCGGGGAGCCCCAAGTCATAAAAGTATTAACTGGTTTTGAGGGAAAGAGACAAACGGGAAAAGTCTTTTATTATTATTATTATTATTTAATAGGGGTGATCACAATGATCTATAAGGAGTGGCACCACACGCACCAGCTCGCAGTACAAAGCACACACGATGATGTCATTCAAAAACCTCAGCAATTTTCCATGCACAGATGGTACTACATACCACTGCTTCTCCATGACCTTTCCAGGCAGGTGAGAACTGATTCAGCTGCTTGTCCTTGCTGTCAAGCTTCTCATGCTGCAGCTCCGACTGCCGTGCAAGAAACCGTTCAGCCTGGTCAACAATCATAGGCACATGGTAGGTAAAACTAACTAATACTTATCACAATACATTGTACTTAGTTACTAGTGACATTGCTGTAACACACAATGGAGAGCTATATTGCCGCCGAGCCGGTGAAACCATCAGATAGCAATGAAAGAAGACATGCATCGATTTTGAATCCAGATATCATGTTTATCTGTCATATTTCTAAGTTCACAAACAGCACCTTTCCCAGTTTACCTACACACTGTCAAACATGACACGACACATGAATACAAGGCAGAATAGTACCACCCACTACCATTTTAATCCCCTTGGCGGGGTAAAAAAATAGTACTCGAAGGTGTCGCACGCCCTAAGGGGCCATCCGTAATTATCGATCTTTTTCACGAAACGAAAAAGTTTCGTTTATGGGTGGGTGGGTAGCGACCGGTTTCGTTTTGAAAAAACATCGAAAGCGGAAAAATCAACGCTCACTGCATCAGTGCATGCATACATAATGATTGACTGTGTACATCGAAGTAGATCGACAGTAGACTCTACGTCGCGTGGCCAAGCAAGTGCTGCATGGATGCACTGATACCACTCTGTACTCAGTGCAGTGAGTTCCTTTCGGCCTTGGATGACTTCTCCGACGAGGACCTAGCAGTCATCATGGTCATTCACTCTGGGACCGACGACAGATAGATAATAACGTTACTTCGTTCCAGCCGCCGATGCAAGAGAATTTCAAATTACGGAGCGGGGCGCACGCCAAGTAAATTCTCACGCAAAGATGGGGAGCGCCAGCCGCTGAAGACGATGTCGTCGTAAAGACTCGTAATGTACCTGGAAGAATCTGATCATGCTTATGCTGGGGAAGCCATGGAGAGTGATCCCCGTGTCGACAGTCTTCCGGAGACGGAAAATTAGGCCATCGACTTTCTACGTACCTGATAGACGGCAGCGCAGCGCGGCGTGCGTGCGACCTTACGGAGCTTTCCGACAGCGATTCTGGGGCGATGCTGCTCTCATTTGCGAGCAAGGCACACCCACTGAAGTCTGTGATAGCTATGGCGTTTGTTTCCGCTCCGAAGTCGACTTGTTTTGGCAGTATCATGTCAATGTCGGGACTCTGACGATTTGCAAGTGTACAATTCCCGTGTTTAGACGTAGAGGTGCCAGCAGCGTATGTGTGTGGTAGGTGAAAATAAATGTTTCCATGGTCAAGAAGTAGTACCAGACTTCCAAGAAAACATAACTAACGTTGTTACTTACTTGCACAATCACACAAAATGTGGCCTCGCTATGTTGTAACAGCCAATCAAGATCATTTTCTGCACAAAGTCTCAAGTCAATTAATTTTTTCGTTTCAGGGGGGTGGGTGGGTGGGTGTGGGTCATAACTAAACTTTTTCGTTTCGTGAAAAAGATCGATAATTACGGATGGCCCCTAAATACGACTCAAATTGCTGTTTTCACACATGGATAACATTACTGGCACATATCAACATTCTGAAGAATTGTTCCGGGCGCTTTGGCCTCGCCAAGGAGATCTTACCAAGCATATACAGTAGCCCATTGAAAAATAACCTACACTCGGCACCATCCTCAATATGTAACACCTGCACACAAGACACAAGTATATTGAACACTACCTTTTCAGTTTGCTTTGCAGATATCCGCTCCAACAATTCTTGGCGACGTTGATTCTTCTCTTCCTCGGGAATTTCTACACGCATTACATACAAATGGCAAAGAAAGACAACCATCTCGACTAGGATTGGGTGTTCTACAAAGGCATCTGGCCGGACGAATGAGAGAGGGGAGCCAATAAGACTTCTATTTTCTAAACTAATGAGTATTATTATTAGACTCGGGTGGAGAGCAAAGGATTAATTTATATTATTATTTATATTATTAATTATAAGAAGAAAGAGGACCAAAAAGCTACAAGGTACGTTACAATATCCACTAACGCCACCAGTTACTTTACAATCAGCTCATGCGATAGCATTGCACGACACTGACCAACGGTACTGACGTTCTACACCTAACTGGAAATCTCTTTCACTTTAATAGCGTAACTTGTAGGTCTTTGGTCCTCTTTCTTCTTATAAAGTATTACTTCATAATCTTGATAGAATTGTGCAACAGATTCGAGGAAAAATTGGATAAACCTATTTCTGGTCTGAATGATGTAAGAGTTCTTCTATCCCCCCCCCCCCCCCCCCCCCCCCCCACACACACACACAAATACTCTCACACACAAGGACCCTGAAAAATGTCTACAATAGGAATGCTGTCACTTACCGGGTACAGCTTCCAATAGCTCTCTCTCATGTCGGCGCTCAAAGAATGGAGTCACGAACGTGGAAAGGAGCCAACTAACAATAGCCAGAATGACCAAGCCAACCAAAATATAACCTGGCAGGGACACATTTTCCTGTCCGGCCAAGAAAGCAACAAAACCGAAGGCGAAAAGCCAAAGAGTAGTTTTCAAAACTATGTCCATAGCGAATTGTGAAACGCCTGTAAGAAAAGAAACTATTCCTAGATTGAAATAATTGAGCACTGGGACACCATTTGCAAAGTATTGTCCAGTATTCTAAATAAATAAATACAAAGAATAAGGCTCTACTCCGCACAAGGAGAAGACAACAGTTAACCGGACCAATCAAGAAAGTGACAGCAAAGGAAATGAATGAAAACTGCCAGAATCATTCTCTTTCGAGTGCAGCTTTGTTTACTTGGCACTTTTTGTTTTTCACAAGATTAGACTTCATCGCACATAAACATCGACCAGAAAATTTAATTAAAAAGGCAGTGCGAGAAATAACACGTCGTTGTCGTTTGTACGCGTCTGTATGAGATACGCAGTTTCTATGGTAGTCTGGACATTTCGATCACGGATTCACGCATTTCACGGGGCTGGATCACGATCACGTGCCAAACAAACGACACGATTATTGTATTTTCAAAGAATAGTGTTTTGTTGTTTTCAGTGCAACGATCGTGAGTGATTGAATTGCTTGAATTATTGCCTAGGATGGCCACCAAGCTTCCTTCATTTCGCAGCCAGTTGGTGTTTGAAAATCGGCGAGATGAGCAACTTTCTGCTGCCAGGAATAAGCTGGTCACGGAGCATCCATTCAATTGTGCTGTAAGTGGATGGTTTATTTATTGACATTTTCATGACATGTCGACACGTGAAGTTGATCAGCACCACACAGCTAGTAACTTTATCACTATCAGTCTATGCCTTCGCTGCATGTCCTTGAAATGAATCCTATAGAAAACTGTACAGGGGTCACAGGATGTTCCAGCGATATTGTAGGAAACGAATAAAAGGGAACGATATGTAACCAACCACACACAAAGTGCAATAAGGCTGCGATTGGTGTGTATTTATTTATTTTATTTATCGTCTCCACTTCATGGTACATAATGATACATAGCCAATACAAGAAAGGGAGGGTGAATCCAACCACGGAAAATAGCATTACTAAAAGAAGAAAAGGAAGGGAGGTGTCACCATGTGTCAACAGCAGGTAGCACAATGCTATTTTAGCTGAAATGCATCCTTGAAAGCTGAGAGAGACTGTGAACAGCGAATATTATAAGAGAGTTTGAGGCAAAATGTGTAAGCCATAAAGACAGGCGATTTGATCATTAGGGACAATCGAGGGGAAGGTAATGATACCTGGTGTCTTGTATTTCTCTCTTGCTGGAACCAATCATATTTCTTGAAGTGCCTGGGAATTTGCTTAAGATACGTTTTCTTAACGAGTGCACACAGGTGTGCTTGGCATCTATCAGCAAGTGGAGAGGAGGCTACGAGAGAGTATATGATATGCTTACTGTTATGCATGAGGGATTTTCCAAATAGCCGTTTAATTATTTTTCTATGGTGAATTTCAAGCTTGGAAACAGCAGCTGCACTAAGACCACACCATACTATGTCAGCGTGATCAAATAAAGGCAGAATATAGCATCGGTAGAATAGAATCTTGCAACTGTTTGGGAGATGGGAAAAATGAGAGAGCAAGGCTCCAAGAGCAGAGCTTTAATCAGATCCTTGCTGGCCCATGGAGGAAACTTCGACCGTCTCCGGGCTCCGGAGGATGATTCACCATGCATGCGAGTCGTAAGATACTTAGTAAACACATCGTTTACCTCCCCATGAAATTGCCGTAGTGCTGTATCAGGGTCAGTACTGGACAACAGCGCGCCAGTCCCGTTGCGTCAGTTCATGGTTCAGCAATGTCCAGGTATCCTGAGAGACATTCCGGAAGCAAAACACAACTTCATCGGAAGGAGAAACTGATGAAGTCACAGCTTTCATCGAGTCAGAGCACAGGAGAGGATCAAGACGAAAAACCAGCTGCAGGTGATCCGAGGCACCTAGCGGGGCATCGGTGCCGATATCCAGGACGAGATTGGGACTATTTGTTACAAGCCAATCAAGACAGGAAGATTTGCTGGAAGGGGCTGTGTATGTGGGGGAATCAACCAACTGCTGGAGGCCATAACTGCGAAAAAGGAGATCTAGTTCAGTACCAAGTGGAGAGTGGGGGTCTGAGGGACACCAGGCAGGATTGTGAGCATTGAAGTCTCTTGTGATGAAAACTGTGGTTGATGGAAGGTCAGCAGAATCCAGAGCATCTTCTAACATGTTTAAAAAGTGTAGATATTAGCACTGTGCACTCTGGATTTCTCGTTTCGTGCAATCCTAGCCCATCAAGCACTGTAGCAGCGTCCACGGTGGAGGTGGGGCTGCCATCAGGGAAAGAGAAAGTTGTGACAGACTTGGCCATTACAATAATTTGAGCTCATGGTGCCCCCGTCATATTACACTCTTGGCTTCTGGCAGTGGAGTGGTGAGCGCTAAGTGTGCAAATTTGGCGCAGCAGAGTGAATGTAAAGTTCTAGTTTGTTGGCATGTGTGAAAGCTTCGCGCTGAGCACATCACTAGCACTTCCAAAGCATGCACGGATAGCAATCTTTTCACTTCTGTTTGTTGTCTGTGTTATTATAGGCAGAAGCTTTCATCCCTGGCCCTATGTCAGCCTTGGAGCGAATTCAAAATCAGTTACCGGATGATGCCAAGTATTTCAAGGCCGAAGTGCCGGTAGCTAACTTTCTTCGTGTGGATTTCATTGCCAATCACTTGAAGAAAGGTGAGTACATGCTGTTGTCAAGAGTAAATTAGCTCCCAAGAGTGTGCAACTCTGCATACAGGGTCTCCGACGGCGATTTCTTACCGTATGTCAGCGCCTTTAAAGCCATGGCCTTATATTCGAAACACCGCTGCTTTCCTAGATATTTTAGATGCAAAATGACTCACCCACTACGCCATGCCATAAAAAGTCAAAGTCGACACAGAAATTTCAATCTAAATCTACTTGTTCACCCTTCCTGCTGGGCTGTAAGTTTGTTAGCATAGTACTTATTCCTTCATTTTTTTTGCAAAATATACTTCAAATGCCATTTCATTTATGAAGCCCATGGCTTTATAACTGAGACTGGCTTTATAATCGAATATAGCGCCATGGCTTTTAAGGTGCGGACATACGGTATATGTTTCTGTGGGTGGATGTATGTGTAGCTGTGGTTGCCTGTGTTCTGTTAGCAGTACGTGTGTTCTCTTTGCCCTGGCCACTCTGTCTCTCTCTGTGTCTCTGTCTCTGTGTCTGTATCTCTCTCTCTCTCTCTCTCTGTCTCTCTCTCTGTCTCTCTCTCTCTCTCTCTCTGTCTCTGTATCTCTCTCTCTCTCTCTCTCTCTCTCTCTCTCTCTCTCTCTCTCTCTCTCTGTCTCTCTCTCTGCCTCTGTCTCTGTCTCTCTGTCTCTCTCTGTGTCTCTGTCTCTGTGCCTCTCTGTATCTCTGTCTGTCTGTATCTCTCTCTCTCTCTCTCTCTCTCTCTCTCTCTCTTCTCTCTCTCTCTCTCTCTCTCTCTCTCTCTCTCTCTCTCTCTCTCTCTCTCTCTCTCTCTGTATCTCTCTCTCTCTCTGTCTCTCTCTCTGCCTCTGTCTCTGTCTCTCTGTCTCTCTCTCTCTCTCTCTCTCTCTCTCTCTCTCTCTCTCTCTCTCTCTCTCTCTCTCTCTCTCCCTCTATCTCTCTCTCTTAGATCGCTAATTATATAGACTGTTCAAGGCATGCACTGCTACTGCGAATGAATGTGTAGTTCAGTACTGTACTTATGTTCATATTGCCTGTGTGACCCAGGCTGCTTACATGGTGTCAGCACTGGCTGTGGAGTGGATCGAGAGGACTGCGTTGCCCTCATGCCGAATGGTAAATTGATGTGTCGCTTCTAAGCATTAGCTGATGCAATCTAGATACCGGCAAGCACATCATCACTGACACATCCGTTACTGTGTAGCCCACTCAAAAGGGCCATTTTAGATGCTGATTATTAGGAATAAGTCATTGTATTGATGTGCAGTGGCACTGATGATCGGTACTAGTGATGCACACATTGTACATGGTATGTCGACCTAGAAAGCATACTTTTGAGTAGACATTGTGTGATGTTGTTCTGTACTCAATGTGCGGACAGTACTCTTTCAGCCTTTGTGGACTCATCAGCGGAGCATTGAAAATGTGGCTGGAGCTGGTAGCTGGTTTGCTGTCTGCATTGTTGATTCTCGTAGGTGATCTTATTCTGTCGCTCACCAAGGACACCTATTTGGAGCTGGGACTGGAGGGCAAGTCATCGACTGTCCAGCCCGGAGCTCGACACAGTACGTAAGAAAGGCAACTTGTGTCGTACCCGTCAGGCAGTATTGCATTATATTATGACAACAGCATGAAGATAGAAGCCCAGTAGGTGTTTGATGGTCCCACGCTGCAGTATCATACATACTGTGGTCTTCATGTCGGGCAGATGTGCTTGCTCTCAGTTTCATGTGTCAGGCCTTTCTATGTACTTCAAGCACTCACACACAAGGCCCAATAGAAACAAATTGTTTCTACTCGAGTTTCTTGCCGCAATCATCAGGAGTCTGAGGCTTACGTCAAGTACTCTTTGCTTTGGTTGCTGGTTGGTTTATACTGGAACCTCCATCGGCGTGCTTTTGTATAAAATTTCCGTTCTCATTTGGTGTCTCTTTGTTTTCTCTCACTGTAAAGTTGTTGAAGTCAACCTGACAGCAGCTCACTGTCATCCGGACAAGAAGTACTACAAGCGCGTTCTCTGGTGCTTAACCGATCGCCTGCAGCTGGTTTTTCCGTTCGTATTGGCCTACTCTAATCCAGGTAAGTACATCAACGTATGTACATGTACCTGTTTCCATGGCATGCACAGTACATTTTCATGTAGCTGTACAGGCAGAAAATTTCGTCGGTCAATAATTTCGTCCAACTCCAAAGAAAGAGATTTCGCCCGGTTGAAAATTTAGTCCATGGACTATAACAGTGTATTGAAACGCTGCACAAATCGACATTCGTCCGTCATTAAATTTAGTCCCAAAGCTCCTTGGACGAAAAAGACGAAATTAAATTCCAGACGAATATTTCTGCTTGTACAGTAGCTGTTTCCAGGTACAGTAAAACCTGTAACTAAAGACCACCGTGACTAGCGACCAGCCTGGTACTACCGACCACTTGGCCAGGCACGGACGGTCTCACATTCAAAATGCACTGTGACTAGCGACTACCTGCTGAACGCGACCAGCGACCGCCTTTTCTTGTCCCAAAGACGATTTTAGACCCGTAACTAGCGACCGCGATGTAGGAAATCAAATGTTGCTCGAAGCTCCTTCTTGAAATTTTGCTGATTTTCCATGGTCCTGAAAGGAATCTTTCGGTACTACAGCTGAAGAAATGAACGCAGGCCATTATGACTGTGGAGTCGGTGTGGACTGCACTACACCTGTCAGAATTTCAAGCGCTGTCAAGAATAAACATGATAGGAAACGTCTTTGAGAGCGCATCGAAAGCGCTCTCTGCTCGATGTTACTACTAGTACTCGGAGAAGAAAACGAAGACTGAGCGGCTCTGTCACCCCAGTCATACAAATGAATCGACGATGGTGTCAAGGAATCCAGAAACAAAGCAGCACCGCAAGGTCCTGATGCTGAAGGATCGCGTTCGAACAATCGAGAAGTCACAACAAGGATAGTCGGTACGATTGATCGGATGAACAAATTTGAAGTCCAGCGCAAAACGAAACTTCCACAGGGAACGTTTGACTCATGGCTTCAGAAGAAGCAGCTGAATTTGATGTCTGCAAAAAATGTGATCTTCTCTCTCTCTTTTGTCTCTCTCCATCTCTCCGTCTTTCTCTCCAAGTGTTGTTTGACCTGAAATAAGAATGGCATTGCGCAAGTCCTGGGGAGTTGTATTAGCTGCATTTTGATATGCATATCATTATACTGGGATCCATATATGGTCGCACGGTGCAAACCTCTAACTAAAGACCACCTGCTACTAAAGACCGCTTTTGCTGGCACCAAGGGGTGGTCGGTAGTCACAGGTTCTACTGTACTTGTACATGTACATACAGGTACACTCATACCTCGTTTATCCAGGCGGTCCGGGGATCGGGCACTGCCCGTAACTTCGAAGTGTCTGTAACTCCAAATCAAATACATTTTGATGGGGAAAGGCCATAGATATGGCATGTCACGATGTGACGTCACTATTTCCACAAGAAGGTTACAAAAGAGTAGTAACATTTCCCCTGAAACTCGCCCAAAGGGTGCCCAGTAGACCGAAGTGCCCGTAACGTCGGTGTCCGGATAACCAAGGTGTGAGTGTACCTGGCATGCTTGGCAGACAGACTTACCGGTATATCTCTCGGGGCGATATACTAGTACACAGATAGGTACCACTGCTGCAATAGCGCTGCATGCACAAACATGCACAGCTGGCCACATACTGGGTGAACTGGAGCAAGCTATCATGCTGCCTCCATGATTTGCTGTGCAAACTGTGAGTAGTACTTGCACTGGTATTTTCAGAAAACTCAGTGCAGTGTGGAGTTGCACAGTAAGCCATGGGGTCATGTGACTTTTTTGGCTCAAGTCAGTCATTATTTCGATTTGAATCCAATCTCCTATCTACATGGAACTGAGCAGTTCTACGTATACGGTAGCTTTGCTTCTTGGTGTCTCCTGCTAAATGCTGTATTGTATGACGCTGTTCATTTCCATGGCACAGGTGACGTGAATGCAGAGCGACTGTCGCAGGACCTGGGCGTGCCGTGCCAGCCCTGTGACGTGAAACGAACGCAGCGCTCCTGGTACCACCTGGCCACGCCGCGTCTGAACCAGGACGTCCTTGCCTACGCGGCAACCCAGACTCATGGCCAGGCCACGGATAGCACAGAGGTGGCGGCGACCGCAGGCGATCCACCAAGCTCTGGCGCAACACCCGACAGGGCCGTGGCCGATCAGACGGTTGATGCAAGCGTGACAGAGGACGACGTGATACATGCAGCCGTTGAGTTTCACGACTGGCTGGGTGCAATGCTGTGCGGAATTAAACTGTAAGGCTCCTTCCTCTGCAACTAGACTAGTGACTGCTTTTGACCTTTTTGTACACTATGCCTGGACCATAGTTAACATACTTCAGCAGTACAATAGACACATAGCAATGGTTCGACCAAGTCTTCTTTGCCGTTATTCAGGGCTGTTTGCTCTGTCCAGCGGACATTGAATACTTTACACAGCCTGAGGATTAATAGATATAATTATGTCTACTCCGGAAATATGCGTGCTGTGCTCCCTGATGTTGTGACAGTGTGATTTGTGTTACTCCCGGATTCAAATATAGTGACCAATGTAGCGAGTAGAAAGGAGCCCAAGATGAGATTGTTTTGCCATGACTGTGCTTGTGCTCTTGTTATGACTGCTGTTGACTGGCAGGGATGAGCGCGCCTGCAGCTCTGCTGCATCGTCCATGGGAGCTCTGGCGAATTCAGTGCATACGAATGAGTGCGCCAGCGTACGGTGGACAGGCTGCTTGTCCTCGGAGAGTGTCTCGTCTACTCTGGGAGCTCTTCGGTAAGAGCTCTGCTCAATGTCAAGTGTGATCTGGTAGTTCCTGTTGTGTGTTTTCCTAATTTTTGTTTCAAGTTTTATCCAAATTCATCGGGTTAGTTCTGGCCTGATAATTCCTTGAATATAAAGGACTATGTTACCTGGTCCTTTGCGCATTGACCAGTGATTTTGAGGGAAATGTCGTAGATCTGCGTATTCGATATGGTGTCAACTATCCAGGCATATAGCTGCAACTGAAGTGTATTTCCACGTAAACTGAACAATACTTTGTAACAAATGCTATGCACCTCTGCACATTCCATGCTGCAGCATATGTCTCCATTCTGCGGGCAAGTTCATGCCAAATCTGTGCTGCAGACAGTGCTTCAAACTTCCGTAAAAATATAGGCAAATCCGAGCGGTTGGCAACACTGCCAGCACTGGGCACAGGCAAGGGCAGATACAGAATGAAGCTTAGCTGAAATTTCGTTTCACGGGGGACACTAGAAGTTTGTTGTGACATTCTTGACATTTTGGTACCGTTCACACACAGCCCGTAACTCTGAAATGTGCATATCTCACCCAGCTAGTGTCCGAACACACACATGAAGAATGTTCTGGTACTGTGTGCTTGCATTCTTTCTTCAGGCAACTGGTGTCAGATGGCAATCTGCCCTGGGCAAGCTTGTGCGTGTGGGGATTCCACGACAGTCCCGTGTCGTGGCGCCGTGTGGAGCATGGCTACAGGCAGAGTGCGGACAATCAATACACCGTACTGCTGCTGCCACGAGGACAATACTGGGTGCTGGCTACGTCTCCACCGTGATCTGGTGCAGGGTGTTCGCAATGTGCCGTTCCCATGGTCACAGTAACCCGACGACAGTGTTAGTCTCATGGCCTGCTCCGGTCAGAATGCATTGAGATTTTCTGCTGTGTGCTAGTACCGTAGTGGCGTAGCACCACTGTCACACCGTAGTGTGAGCATAACAGCAAGCATAACAGCAAGCTACCACTCTTTCGTCACTGTAGTAACTCTCTTCTGGCTGTTCAGGACGAGCAGCATCCGTAGTAGAGCTGCTTAGCATGTCTTGGCATATGACCTACCGGTGGAAGCAGTGTCCCTTGAAGCCAGTGCTGTATTGTAACCTTGCTGCAATATTCAGTGAGCTCACGGCCTTTACACGTAGCCTATGAAGAATAATTGCCACTTCCAGCTCTATCGCACTGTGTGCTATAGGATCCTAGTGACAGCTGAGTGAAAGGGTACACGTGTGAAATTGTGTTTTGCCCTGTTTTGACTGCAGGCAGTCTGAATAATTATGCCCGGTCAGATCATTTCCCCGTCAGCTACTTTTATTCCCATACTGTAGTTTGATATTGCATCTTTTTTTTAAAGGTTTTTATGTTGACTTGCGATAAACAACGACCAACCAATTATCATTCTAGCTGAAGTGCTGGCATGGTCGCCTGTGAAATGCAACTGTTCGCTCGAGAACTGCATGGTGTGTGTGAAGAGGGTGGATTGCACGACTGTGGGATGTGACATGTCAAGCACCCCGGGACACAGACTATCCACCAGCAGTAAGATGTCACAGGCCAACCCTGTACTTACGTCTTGCCAATACTCGACTCACTGATTCTCTCACACACACACACACACAATCAACAATTACAGTACACCCCACTGGGGTGCATGTACGTACTAGCGTTGACTAGGGGTCCCCAAAAAATTTAGCACTGACCGCAGAGCCTGTGCATCCTTGGTGCATAGACCACCTGCTTTGACGACTCCCTGGGCTGTTATTCAGAATTAGTCACCTATACCGACAGGGCAAGGGCTGGTTCCAAGGTGCTTGAGTAGCCAACACGCCCCACCGCATGCGCCCCACTGTCAAGCAGCTATCAATCCAGTAGCCGTGAAGTCAGGACTCCACTGCGAAGGTTGAAGCTACCACAGGGAAGCAAACAAATTTGGCATAGACACTTGACTTGCAGTGGGTGCAGTCCAGTATGGGACTAACTAGCTTCACATACTCCCGAGTCCCTACACATGCAAGCCTATCCATCCCAAGACTAAGCACTACACTGACACAATCATGATGTAGAAAAAGTGTTTCGGAAGGAACTCCTTCAAGTAAGCATCAATAGCATCATCATGTCAGAACAACATAAAAAAAACTCTGCAAAACTACAGGAACACTGCAAAGCGTAAAGTTGACCGCACGGCTGATACACTAACCAAATCAAAAACACTCCAAGAACAAAGAGCGCTATTCCGATGGAGGTGTAAGCTCAGCGAGCGACCGGAGCACAACGTAAAAACAGACCCGCGTCAACTGAGCTGAGTCAAAAGCGGATTGTTTGCAAAATCCTGCAGGCTATAAAAAAAATTGGTAACAGCTCTAAAACGATACGAACAGTATCGCCATCTAGGAGCGCAGGAAATTGGCAATTGCCTCGCCATCGCGCTCGAGCCAAGAGACATTCCTGCGTATACGCTCAACGGACTGCTTGATGGCACGGTTGGCAGCCGGTGCAGGATTCTCAGCGAAGAACTTCTCAACCTCAGCAGCACGCTCCTCAGTCACAAAGTCGGAGCACAGGCTGGAGATGAGGCGGGCCAACAGGAAACCACCCTACAGGCAGTGACAAGAAGAATTCAAGAAACAGTGATTCAGTAAAGATGGTCCTAGGAATTCTATCGATCAAGCCAAATTTGAAGGAAAATGCGATGGGTCACTGCGTGTGGTGTGATGTGTGTGTGTTTGTGTGTGCATGTGCGCATGTGTACGAGTCCTCACAGATCCGAGTGCTAAAGTATGCCAGCGAGGAGAGCCTGCACGCTGGCCAGATGAAGTGGCAAGCCGTTTGTACTAGATATGTGTATGCCGGAAAACCCATGACACAAGAACCGAGAAGCAGGAGAGACCTTGCCTAAACTGCATGTAGCAGCAGCAATGTGTACGCGTGCACGCACGCACGTGTGTGTGTGTGTGTGTGTGTGCGCGCGTATGTACGAACTAACTACTGTTACTTACTTGGTAGCGTTCATAGAGAACTGTCCAGTTATCCTTGAGGAAGTCCCATGCCACATCACGGCCGAGACAGGAGTGGCTGGACACGCTGCCGATGACAAACACGGTGTCCTGAGAGCGCACCTTGTCGGACAGCGAGAACTGCAGGGCACGGTCGATCAGCTCACGGCTGGAAGCTGCGCCCAGCGAGCGCATGATGCGCACGCGCTCCTCGTGCAGGTCGGTCTTGTCGAAGAGAGCGAGCAGCTCGTCAAACGTACTGACATCGTTGCCCGTCAGCACAGCACTGTACACGGCTGCGCGCAGGTCGGCAGGTAGAGTACTCTCGCCGGACACATGCGCCTGGAAGCGACGGCGAGCTTCTTCTACGGTGGCGGGGTGCTTGTGGCTGCCAAGGGCACCGACAACAAGCGAGCGCAGCAAGGCAGTCAAGTGATTGCCATCAGACGACTCCCAGCCAACACGCTCCATGACAGGCGCGAGCAGTTTGTGGACAAACACCGACATGGCGGACGTGTGCTCGGAGTAAGCCAGCAGTTTGCTGATGGCCGCAATGTTGGAAGAGAGCGACAGCCAGACTGTGTAGTCGTTCTCGTTGCAGTAAGCCTCTGTCAGGCGCAGAGCGTCGGCGGTGTTTGATTGGCCGGCCTGAGCCAGAGCAAACAGGTCATCCTGGAGATTAAGACGGTCACGAGAGCCCAGCAGTTGATCGCGTACAGCTGGCAATAGAGCATCCAACATGCTGGATGAATACTTCACACGGTAGAAGCCAACCGCGCCAGGGTTCAGCTTGATCCAGGCAGGGGTGTTCGGCACAGCCAATTCGCCAGTCTTGCCTTCCAGCATGGATGATGCAATGGAAGTAGCGGGCGATTCACTGCTGCAGGCATTGACTGGCACCAGCCACTGTGATTGACTGTTGTCCACGCCAAAGTGCTTCTGCGACATCTTGACGGACACCTGAGATCCCTGGTCATCACGCTCAACCTCAAGGACCGGGAATCCCATCTTCTCGGTCCAGGTCTGCATGACCTTGGCAACTGGCTTGCCGCTGGCATCTCCTAGAGCTTCCCACAAGTCTTCGGTGAAAGTGTTCTTGTAGGCATGCTTGGTGAGGTAGTTGTGCATACCCGTGCGGAAGGCCTCGTCACCAATATACGAATGCAACATGCGGATGACAGAGGAGCCCTTGCTGTAGGAGATGGCGTCGAAAATCTCATCGATCTCATCCGGGTGGCCAACAGGAACCTCAATCGCATGGCTGTTGCTCATGGCATCAAGTTCCAAAGCACGGATCAAGTCATGGGTGACAAACTGGGTCCAGATATCGTATTCTGGGAAACAGTGGTCGACACACAGGTACTCAATCCAGGAGGCGAATCCCTCGTTGAGCCACAGGTGAGTCCACCATTCCATGGTGACCAGATTGCCAAACCACTGATGGGCAAGTTCGTGCCCGACGACCAGCGCCACCCACTGACGCGCTGCAGCAGATGACTGAACAGGATCGACAAGCAGTGCAGTCTCACGGTAAGTGACCAGTCCCCAGTTCTCCATGGCTCCGGCAGCAAAGTCAGCGATGGCAATCAAATCAATCTTGGGCAGTGGGTAGGGAATGTCGAAGTACTTCTTGTAGAACGGCAAGGTCTTCACAGCAACGTCCAGGGCAAACTCTCCCTGCTCTTTCTTGCCGACGGGCGTGTATACACGCACCACAACACCATCAGCGTCCTTGCCCTCAACGTAGTCGTACTCACCCACAATAAACGCCAACAGGTACGTGGACATGATGGGTGTTGTCTCGTACGTCACCGACCGGAGTCCACCGTCGACCTTGCTCTCACTCTTCACCGGCATGTTGCTCAGGGCAACACGGTCCTCTGGAACGACTAAAGTCACATCAAACGTTGCTTTCAAAGCTGGCTCATCCCAACACGGAAGAGCACGGCGTGCATCGGTGGCCTCAAACTGGGTCACTGCACAGTAACGCTCCTCCCCAGACGGAGTCGCGTACTTGGAGCGATAGAATCCTTTCATCTTATCATTCAGCTCTCCAGCAAATGTCATCTTAATTTGGCCATCACCAACAGCAAGGTCTTCAGGGAAGGTCAATGTCACTGTTTCCTCCTTGGGCTGGAATGCAACCTCTGCGACAGCATTTCCTGCAGCAGATACAAATTCTGCTGAGCTAATAGTGATGTCGGCAGAGTTCAATACGACGGTCTTGGTTGGCTCGGCTACAGATACGTTAATGGTCTGCTCACCGGTGAAGGTGAAAGCTTGCAAGTCCGGCTTCAGCTGCACTGTGTAGTGTTTGGGAACCACATTGAGTGGCAAGCGCTGGAATGTTTTCTCAGACATTTTCTTGGCAGTCTGAGAGGATCGTCGTAAGGGTACAGCCTTAGGCAGAAGCTGGGTATGGGACAATGGTCTGGCGTAGGAAGACAGTACGCGAGGTACACTGCGAACTGCTTGCCGTCCAGCTGATCTTGCAATCAAGGCACCACTTCGGCCGAGCACACCAACTGATCGACGCCACATCAGGCAAATTTCCTCTCACCTCAAAATTTGATAGTGATATTTCGGTTTCGCGAATCCGTCATGAAGAAAAAAAAGGGAACATGCAAATCTGGGCAGCCATGTTTGGGGAATCCCCGGAACAGCAAAGTCTCAACACGTGCGTTGATCTGGACTGCACTGCACTGGTACATGGTGTTCTAGACCGCATGCGCACGCACCACACTGCTCACTTGCACTGATTCTGAAGCCTAGCGCCTGCCATGTTGCGCCTATGCCTAGCGCCTAGCGCCTGTAGTCGCATTATTATTTTCAGAACTAAATATTGCGACAGAGCTTTCGCCGTTTCGGCCATATTTTCAATTCATTGCATTCCCAACTCATCACAACCACGCGCTCTTCAGCCCGGCTGAAGAGCGCGTGGTTGTGATGAGTTGGGAATGCAATGAATTGAAAATATGGCCGAAACGGCGAAAGCTCTGTTCGGCGAACCATTCAGACACCAGCAAGGACACTTCCGTTGAGAGATAATATTGTTCCACGCCTCTAGACAGCCGTTTCGCTCCCTGTCGGAGCTCATCAGTAGAGGATGATAATGATGATAAGTGGCCTCCTCCTTGCCTGGCTCCGGAGTTACCTGACAGACCGCCACATCCGGGTCGTCATAGGTGGCCAGTCTTCACCGACCCACCGAATCCAATCTGGCGTGCCACAGGGCAGCATCCTCGGCCCCACCCTCTTCCTTCTGTACGTCAACGACGCAGAAGACCACCTGCCTGATGGGGCGAAGCTGGCTGTATACGCCGACGACACAACTCTCTACAAGTGCATCACCACCCGACTCAGACTGCCAGAAGAGACAGCAATCCTCCAGCAGGCAGTAGACTCACTGGCAGCATGGGGAAGCAGGTGGAGGATCAAGTTCGAGCCCACAAAGTCGCAGGCATTGACCATCAGCCACCACCGCTCGCCACCCCCCCCCCCCCCCCCCCCGAACGCAATACGCTTCCAAGGAGCAGTCGTGCCAGAAGTAGAGGAGCTCAAGCTTCTTGGCGTCACCTTCGACAGGCAGCTGGCATTCCGCAGCCATATCCGACAGCTTGCAGTACGCGGAGCCCAGCGGCTCGGCTTCCTCCGTAAGGCATCGGCTGTGCTAGACCCAAAGCACCGGGCAATCGTGTACCGTGGCTTTGTCCGCCCTGTGCTAGAGTATGGCATGCTGGTGTGGATGAGCGCAGCCCCCACCACCTTGGCCCGCCTCACTGCCATCCAGCGCCGTGCCCTGCACATAATTGGAGATGGAGCATACCTCCCGAGCCTCGACATTCGCTGTACCGTAGCAGGGCTCTGCTTTCTGTACAAGCTGCACTTTGTGGAGGGTCCGGAAATGGTGAAAGCCATTCTGCCACCATCAGCAGCCGCACCGCAACACCGCATGCCTACTCGAGCGACAACCAGATCTGCAACACATCATCCATCGCAACTCACCAGTATCCTTCCCCCTCAGGCACGAAACAACACGCTCCGCTCATTTCCCCACTCCCTCATCGAAACGTGGAATCAGCTCCCACCTACCCTTCTGCAGTCTCCCCCTTCTCGCAGAGGCATGCACACGTTCAAGAAAAACGTCAACGACCACTTGCGGCGCAGCAAGTGGGAGTGGGCCACAGACAGGCTATGATCTCTGCCAACACACCAGCCTAATTATACTGACCGCACTCTAGCTCCCTTCTACCCCTCTTTGATCCCCTTCGCTCAGCCTTAAAACCCGATTATCAGTTCACTCCATCTTCCTACGGTGCACTGCTTTTACTATTGTTTTGTCCTATCCCAATCTCAAATTCTCCCCATTATCGTTTGCAAAGCCAGTGCTCCCCTCTTGGATGCACATGTTTCTTCTCTCCTATGTATCGGCGCACAGGAGTAACAATGATTCCGAGACCTTTGGTCGGAGGAGTTACTTTTGCCCCGCCCCCACTTCCATCCAATATGCCACCGCCCCCGCTGTGCAGCATCTGATGGTACTGTGGTATTCAGTAAAAAAAAAAAAAAAAAAAAAAAAATGGAGGAATGATTATTATAATAGCTATAAAGAGAACAAATTCTGCTGTCATCGCCACACTACAACAAAGTCATGAAGGTTTACCAAAATCGATTTTCTTGTCACAATCATCAGTGGAAAGCCGTGACTGAAGAGTAACCATGCTGAATCAATGATTAATATACATTCAATAATGTGTTACGAGAACAAAACAAAGTGCTAAAATAGAATGAGGGAAGGTGAGACAATAGAAGTGAAGTGAGAGCTAAGTGCAACAGGGGTGAGGAACTAATTACAACGCTAGAACTGTGTATTGAGACAAACAATCATGCTGTGCACCTACGAAAACAATCTTAACGCAACTACATGTTTCTTCTGCTTACAAAGATCAGGCTTATGCAAACGAATACAAACAGCCTCAAGTACTTTCAACTGACTAGCGTACCGTGCACGACAAAGAACAGAAAAACTAAAATCATCATACACCTGCAGACACTTAGGGTGAGACAACAGATGAAGAAAAACGGCAGACTTCTTACGATCACAATCACCATCCGATTCCTCGTCTCCACCAACCGCAACCTCGTCCTCCGTCTCATCTTCCAACTCGTCCTCAGTGTCGTCCCCCGTGTCATTCTCCTCATCCACACCGATCGGTCCCAGGCTCGCTTCATGTTGCTTAAGGCAAATATGGTCAGCATGTTCGGACCATGATAGCTTCGAGTCAAGAACGATTCCCAGGTGCCTGTGAGAAGTTACAACTTCCAGGGCCTGGGTGCAGTTCGGAAACGTCAACGGTGCAGATGGTGGACGTGCAGAAATATACAACACTTTTGTCTTCTGGACATTGGGCTGTAGCTTCCAGATCTTCATCCAGTTTACCACGTCATCGATGCCCTGCTGGAGCGATACCGTTAGTTCGTGCTCGGTGGAGGCTGAGCGGTGAAGGGCGGTGTCATCTGCATAAAGCGAGAGGCCAGGAGTAACGGATGGCAAATCATTCACGTACATCAAGAAAAGCAGGGGGCCAAGAATAGACCCTTGTGGTACACCTGTATTTACTGGACGATCCTCCGAAATCAGGCCGCCTGCTTTCACGGCTTGGGTCCGCATGCTCAGGTGTGACGACAACCAGTTGTTGGCGCGGTGGGTGACACGGTAGCACGATCGTAGTTTTGCGATCAGCCCTCTATGCCATACCGAATCGAATGCTTTGGCCAAGTCGAAGAAGCAGAGACCTTGATGGCGCCTTTGGTGTCGCTGAGTGTACAGCTCCTGGACAATGCGGGTCAGCTGTAGCGAGGTCGAGTCCCCACGACAGAAGCCAGACTGGTACTGAGAAAGCGCGGGTGAGAAATGTGTATACAGAATATTGTAAACAACACGTTCACATACTTTCGACAAACTTGGTAGCAGCGAAATGGGGCGATAATTGGTAGTGTGCTGACGAGAACCTTTATTCTTATAAATGGGAGTGACAACAGCAAACTTCCAAACAAGTGGGTATACGCCGCTTGCAAAGGAGATGTTGAAGATGGTGGAGAGAGGAGACGAAATTGAAGGTGCCAGACGTTTAAGAACTTCATTGGGAAGACCGTCAAAATCAGGTGATTTATTGATTTTCAGCTCCTAACTGTGGATGGGGAGGTCTGGAAGGAATCAAGTGAGGACAGAATAGCAGAGTGTTCCGCAAGAGATGGCACACACCATCGTGGGTCGTCACTAGGTGCGACAGTGGTGAAATGCACGTTGAGCAAGTTTGCAATGTCCCTAGTATCGTGAGCAATACTGCCGTCCGGTCTCTGCATTGAGGTTATGGGAGCACTGGTGGAAGTTGGCTTACGTAGTCGCCTGACGAACTGAGAAAGAGACGGGTGGTCATTACTTGAGAGCGTGGACTTGATGCTGCGTATGTAAGAGCGATAATCATGTCGAGATAAGTCCTTCACGAGGTTACGCTGGCGTCGATAAGCAGCCAGGTTATCCGCTGTCGGGTACTTCCTGGAAACACTGAATGCGTCGTGCTTCCGTTTCACAGCAGAGCGCAGAGCCGGTGTCTGATGAGGGAGACGTAGGCCGGTGCGTGGGAGCGTGATGCGGCAAGTACAGGTCAAAGATGTATTGGAGTGTAGGCTCGAAGTACGCAAGAGCAACATCGACATCAGGAATAACGCTGAGGGGTGACCAATCGTAGGATTGGATATGTTCGTTTATACGGTCCCAAGTTTGGGGTGGTGCTTTACGGAAGTTAAAATTATAGCGAATGGGGCGGGAAGGATTCCATTGG